CCCAAAGTCCAATCTTGCGACTCCCCCCCCTCTCGTCCTTCCTCTCATCTGGTCTTTCAGACTATTTCTCTCTGGGTGTACTTTGGAGATTTTGATGTAAATGTTGCCCTTGGTGGCTAGATAGGCTCGGTGTGGAGAATACCAATGGGGCATCGGACGTCTTTCCGGGAACAGAGCAGTGGGGGTAGAGGTTGAGTGCTGGCTGTATAATAACCATTATTCAGCTGAGATGGCCATCCAGAGAGGGCTATCGGTGCTTGGGGTACAGACGCTGTGATTAGATTTCCTCTATGTTGCTATTCTTTTCTGTCCCTGGACATTTCTGTGTCACTGTTCGCCTGTCTTTCTTTGTGTTCCTCAAGCAGTTCGACGGGAATCCCATTGATCAGAGAGAATTTCATGCAAGAGATGCAATAAAAAAAAGAGCTAGTATTATAGTATAAAATATAAGTATAGAATTTTGTTAAACTTCCATTTGGTTTAGTTTCGGGTAATACATTTGGCTGTATGATGCCATCACAAATTGCCAACAGTTTGACCACACGTTTCCTGCTAACTTATTTCAAGTGAAATAAGGTGATTTAGTTAGCTGCTTAACTTCACACCACGAACCAAGTGCAGACAAAAAAAGGTCAATCTCTTTCACAGCAAAAAAATAAAAGTAAAAGTTTGGTAAGTCAAGCTAGGTCACTGAAATGGGAAATATGTTGTCAACATACACTAATCACAATGACAGTTACTGTCCTACACTATAGCTAACATTAGCAAACACTCATACTGTAAATGCATTGTACATTCATGCATGGACAAATATAGAAAATAGACTTCTTAAAAACTCTTTCCCAGCACGGGCAGTCTTCTTTTGGCTCTGACCTGCCTGTTTGATTTGAAAAGTTCTGGCTTTGTAGAAGGTTCAGAGAAAATGAAACTGCATTGTGTAAAGTCTTAGGAGCTCAAACTGCCCGGTAGTTAAACATCTATTTATTCATACCGCACATATATATTTGTAAAAGAGACCGAGCCAACAGGATTCCTTATCCTCTTCCATTATATTTTTCATTCCCTGTCTCTAAAGCTTCTAATCTTAACCTCTGTTTTCCCTTCTCTCTCTCTCTCTCTCTCTCCTCCTTTTCCCTTGCTCTCTCTCGTTCCCAAGCAGTCCCTCTGCGGTATTAATGCACAGACCTGCGTAAAGCCTGTGTGTCTATGCTGTGGCGCGGGGTAATCAGTTAACCTGATTATACTGCTGATGAAATTAAATCATTTCAGTAAGTGAAAATAATAATATGAGTAATAGGTGCGGGGGATGGTGGAGCACCCCACGTCATGTGCTGCAGCCCCAGCCAGTGGAGTTTTAACCTCTCTTCCTCTCTTGTGCTATAGCTTCATTGTCATATGGCAGTTTAAATGCTATCAAACCACTACAAAAATCACAGTTATATTCTTTGTGTGGGTAATTTTGTCCAAAGCACAAGAACTGCCAGGCAACCTTGGAATGAGAGCTTATTGAGCAAAGCAGAGAGTGAGAGCACTATTGATAGTGCTGTAGAGTATATTTGATGACATGGAATTACATTGTATGTGGAACATATAGTGAAGACTTCTGGGCTGCATTGTGGGTAGAGCATAGCAGGAGTTCTGGGACAAAACGTCACATATTCTTCATGTTTTCTCTGATCTGGAAATGTGCCCAATGAATGCCATATATAATCACATATTTGTATAGGGCCGTACGAATTTAGTACATCTATGACGATACCACTTGCTAAAAAGAGATTCTTTGCAAGTAGTGGTTCACATGAAATGGGAATAGTCATGAGTGAAGACCAGACCCTTTGCAGAAGGCCACACAGGGCATGATAGAAAGCGAAACGCAACAGCAGGCATGAGTCGGCAGATTAACAGACGGGTGGTGGCTAAGCTAACCAGAGGCTGATTAAAGGCTTTGCACCTGTCACTTGTGTAATGATATTAAATGGCATAGCGAAATTAAAGACAATTATGGATAATGATGGCACTCAAGCCAACCCTAAAAAAATAAAATAAAAAAAAAGCCAAAAGAATGGCAAAATTCAAAATCTAGATCAAGTCACCTCGTGCCTGCAGGGGAATTAGCTGGGGAGTCAAGCTGGGCAAGCCAGCTGTGGGCGACAGGACCTTTTTTACTGTTTGACATCACAATAACTCAATGATATTCTTCTTTTTGCAAGACTTCAAGGGATACTTCAGATGCACAGGGCAAGTTGCGGTCTTCAAAAAACCTGTCCAAAATAATGTGGAATATATTATATTTTCATGTATAACTGCAGAATATTTCATGTAGCTCTGTAGTACGATGATGGTTGGCCTAAGTGACAAAGGCTGCTCCAGGCAGAGTAAATGCAGATGTTGTCATTGACCAATAGTGTGCAAGCATCATAATCTATTTTGCCTGTGAACATTTGTCATTACAGAGAACACATCATAGAAATGCAATTGCTACGCCATTATGGGGGGCTGGCCCTTTGGGAATTTTCAGATACTATCAGCCCATGTCATTGGTTGCATTCACAGTCAGGCTTGCTAACCCTGAAGTAACACTCCCTCGATGAGTGATCTATTTATTTTTGCATGGCCGCCTTTATCGACAGAGCCTGTATGCTTCGGGGGGGAGAGATCCTATCAAACTCTATTCCTGGGGAAGTAAGCAAACCAGAATACATGCCATTTATTCAGGAAGCGCTGCCGGGGCTGTATCAGGTCAGAGCAGCTGTAATGATAGCAGCATCTCTCCATGGATCCACCATCCCTGCTTCTTGTTTATAGCTTGTTTTGGTTGCTTTGTTTGTCTGCCCACCTTCTTCTGCACCCTTTCACTTGCCTAATTTTATTAACCTCAAATCTACTTACACTGTTTGTCAGCTTCATTACTGTAGTCTGTGTAGGCTTCTGTCTTCTGTTTGCATAGACAGAGTTTATGTGAGGTGAAGCACAGACAGGTCTCTGTATCATCAAATGCATCAGGTATAACATCCAGAGATTTGCAGATATCCTTCAACTAAGAGAAGCACCCAGAAGGGGCACAACATCGAGCACCTTTTATGTCATCTTTTGCATAGATCATTGGTGACATACAGAAGAGGGGCTTATGGGGAACATATTGCTCTGTTTTGTTCAGAAGTTTCCAAAGTGGAGTATAAGCTTGACATTGCTTTTCTAAGCTTCAGGGGAACTTGCTATGAAAAAGATGATACAGGGGGTGATCATTAATAATCAATGAGAAGGATACAGCACAGAGCCTAAAACTGTGTAAATGCCTGTACTTTTTTGAACCTGGCATTGAAATATTCATCACACTGTGCTGATGTCAGCCTAAGTTAGAGGTAACCTGTCTGGACTTAGTTTGGAGACCCTCTGGTTCTGACCTCGGTTCTCCAGCATGTCTTTTACTGTCCAAGCTTTAATATTTAAAAATGTAAGTACATATGAACTCATAACCCCTTATCTCTTTACAAACCTAGAACATAATGTAAGTGCACAAACAATAACGTTAGCTCTTTCTCGATGACTAAAAAGTAAAAGCTTTTCAGACTTAATAATTGAGTGACCTTTTTGTCATCCAAATGAAAAACCTTGCATGACTTATAATTCGACAATAATAAATGATTTTTAAATAACGGTGAATTTAAATTAATTGCCTGCAGTCATATTTTTACTCCCCGCTTGCCTACAACACCACAAAAATGTCTGCAGAGTTGACATGAGGTAATCGGCTCAAAGTATGGACATTGACCTCTTCTGTGCCAGTAACCAGCATCTTGGTCAGTCAATCTTCTCTGAGTTGCGATGTGGCCTTGGGCTTGTGATGCATATTACAGCTCAGGGTACTTCCCCCTTGGCTCTCATCATCTAATAAGAGTGAGTCACTGCTTTGGCTTCAGTCAGGGTAGAGGTCAAGTGATTTGACCCATAGGACTAATTTCCCCCAAGAGAGCTGGGAGTCAGCATTAACCGAACAATGAACACAGAGCACACCACACTGTCATCTGCTAAGAGTAAAATAATTGCTCATTCATGTATGATAATTAGCTGCAGTCTTTATACAGATAATATAAACGCTGACATGTGTGATGGATCTTGAATTTGTGAGGCAATAATTTCAGTCAAAGGGGCTTATACACACCTACTGTACCTTTTAAAACCAGAGTGAAATCATAGCACTTGTGGTATATCTCTCAGGTGGTTTTCAATCCTAAACCAATGTGTCATATCAGTGGTATTTTTTGCAGAGCTCTATAACCTCAAATTCACTACAATGTAATTTTGTTTTACTGAACTTGGAGAAATTTGTAGGAGAAAATGCAGGAATTACCAGGCTTTCTTTCTTACTTTTCATTCTTTGTTTCCTTATATTTGTTTTACTATTGGCATCAGGAGCAATTTATTTACTGGATACATTCAGTCAACACCACCTTTTAAGGGCATTTCAATATATCACATGGTCACTAAATATGAAGCTACAGAATGTTTCTGTATCCATTGGTATGAAGAGTAGAAATAGCACGGATTTGTTATTTTCTTAATATATACAGTAAATCTGCTTACTTTTCATGACTTGCTATAGTCTAACAAACATGATGTGTGTTTATCTTAACCAAGGCTAGGAAATTTCACAGAGTAATCTAAGATGACGCAAAATGTGGAAAAAAAAAGCATCATCTTTCTCTCTGTTATATGTTGTGTGGGATTTTACTGGTAAAACATGTTACTATGTTGGAGCTGTTGTCTCTCTCTTACAGGTCTATGATATTGACCCAGCATTGTTAATTATGGAATAAACAATTACAGAATACAGTATTGTGCTTATTTCTTTGTTGAGCATGATTAGACAAAAGCAGGTCCAATAGACAAAGTTTGCGAAAAGACTCAGTTGCTACTTTCATTGAGAATTTTTTAATGTTCTAACATGTGGCTTTGAAAAGCAGTTTACTCATGCCACTTTTTCTCTCTTCTTTTCACAGAGGACCTTCTTCCACCGGGCTTCCCCAACATTGACATGGGCCCTCAGCTCAAAGTGGTGGAGCGGACCAGAACAGCCACCATGCTCTGCGCTGCAAGTGGCAACCCTGACCCAGAAATCACGTGGTACAAAGACTTCCTGCCCATCGACCCCAGTGCAAGTAATGGGCGAATTAAACAGTTACGCTCAGGTAGGGAAAGCCCAGACGGCATGTTACTACCTTTCTGCTTATTATTAACATGAAAAGCTTTTGATTTTCCAGGAATTTTTTTCAATAATGAGACAGTTGTTTTACAGCTTTACAGCTAATGGGGCTGCAGTATGCAGTCTGATTTGTTTGCAAAGGAACACATCAATTACTGCGTCATTTACTAAACATCGCACACTTTGGGATGGAAACTTTGATTTAATGTTAAATTACTCCGGGCTTGTGTTTCGTTATTGATGGAACAATTCTGAGTCTCTGTTCAAGAGATCTTAAAATTCACAAGGTTAATATATTTGCTTTTTGTGTTTGATGTTAAAGATGAAAAATAACTTATATAAGGACACACAAATAAGCAACCAGCAATGTTTTTCATTGCTTTTAACAAATGCCTGTTAAGCCAACCAAACATTGGTATCTGTGTTAATCAATTACATGTCATATAAAGATGGAATACTTAATTTACTAAATTACAAATTGACAAGTAAAGTATAAAGCTTAAGTGAGCCTAGGTTTTGTTTGACTATGTTTTTATCCAAAGATTACCTTAAAAAAAACGACATATAAAAGTGTGACACTACTGAATGAGCTCAAATGATTCCTAACGTTCCAGAAGTGTGTGATTGTAGACTATGTGTGCAACTGACACAACTCAGAGGTGGATATGTTGTCCTGTTCCCATTGATTGAACCCTACTGAGAGGCCCACTAAAGCAAAGTCTAATTATATAGCTAATTAAGTGTAGGCCCTGGAGTAGCCATGGGCAATAAGGGATAGATATTTTGGTCGATGATTTGTCACCATTCGAAAAAAATCCAATGACTCCTATTTGATTTGTTGCTGCAAACGTAAATCAGCACAGACACTACTAAATAAAGCGCGTGTTGCCATTGAGTTCCTGCCCTCAGTTGTGGCCCTCGTGAGCTGTACACTCAAGGAAATCAATTTGTCATCTCATTATTTTACTTTGCCAAGTAAAAAGGCAGCAATTCACAGCTCTCTAACAGGCATTTTACTTAGTAATGTTTGAATAACTTGACGTGCACATATTTTTGATTTAAATGTTTAATTCCAATAGAACTAAGCAAAACCTTCTGACAAAACAAAAATGCTGTCTTTGTGCATCTTAATGAAGACTCTTTTTTTGTTAATGGTTGCCCAATGACCTATTCTTGATTAGGTTGAATTGTTGTGCTTTGGAATAAGAGTGTCTCCCATCACTTCGATTGAAGTTGGACGACAAAGAGTCTCCACAAGACACTAAAAAAAAAAAAACAAGCTCTGACTTCAATGTTTCCACGGACATGCACATCTCCTTGCACTGCAGCCCGTTTCTAAACAATATAGAGCTTTAATTTGAAAGGGGACTTTGGTGTTTCTTTGGTACATTAACTCAAGTTTTCTATATCCACTATTTCTTCCAAAAACATCATATTTAGCAATAAGTTTGACCAAACATGAATGGGTTTTTCCTTTTGATTGTGAAAAGCTTAATATGGGCAAAATGTTGCAAGAAAATTGCCTCAGAGTGTAACTACCTGACGTTTATTTTTCCCTGACAGGAAATGTGTGGTTTCCCTGGTACATTTGGCTGCTTGTAAGCCTGCCTACTTCACTGATCATTTCCAAGGTTTTTCTCAATTGTATTTAGGGTTAGTTCTTCTCTGATTAACATGAAACCTGGTAAACTAGTCATTGTGAACTTCTGAGTTTTGAGCCTCTATGGCAGATGTAAAAGGCAATAGGCCTCTTGCCTGTTGTCTAACTACTGACTCATCTGTCATCTGTGTCATGATTTCTTCAATTGTCTTTGTATGTCCTGTCCAAATGAAACAAACTGTTGTTTTTGCTGTCTCTATCTCTCTATATGTATGTTTTGTCTGTCTTTGTGTCTGAAACTCAGATGTGTCTGGATGCACATTGCCGAGTCTTCAACACATTTCATTTGGCTATAACCCATAACACAAGTTCATCCGGGTAAAAAGAATAAACCAGCTAATAAATACAACTAAAAATTACTAAATGTTGAGTATTTTAAAATTGACACCAAAAAGTGTTCATTTATTTTTTTTAGAAAAAACAACAACTCACAATTAGACTTGTCAATTGGTAAAAGAAGTTGTGTAACACAAAAGGTGAATAATTTACTGCCCCTTTACTGTTACTCATGGTAAAGAAAGATAAAGCACTGAGGTTGGACACAAGATCCAACTAAACTGCAGACCCTTTAACTCTAACTTAACCTAAAATGAACTATGTTGTTCTTCCCCTCCCCCTTGCTCTGTCATTTTCAGAAGCCTTTGGTAAGTGTCTTGTAAAAGCCCAGCAAGCCCACCCACTTCTCCTTGAAGCAGATGGCATATTTAAACTAGTTTTCAAAATGCATGTATCCTCTGCTCGCCCCACCCCTTGTCCTTTTTATGCCAGTTATTCATTATGTTCTGTTTCTGTTTATCCTCAACTTTTACTCCCCCTCCCAACTCCTTCTTATTCAAACTTTATCTTCTTCCAACGCATTAGATTGGAACTAAATGCAAAAAGTTAAATCAAGGACAAGCAGCAGCATGAGTTGAGATTGGTAGTTGGTATCACAGTCCACCTTTAAGCAGCACCGTTTTTATTATATGGGAAAGTCTTGCTGAGCAGGTCTTTTAATGCAACACCCTGCTTCACATTAATGATAATATGCACAGTTAGACTTAAGTACTGTCCAGTTCTACCATATGTTCAACACACATCGAGATTTTAGCAACATACTATTTGGGGTCTTAAGTACCTTTTTGCAAGGTGACCTTGGAAGTAGCTGTTTTTTTCTTTATTTTTCCCTTACAAAATTATCCAAACTTTTCTGTGCCAAGGCCTCCTGTTAAGTCAGGTTCTTTCTCACTGCTGTGTTGCAGGACAGCAGGCTTTGAAAAAAATAATTGGACACTGTTTGAATCCAAGACCATTATCCTTGTTCAGTCATGGCCTACAGGTTTATAGAATATGCTTTGCTCCAACAATATACTTCTTGCTGTTTTTATATTCTGCATTCTATGTAAATGGTTCAACCTTGAAACATGGTTTGCTGTCCAAAAATACCCTTCAATTCCAAACTTGGGCTGGGTGGACCCTCTGGTCTGGACCAAATATTTTCTCAGGAGAGCATTTTTGTCTCTTGCCAAATCAGCCAACATCCCCCAAGGCTCAAAAATCTCTTACAAAGGCTCTTTTGCCCATTCTAAAGCATGAGGGCTCAAGTGTTAGTTGCACTTGGCCACATTCTATACTCCTCCTGACTTTTTGAACTGCTTTCAAAAATAAACCCAGCCATTTTTAGCTGGGTGTATTTTACTAACAGTTCAAAATACACTTTATGTTAATGTAGGAGTGCAGGAATGGAAATTACTTTGTCTTGTTTCAATACAAGGCTCTCGTAAGGTTAAGTTAGCCTTGGGGGCTTGCATTTTTCTATATTTCCTTTGCTGGAAGGCTCATTCAGCAACCAGGCATGATTTAATCTGATGAGAAAAAGGCCAGCGTAGTGCGTACTAAGGCCCCCAAGCCCCCATCTTCTCATGTCCTCAGCTATTTGAGTTGCCATCTTGGGCTCCAGGTCAAGTTTTTGTTTGTTTGTTTGTTTGTTTGCCTTGTTCTTTTGGATGATAAATGCCCTTCCTCAAAAGTAGAAAGTTCCTGTGGCAGCCTTTGAAATGCCTATTTTTTGTGTTTTTCTGTTGACCAGACAGCTGGTAACAATTTCTGGGGGCTCTGTTTTCTCTTTTGCCTCAGGCTCACTCTCAAGTTTCTGGGGGCAACTGAGACTGATGCGCCCTCTCCTATTGATGGTATTTAAGTCAAAACTCCAATGTTACCACCTTGACATTGGCACAGTGGGTTGGCAAACATGAGTTCAAAAACAATCCACTTTTCAACTGCAATTCAACCCCTCACTTTTTACCGTGTAAAATTTGCATTCGGATCAGAATTATTCTCATTCAGAATAAAAGACAACAATTGTGATTATGTTAAAAAGTAATAGAGAATACAGGACTTGTTTGTGAGATTGCTGACTAGCTGGATGACTGCTTCCTCGTGTGCCACACCATGTTGTGCTGGCAGGGCAGTGCTATTTGCGTTGCAGTCCCCTGAGGTGGTCCTCCAGAGGTGTGGAGGGAGCCTGACATTTCCCCCCCAAGTCCCTGTAGCTGCAGACCCCAGGCCGGCGCTGCCTTGTCAGCCAGAAAAGATTAACCAGAGGCCAGAGGGACAGTGAGAGGATTGGGAGGGTGCATATTCATGAAGATTAAGGTCCTTTTTAAATAGAGAGATTTAAAATATTGACCTAACACTGGATGCCCCCCCTTACACACTGAGTTTTACATTATGCATATTCCAATGTGAATCATGCAGCAAATTGCATTTTCATCTAAAATGTGAGAGAAAGCTCATATATTTGCGTCAAAGCTGCTCTGCATGGGTTAACCTCTGCAGATGTGGTGACAACAGTCACTTTTCACCTGAGACCTGCTGCTACATCAGGATCCTAGACCGATGTCTGTGGTGAAGAGAAGGTCAGCCAGAAGCCCTCTGGAGGTTGGTCTGGATTTGACACTCAGCCAATCACGCAACCCTATCCGTCTCACACGCAGATGGGCAACATCTCTGGCCAGATTGCCTCAGGCTGGACTACATCCTTCAATTTTGTTTTTAATATATTCAGAGGGTTGTTTAACCAAACAGATGGGGTGTTCTGTGGAGCAAAAATTACATTTCATAATGTGACGAGGTCAGTGGCCTGTTTAGGTATATTGAGGTCATTGTCACTGTAAGCTGATCAACCACTGGCTGACCAAAGCTTAGAAGGGGAGCTTATGGCCATTGGGTTGCATGCTGTTATTCAGGTGGATTTGTCAGTGTAATTCAATAGAGGTTAGTTAAGCTAAGTTTTATTTTCATCTCTTCATGCTGCTTTGTCATTTTAAAACTAGAATTTGCAATAACGTAGGTCACTCCCTTTCCTTTCCTTTTTTTGAATCTTTTATCCACCTCTATCTTTTTCTCTTGATTCTCCTTATTACTTTAACCTCTTCTTTTGTCCACCTTTGTCATGCAGTTCTTTACAATGAAGGCCCCCCCCTTTACATACCTGCTTTATTAACCTTAACCTAACATTAGCCTAACTTTACCTTAACCTCACCTAACCTTTAACTAGTAACCCCTTAACCCCCAACTAAAATTTCATCACAGCTAAAGCAAAATAAACCAACAGCTTCTGCAGCCTACTGTATAATCGTATTCTAACTCTATAACAACGTAACCTTCCCAGACCCCTATTGTCCCTTGTCTTGTGATTATCTGTGGAGTATGTGGTCTCTGAAATCATTGATTTAAATGATTAAAATGCCCCTCATGTTTTGCCTGTTTTTCAATGCCTCTAAACGTTCACTGTGACAAGTCTATTGCTGTAGTACCCTGTTTTTGGATGTCCATGTAAGCTAACGGTGTAGGTTTACATCCTTTAAGTGAAAAACATCTAGGAATAAATAGCATGTTGTTCTTTTTTCTTTCTTTCACATAATCTAATGTAACCAAGAAGAACACTTCTCAGAACAGCAGAAATATGTCAATTTGTTATCAAAACTAAACCACAATGTTACATACAATCATTTAAATTGCAGTTCAATGTATTTCACACTTTTAGAGTTAAAACATACTGTATAATACCACTGCATTATTTTTAGAAACATGTCTGTTATAATTATTGGAATATCGCCGTACTACACCATGAGCACATTGGATCCATGTAGGTCCATTGCAAAACAGGCAGAACTTCAAAATGAGGGATCGCCTCCTATTTGCTAGTATCACAAAGGACCGTCCCTGTAACCAGAATATGAATAACAATTACACCAAAGCAAATGTTTCTGAAGGAAAGGTTTAACTTAATTACCTATCCAACCACACATACAATTTACTGTGGACGATATGGAAATTGCTGACACCAATTTACATCCTAAAGCCAAGGTAGGTAGGCATTAGTGGGTGGGTGGTTGTTTTGATGGTGTAGCTAGTTGGTAGAAGGGCTGGTACATGTGACCAAGCCTTTTGTTTCCGTCCCAATGGGTAGTGCATACCCGTGACCCTCAGCTCTCTGCCTTCAGGCCATTTATGCTAAATAGGGTTCATCTTCTGGGTTGGTGCCATCCTGCTGGCAATCTCAAGGGATTGCCCAAGGCATGTTGTTACCATGAGTCACCCAGAGATTTAGAAAGGGAGACGAAGAGAAAACAAGGAGAGAAATTGTGGCAAAGGCTGAAAAGCACAAAAACACAGAAACAGGGAGACCTAGAGAATTGAGTGGGGGAGAAGATAATGTGAGGGTAGAAAAAGCAGTTGAGATGAGCCGTAAGAAACCATTGAAAAGAGAAAAAAGCCAAGAGGGAAGGAACAGTTTAATGCTTGGCCAAGGGGAGGATGAAGTTAAGCTGGCTCCCCTACCCATACCCAAAGCTTTGTCCAAAAGTTATCCGTTGTACTTCACCTCAACATCATGCAAGGCTTTGTTTAAAAACTTTCAAAACACTGACTGGATAGGCTCAATATTTCAATGTCCCTAATGGGACACTTGGCCAGTAGTCAGGCATGCAACACAATAATAAACAAAGAAAAGAGAAACGTTGAATTCTCAGTTAAAGTAAATACTAGAAAGACCTAGAAAATGTAATGAATGACCTGGAAGGAAGATTTAAGCTTTGTTTGTGTCACTACGTCACAGCTAAGTTCACAAGCATTAGGATGAATTAGACCCTAACCTAACCCTGCAGTTGCAGAGTATTTTTGGAGGCTACATTCCTCCCTCAGCAAGTATGTACCATACTGATGTAGATGACCGAATCGAAAAGAGGTGCCCTTACTTGATTTACTAACCTCTTCCTTTAGCTCAGCTGGCTAGGAAAGGGCATTTGCCACTGGTTTGACCTTTGCCTTAAGGTCGAATCTTGCCTTCTCTGCCCCAAGTTGCAGCCTTGATAAAACCCTTCCAAGACTCTGAGCATCTTAAGCTCTGTTGATAAAGCATTGTGAGTCATCTTTTAAAATGTAAAAGGTGAGGAAGAGGGAGAATAGGGTGTAATAGGACAATGGAGATTTTGTAATAGCTACCTATTTCTTTGTGATACCAGCAATGAGAGGTGTTGTTTTCTGTTATTTTTCTATGAAAAAAAATATTTGAAACCCCTTTTGAAAGATCAACCAATGGTTTGATAACCTAGTTCCAGTGAGCCACCTCCAAACTCAAATAACACTTCTAAATATTTCATCATAAACATTGAACTAAACTGATGTTGTGTCTTCCATTTTTGTGTCTCCTCCAGAGGGTACCCCAATTCGAGGTAAGCTGTTTAACCAACACAGTGAGAAAGAAAAAGGAAAGACTTAAACTGATACTAAACAAGTCATAACCGCTCCTAACTTCACCCAGCTGACTAAATATGCAGACTACCCATTTAAATTTTCCTCTGTGACATGACCAATTCTTTTTATATCCACTAACATTTATGTTTCGTCTGTGTTTGGTGTCTATGTGCTGCGTACACACTGTGATCATATGTGTTTCTCTCATTCCCAATGTCATCATTGATGTACAATTCTTCCACCTCTGTTGGTGTTATGTGTTTGCGCTTTTCAATCTTCCCAAGATCATCAGTGTCTAGAAACTACTGAGCAGTTTAAATTATGTAGCAAGGCTGGTTATACAACCAGATTGGGAAGCATGAGAAGCAGAGGGGAGGGGGTGGTGAGGGATTTTACGAGATGGTTTGTTTGCTTTATGCGTCTGACATTTAAATTGTTTGGACATGGATATGAGGCTGGAAAGTGGGGGATTGGTGATTGGATGTTGGAGGTAGGCGATGGTTTGCCTCACTTGTTGATAAGGCCAGGCTATTAAAAACTGTATACTGTTCAACCCAATCCGGGAATCCTCTTTCTTCCTTCTCTCCTTTGATATCCTGCAAATTCTTCTATTAAGCACCCAAGCAGTAGCCAAATTGCATACTGATGGTGGGTCAGAGAAAACCAAGGCATTGAATTCAATTCCCTTCCCTCCCTGGTAATCTGCTACACAGTAACTCAAAAAGGGAAGACTGGAGATGGATGGTTGGATGGAATGGCTGTCTTTAAAAGAACTGTGACCTCTGCAAAACTACTATATCAAATTCAGTTCTTATAATGTCAAAGGATTAACAGGATATCAAGGTGGGAAACGACTGACACAGAGGCCAATGACCGAGACTTCAATTGTTGATATAATAGCTTTCTTAAATAGTTCTTCCTTTTAACAATTATATATTTTTTCCTTTCTTGGACCTTGCATAACTTATATTCAACCACCAGGCTTTGTGGCTGAAGGATTATCTCGCAGTTGATTTGTTTTTGTTGTTGTACAGTGCTTTTTTTCCACAGGCTGAGCAGGTAAGTGAATATCTTAGTATGCCACATACTCCCCTGTATTCATGGGGATAAATGCTTTTAATTTCACCTTTTTAAATTTTGGAAACCCCAAATAGGGCAACTGATTTCACAATACCTTCCTACAGTTTGATTAAAGCCCTCCATCTTCAATTATTTCATACACACTTCATGACACAAATCTCCAAACAGTAGCATGCTCTAAAGCATATTCATGAGAACCTGAGGTTTTATAGTAAATTCAGACCCTTTCCTCCTTCAAAGCCCTCACTCATGACCAGCATTGCCAGACCCAGCCCTCCCTTCTCTGCTTTGTGTGAATAAGGTTTCATAAATCATATTGTGGCGAACAAAAGCAAGCGTGACTTATGAACTCTGCATTTACGTAATCAGATCAGTGGCCTGAAAAAGGTGATTTCTCACCACCAAATAAACGCATAGCCACACTGAGTTGCCTTAAGGAGTCTATTCCACTTGTGTAGAGGGAAAATTAATGTCCCAAGATTTAGAGAGTGAAGCCAGTGTTATTGAGATCAAGGAGTCTGAGAATGACAGAAATGGTTTGTTTGCATTGTTGCATTAAGTAACTGCATTTGGATGCTGTCAGTGAAATATGGCTATTCACTGGTAAGGGACCAGAAAAGTCATCAGTATTGGCTTATCCTTTAGGCAAACCAGTACGCCCTGACTTGGATTTATATTATGATCTATTATGTTTCCATACTGACTGTATCGATTGCTGCCATAGATTAAGATATTTACAATGCTAAAGCTAGTGCTTGTATTTACTTTGATGCAATGGTTCTCCCTGTGTGAGGTCGGCACACTTATTTACCTCTGTGTAAAAAGCAGCAGCCCATCTTCTGCGATCCTAATCTAACATTGTGGATAATGGATTCCTCTATACTTGGCCCCCATTATTTAACCCTGTGTGTGAAAGTCAAGTCGGCTCTTGGGGGAAAAAAAGGGAACACCAATGGGGCTGGTGCAGGTTAAAACTGAAGGGGTGTCTGTGACCATTCCACCCCTCCAGAGGCTAAGTTGCTTTTAAGATGCTTAAGCTATCTTGAGTGCCCATCAAATATAAGGTTGAATAAGTAAATATTAACTAATCTGATTTACACTTTTCTTTACAAGGGATACAAAAAATAAGAAGTGAATTTACAAAATTTTACCACCTTAGCATTTGGCTACCATAGACTACACTAGTAGCCTAGGCTAGGTACAGGGGTAAGCTAGCAGAAGGTCACCCACATTACACTAGTTTTTTTTTCTTCAAAAGGGATTAGATTCAGGAAAATGATTGGAAAAGAAGTTCAAGGGGAGAGAAAACTACACTGTGGAATGGTGGAAATTTATTCGGCAGCAGCGTCATGGACATATTGAACAGCAGATTCCTAAAATGTAAATTCCACGTTAATTTAGCTTCAATAGAAAGCCAACCAGGTGCTGGCCTTGAGGTAGGCAGTAGGGAGAAAGGTTGCTGGACTCCCTCCTTGCTTCATTACTGATTTCATGGGAGCGTTACAAGAAACCAGATGGGTGCTGACAACAATGGCATCATACGTAGGGCCCCATGCTGCTGCGATCACAGTGTAATGACCTTGAGTTGGTTGCAGAGTGTCCCCAAGTGACAGCCAGGATGCAGACAGAAGAAAAGGAAGACAGAGAGAGAAGGGCACTGCTCGACTTGGCTGCTGTGTGTCCATACTCGTTGACTTTTCTATTGTAAGATTATTCAAGGTGCAGGTTCGTCACTGAAATATGTAACTTGTGAAAAATAACAACTCTCTATAGGTGTAAGACTAAAAAGGTTAATATTTTTTGTGTGTACGTGTTGGTTGAGTTGTTGATTTGCCGTTTAAACTGCACTGTAATAAAGCTTTTAGTAGCTTTTTAAGGATCACAGAAAAGAGAGAAAACGTGTAGATGAGAAATGGGTGCTAATGAGAGACGCAAACTGAAAATGAGAGATAAAATGATGAAAGGAACAGCGTGCCACCGGCAGGCCTGAGTGGGCTGCGGAAGGAGCAAGAGGGAGGGAAAGAGAGAGTGAGACTTGGCCAGCCATTTTGTTGATCGCCTAAACAAATCAATCAGGACCCGCTGGAGCACACTAATTGAATTACACAAATGGGACAGGAGGGGGGTACACATGGCAAAGCTGCTACAAAGCAGCGACAGGGGTGGGCATACCACGGCTTCAGGCACTTTCTGAAATTAATCATCCATGCTGGCCCCTCTTTGCTTTTCTGTTATCCCCTCATCTGTCCTTTCTTTGTGCTTGTCTGTCTCTTCAACTCTTCCTCTCAGTTCTGTCTTTTTGTTTTATTTTTTTTTTCTATTTGCTATTTTACACTGCGTCTTTGTTGAACGAGGCCCCTTCTCCTCCAAGCTTTTGTATTGTCCTTTTACATATCTCTGTTTTTATTTTTCCCACCCTTCCACTTTTTCATTCTCTCGTTGTTTTCATCTGTTTACAATGACCTAGCTAAAGCCTAAAAAGGGCTTGTTAATCGCATATTATAGTCTACAGCTACAGGGCAGTGTTGAAAGCATGCATGGAACCATTTAAATGTAAGTGCTGTGAAATATTTGTTTCACTGAGCATTGAATCGGTATATGAATAATAGAAATAGGTAAGGCCACAGGCATGCCTGAAAGAATAACCTAAAAAATGTGAAATCTTAAAGACCAGTTGCCCAAAGCATCCACTCTACAGATTGGGTAGGAGGATGTCTTTCCGATCTTAATAGGCCTTCAAAATCGTGTTTGTTGAACTCTGCCCAAGCACTCTTCTTTGTTATCATACCTTGGCACCTCAACGCTCCTCATCAGATCAGCCTGCGGCCTGCAGCGCTGTTAACCAGGGCAGCTGTCACGGCTGGAACAAATGTCCCAGACCCACTGCCCATTACAGTGTCTCTCCTTGAATGGATGAAGGCAGTGAACATGCTGCAAGACAGCTGGGAGTGGGTTGTGGTGGAAATTGGAGGCTGTGAGTGTTGGTGGGCAGGAAGGGTCACTTTGAATGAGATGAAGACCAATTAGACCACAGGGAAGTGATGCCATCATCACCAGGGCCTTTAGCTGCTGGAATTGTCAACATTATCCTCTTTTGGATCCTAATGGTCCGGCATACATCATGGACAAGACAGAAAGAACAAAATGGCACCAATCTTTTCTCCCCCTGACCCAGAAAAACATGAATTATTACTCAGTAGGGGCGGTACTTTCTAGGGTTTATTTATGGTCAGTGTGGCTTGTAAGTGGATATAAGGGACTGGCTTGGACATAATCAGATCTTAGGTCAATGCCCAAAAGAAAAACTACTAATGTCCTGGAACAGCCATGTGTTCGTTGTTGGTGTCTGTTAGCGAATAAAAAAAAAGTACTTCCCTAGTAACTTTTACTATTGCACAGATGTGTGTGTGTGTTTCCTAAAGAAGTCAAGCCAAACAAACATGTCTTAAGTTGTTTTCTACAGTTATGTGTTTGTGCTGAAGCTTCATAGCTGGAGAAATTGAAGACATGCCATTAGGCCCCATACAGACTGACCTCATACAAACAGTATGACCACTTTGTGATTGACACCATAAATCTCAGTTTGTCACTGGGCAAATCTTTATCAGTGAACGCCCATTGTGTGAACAGACTGAGTGCATGTTTTTTTTTATTGTGCTCGTGAAAGATAATTTTCAGCATTTATTTCATGCCTTGTGTTTCCCCTTTTTCCTGATAAAAGAAGAAAAAATGCCAATGGCCATTCGCGCACTGCTGAGCCACAGGCTGGCAGGGTAGACAGAGTGCAATTATGCAAAACACAGAGTGCAGTCATTTTTAAAAAAAGACAAAAGGAAATGGTAGGAAAGAGACACATGCTGGTGACAAGGCTTTTCAAAGGGTGGAGTTTGTTTTATGCGTGCACATGCACATGACTGCTGCTGCTGCAGATAGTACATCAAAGAGGGTTCGCTTGGATTTGTGTGTTAAAAACCCCTCAGAGGTCTGTTGTATTTAAAAGTGAACATTATCAGGCTTTAAACTGATGGCATGCTCACCAAAAGTTATTACTATTATAAATAATATTAATTATTTTTATTCACAATGGGAAATATTCATTTCGGCATCTTTTGATATTTATAAAAGAGGAGGCTAGGACTAGAAGAGAACATATGATATGCTAGAGTGGAGATAACAGAATGGACAGAACAGAAACCACACAATTTCATATCACACCAGCAGGTGACTGTACACTTTATGTGAATCTGACAGAGAGAGGAGCATAAAGCATCTCAGAATATGGATGTCTCTCCTTCCTTCTCTCTAAAGATTTCTGATTTGCCTTTATTCAGCCCTGTCTTTGGGCTTCTCTCATAAAACAATTGTCAATGCAGATCTCATCTTCTTTAAGATCCAATCACTTTAATACATTTTGTGTGTTGTGTTATTATCAAATAATCAAGTGTGAGATGATTCTTGCCTCGTAGTTTTTGATGCAAATCATACACATTTTTTGCTACTTGAACTTTGTGAAAAAATGATTGCAGACAAGTTAAGGAAGACAAGACATGACATGAGATGAACAATAAACCTCAATTCCTCCTTGACTCTTTTTGCCACTCAACATTTTTTTTTGGTCTCCAGCTTCCTTTGTCACTTTCTCCTCCTAGCCATTTTCTCTCTCTCCCCCCCCCCCCCCTTTTTTTTTCTCCTGCTTCACTCTTCTCCCTGACTCTGTATCTTGCCAGTGAAGGGAGTTTCTGTGTGCTTGATAGCTCAACTTAATAATAGATGGAATATGTAATGAAGACAGAAGAGGGCTTGGAAACAATAGATAATACCAACTTGCGAAGAACTTCCATCAAAGATGGCAAGGAACAGATCAAACTCCCTCTATCCTGTGAAAGACAGTTTCCGCCCTTTTTTTTCTATCTCTTTCTCTCTTTCTGTCTCTCTCTTGTTTACAAAGAGCTGCAATTTACAGCAGCCTAAAGTGGTTTTTAATTGCCTCTCATTTACTTCTGTTTGGTTCATTTTCTGTCACCCATCTACAGTAGTGGTGTTTAGTTGCCCTTCAGATGACCTTTATACATGATTATTTTTAGATTAGATTATATATTTTGAAATATCTTTGACCTGTGGACATGCAGCAGTTGGCACATGTCGAAAGACAACATATTAAATATACATACATTCATCTTAACAGTCAACAGAAAGGGGTTTTGGCCCTCCGCTGGCTTTCAGCATTACTATTTATAAAACGTTGAAAAAAACAGGAACTTAAATTCCAGCCTTCCAAAGATTTTCTTATTCAGCATAGGGGAGCGGGGCTGAGGAGCCGCTGGCAGAGCTTTCTGGAAGCGTCCACCCGGAGTTGAACTTCACACGGTCCTTACTTTATGATCTCAGCGGTGTTGAGGCTCTCGCCCTCTGAGCACATTCCAACCCACCTGCCACCAGGTTGGCATTTGCTGTTTTCATGCACACATCAAACACATCCAAATCAGATCCCTGCATAAACGCAGAGGGAAGACTCCACCACCACCTCCACTCTGCAAGTAGACATTTTCATTTGGTACACGAGCTATGTGCCAGGATACCTTCCCTCTTGGGGGCTGAGGATGATCTGAGCTGTAGAGGCGAATAAAGAGAATGAAAAGTAGAGTATGGATTGCTGTAGCTTAAGGTCTGCTTTCCTTTTATAGGTTGATATCTTTATACTGACAGGCTGAGGGTGTAAAATACTCTTAGAGCATTAGGCAGTGGCTAAGGTGGAAGCGTGACTAATCTTTATAATTAAGCAGGATCGATTGTCTCATTTGTGGCACAGCTGAACAGCGTTATTAGACCACTGTTCCAGAATAGCAGCTTTGTACAACATTGTGTTCCCTCCACACGCTGATGTGATGGAGTAAGTTATGGTATTGCAAAGCATCCTGGGCAGCGGCTGGCGTGTTGATGCTTCCTGGCTAAACGCTAACGAGTGCTGGTGCTGTGTTTTGTCAGGGAGGCATGGGCTGCAATCTGTCTGCTGAGCCAGCCAGAAGCCCTAATGATATCATCAGGAAGTGCCGTCACCGGCACTCTAACAAGGAATGATCTGACGCGCATTGTTCCCCCCCCCCCCCCCCCCCTTTCTCCTCTTTCCCCTAAACGCCCCTTCTCCGATGTTGTTGCCAAGCATTTAGGTGCTCATACCGGAGATAAAATCTGAATAGAGATACAGTCTGTTCAAAATTAAACGAGCCACGAGGGGGTTCATATAAAAACAGATATCCTAAATTATAGCAATATGTGGGGGGAAAGAAGGAAGATAAACATGGGAGATGTATGTTAACCACCAAGTAGAGATAATGCTTTACTTTACAGAATTGAGTGTCCATGGTATAAAACGTCATAGTAGATGTTGGGCTTTCACTGTTAACTTTTACTGATTTATCATGTCACTCTGGATATTTTTCCCATAACTCCGCTTCCCTTCCAAACATCACATGAATCACACATCTTTACTTTGTCTTTACTTTGTGCTTATGCTGCCAACATGTTCAGTCTACGTCTTTATTTAACAAATGACTCGTCTTTCCATCTTCAGAGGACTGATGCTGGAGAGGAAGCCAGCAAATGTTGTGGCATTCTGCGTTAGCATCGAAGCGAGAAACACGTCTTGACAAAATGGTTTTAAGAAATCCCTCCATTAAGAAGAAGGTCTTACTCCTTCATGTACTGTCACTGACAAATCAACTAATCATCTCTTCCCTGCTTTCTCTCTCTCTCTCTCTCTCTTTTTTCTGCCCCCCCCCCCCCCTCTTCTTGTCTTTGCCGGATGTTGTCTTTTTCCCAGGTGCCTTGCAGATCGAGAACAGCGAGGAGACAGACCAGGGGAAGTACGAGTGCGTGGCGTCTAATGTGGAAGGCGTGCGCTACTCGTCCCCTGCTAACCTTTATGTGCGAGGTATGGAAGCAACCTGGTCCCAGAGTCAGGCGAAACATTTTTTTTTTTTTAAAAAGCATCCACCCTTTCTCACAAATAAAAGTTTGCACAGTGCAGTTCAGCTTTAAGTGGCATTAACGTTGAGCTTAACAAATGATAATTACTTCCATTCTAGCCCAGCTGTATTTGCACAAAATGCATTTTGCAAAACAGTATTACCCCAGTAAAATAAATCTTTAAGCTTTGATAGTATTGCCATGCCACAAATGTAATTTCAGATGCACTGAAACTTCCAAATGCAAAAATATAATTGACCAACTAATGTTCTTCTCTGTTATGATGTTATGCTCCATTTTGTCTTTGAATGCCCTCCTCACTTGGAAGGAAATGTGTAGCACAACAAGCCGTATGTCTTTACTTTACCGGTTGTAAGAAAACCTTTTTCTTGTAATGTGTGCCTCTCTGTCAAAGTAATGGAGCCCACACAGGGTCGGGAAGGACTTCTTTTTTGATTAGTTTTTTTTGCAGGTAAAGGAGCACTACGGTAAGTGTGGATTTTGATTGGGTGGCGAGGTATTATTGCCCACCAATCAAAATCTAAACCCCCTCTTTGTACTCTCAAAGATGTTGGTGTAAAAGGGATTTCCTTGTGGTACATGAATAGAAAAAGGTGGTGCTCTATATTACATACAAATGTTCTATCTCAAAAGGTTATAAATAGTACTCTTCCTCTACTTTTTCTTCATTGTGTTCTGGAGCATAAATCCATAGTATTCCCTTGTTTCTGCTTTGGGATATTATCTTTAAAGCTGTATACAGTCAGTAGTTATTTTGGCTGGCGTGTTCCAGCAAACTGAAGATATGAGAAACAAACAGTCACAGGGACCGTTGAGTTTCAGTGGAAATAGGCAATGAAGACAAAAGCCTAGCTCCTACCACTAATGCTAAATGACACTGAATCCCTGTTGAGGGAGCTTTGATAAATTGAAGCAGATGCATTTTGGACATGCATTATTTATATTGTGCATATTAAATAAAGATGCTTCAGTATCTACTCAGTTTGTTCCCTCTGCTGTGTACCAAATAACTTTGTTCCCTATAAATAATTCACTACTCTGACATTATAAAATGGGTCAGGGAGCTGCTTTTTCATTATTATTGCTATTATCATACCCTGTGAAGTAGCAGCATAGAGAAGACACATTCAACCGTGAGGAGCAGGAGATAGAAATATGGTCAGTGTCTCCTCCTGCCAGCATTCATCCTGGAGGCTCATGTGATGCCTTGACACTTAATGTCAAGTAGCGATGCACTTTTTTTTCCTTCCATGTGGAGCATGGTTCAAGTTAGAAACTCAAGCAGCTAATTACAGTGAGCGCCTCTTCAGGAATCATTTCTAAAACAATAATGGGAACACTTTCATGACACAGCACTGGAATGTTTTAGTAGTAAACACAGCTATACCCTGATGTCATTCTCAACAATTCATGCAATCCCCATGAACACTGGCTCCATCAGCATGCTTTTAAAAAGCCTACACAAGGGTCATATATTATGCAGGTACTTCCACACTATGAAACACACTTGTTATGCCTTGATGGTGTCAACCTTTGTCTGTTTTCAGTTAACTTTTGTCAATCAATTCTGATACTTGATGTTGACTATGTTTTGTTCACGAAGCAAAATGCACTTGAGATTAGCAGCTGTGGTAGGGATCCATTTTACGCAAGAAAAAAAAAACATATTCCTTAATGTTATGTGGGGCCTGATAAACCAAAGAATTTGAGACTACTATCAAAAGAAATCCAAATGATATTGATACTGATTGGCTTAAAAACATTTATTGTTACTGTCTTGAACTGCAGCTGCTAATTTCAGCTCAAACTGTGTCTTTTTTCTTTTCTATCTCTCATTGGTTTTTCTTTATTTTCTCTTTATTTGGTTTCCTTCTCTAACAAAGCAAATACAGCCACCACAGGAGCCTCTCCTTGTGGCTATAAGGAGCTTGTGAAATTTTGAATTATGAGTATGGTACGCTTGATTTGACTCCAGTGGCGCCACTCTCTTTTTTTTTTTCTTACCAGGCGACAGTGTGGCCACTGGGGTGAATCTGATTGTTTTGGTTCAAAGTTTATTTGAGGGTGGGAGGGGGGCAGGCAAGTGTACTTTAAGATGGGTGTCACTGGTAGCAGGGACAAGGGAAAAGGAGGAAAAAGGATGAAAGGAAAGGGAAATGTAGCTGCAGCTTAAACACCTTGAGGTGGCTTTTTTTACTCTCTCTGTGTTTCCCCTATTTTTCTCTTCTCCTCATGTCATTGTGTTCTGCATCAACCCCTTTACATCCCTCAGAGCTTCGAGAAGGTTGGTGTGTTTTTTCTTTTTTACTTTTTTTAACCCACATTTGAAAAAAAAAAATTCAACATGTTGAAAAATTTTAGCTGTATTTGCCTATTACAGAGCTCGATTCATGACTAATTTGAAGAAATACTAATCAGTAAATCCAAACTGCTAAATGATTATGAAAGAAATGTTTCTTAATTTCCAAGGAAGAAATGATGAAAGCAAACCCGATTAGCGCGGGTTTTGTTAATTTACTTTTATGTTTGCATTGTGGGGCCTTTTCTCGTTTTGCATCCTTTGGTATTGCTTCTGCACCTCAATGCTTTCTTGCACGTTTTGTCATGGAAACCCAGCACGTGTAAATAACAGGACTTGTTGCATGATGGGAGAATGTAACTGCGCTTGCATGCCTGTCAAGAATCCCTTTGGCCGTGTTGGTCTATTTTTCTGCATTCCCTGTGTTTTGTTCAATGAGTTCCTTCTGTTTCTTTTGGTTCTACGTACGAGTGTTTTCCCTGACACAACCCTTTTTTTGGCTTTCCTTTAAGTTGACTTTTTGTGTTGTGTTTCTAGTGTAGTGTTTGTGAACTTTCCTTTTGTTTTAGTTCTTATTCTGAAGTTACTTTTCTCTTTTATAACCTTTGTCTTTTTTGTGCTTCATTTGTTCGTGAGATTTGTGTTTCTTTTTTTTTTTTTTTTTTAAATGATGCTGCTCTGTTTCTTGAATCCCGGAGTGCAAATGCAAATGCGGAATGAAATACTAAGTGTGTATACAGCCAGTGTTCCTGTCATCTTGTTTATAGCACTCCATTACTGCAAAAAATTCGACTTGATTGGGCCTGATTGGGTTCCATGGTGATTTCAGGCAGCCATTAGGGGATGCCATTTACAGTGTCGTGTGGATCGATAACAATATAATGAGTTCAACATCACATTCGCCGTTGCTTAGCGGGTGCTAAGACTATCTTTTATTTTTAAATGGCGGCAGCTAGATGGTGATTGGTTTCGTTGAGTGACTGCTGTTTGTGTTCCCTCACAGTCCTGACACTCAATCAAATTATAATTTATTATTCAAAATCCCTCCTTCCATCATTCATACACACTCGAAGAGTAGAATTGATTTTCAGGTTGATGTGACTGAAGTAATGACAATTCTTCAACTGGAAAAAAACAAGACACATAAAAAAAACGTTTAAGGAATTTATAATGTAGTCCTTCAACAATCAAGAGAAGAAAAACATACTAGATAATGGTTTTTTAACATTACCGTATTTACCAATTCTTATTTCAATTGGCTTGGTCCAATATTTAAATAATTTCTTTCTTTTATTTTAACATTAGTATGTTTACTAGTTATTCAGGAAACATGACTGAATCAGATGGACAGCTGCACTGAGCTTTACGGCTCCACTTGTCTTTTGAATACACTCAATTTTTGAAAAGCAACCACATTTTTTCAGGTGAGGGTATTACATGTGGCTCAACAGGTGTGGGTAGGTCAGGCGTATCATTTATTCAGAGAAGAGATAACACATATCCACTCCTGTCTGTCTCTTCTAAGGGCAGTTATTTTTTTATATATACAGCTGTCGGAGTGTGCCGCTCTCCTGGGTATTAGACAAATCTCAGTGAAGTATCAGAGGTCATATTGAAAGGACTGCTGTACAAACAGCAAACAAATGAGGAATTTTGCATGTTTTAAAAAAAAAAAAGATCTATGTGCAATTTCTCAAATTAACCAATGTCTCCTACTGGAGTTTCACTTTGTGTGTTGTATGTGACCTTGAAAGCTGCAATTTCCCTGTCGAGAACATGCAACCAGTAGCAGAATTTGGAATCTTAAGTATTTATATTACAGTTTTGGAATATTTACTGAGCCTTTTTGACTTTCATGACTTTTTTACAAGCCACAAGTAACCCCAAAATTGGCAATCTCTCTAAAAATGCATTCGCTGTGAGCCAGTGTTTGCTCTTAGAAAATGCTTATCATAGCGGATATATTTTTGGCTACCACATCCAGACCATTTCCTTCCATTGCACAAGCCAAATCATTTTTCCTCAAGGCAAGTCATTAGACAAATATATATTATCATCTCTTGTGATCTAGCAGTAGAACCAGACAGAAATTAAGAGTTTCAATTCCATAATCCATGCAAGGAATGTACTCTCAAAAAACACTTCATCTGTAACTCTAATTGTTAGGCTGCCAGTCAAAAATCTGTCACAAATTCCATACATAATGGCACAATCCCACTCGAAGAAATGGAAATCTGAACCAAATATTATAATTAATGACCTGAGAATAACACTGATGCAGAAAGACTGAGCTGTGATGTACGCATGTGCATGTTTGCCCTCCTACAATGGTATCTGCCTGATTTTTAAGTGTGCTTGCATGTCCTGCTCTGCATTTGTGTGTAACGTTGGGAAAGAAAGCTAGATTACACCTTATGTTCTCACTGGCCAAAGCAAAAATCCTGCCATCTCTATTAGATGTTTGTCTCAAGGAGTCCTAAAGTGAAAAGCCACCCCTCAAAAACACCAGATTACCAAAAAAATCTTTACCACCCCTTATTCTCATGCAAATATATGGTTACACTCCCCTCCTCAATCCAACTGATAATATTCACTGAAGGGATCACCACAGAGGGGGGCACACTTGCAGTATCATTCGACTGCTTGTCATCTACCTGTAAATCAATAGAAAAAGGTGATATGCTTCAAGATCCCCTCAATCCACCACTTGCTATTATTAGATACCCCTGCCATGATTCTTGTCAGTTTCCTTTAGGTTATAATTTCCATTTTGATGAGCCACAAATAGTGACTGTTTAGCATTGCGGCAGCCAAGGTATGTTAATGCAGGCCGACCCCTGCAGCTTATATGTAAATGCCGAAGGCCTCACCCAGCAAGTGTGACTAAAGGATCTCAATACTGCGCCTGTGTCCTCAGGCAGCAAGAGGGTGTAATCTCAGCTTCAAGGTGACACTAAAGGCTGCACATTATTTTGGCTTCCCCCTTCATTTTGGGGCAGCAAAAAAATATTTAAAAAAAAACTGCCTCACCAAAATGGCCGATAATGTCCACCTTCTGACCTCTGTTTTTGGCACAAATCCCTCCACAACACCGCCCACTGTTAGCGTTAGTGCAGTACTCTGGCGTTCTCTCTCGACTGCTTCTCACCTCGTCCACTGTGAGGCTTTTTGTCTTTCTCTCCACATTGGGGCTTTACACAAGATTACATGGTGTTAGTAGTCCAAATGAAAGGCATAGGTTTGTTTTACTTTCTCTTAATTCCGAATGGGCCGGCAGGGCTCCTTGTCTCTGTGAATGAGGAGCCTGTCCATGCAATTGGGATTCTTCATTTTCTTTGTGTCTTTGGCACTACATGTTGGATAGCATAGGTACCACACATACCGTACACACACACACACACACACAGAGCTTTTTATAGCTTACCAGACCATTGACATGTCAGAGTTATTGAGTTCACTTGAACATTAAATCATTTCATACAGGCATGTGTCTAGCTAACAATACAGTTGTGACTCATTTGCATGGGATACTGACATTTAGGCACAAAATACTGTGGTTCCCTATGATTTATCATCTTCTCACCCAAGATAGAGTACAGAATGCTATCGACTGACCTTGAGCTCTTGATCCTCTCTGTAACCAAAGATCAAATTATTTATGAGTCAGACACACACAGTGTACGCTGTTGACAGGTAGGCTCTCCCTCTGCTTTCCATCATCATTGTTTTCCAATATTGCGTAACTAGCATACATTATAGAGTACCATGGAGCATTTAGTTAAGTCGGTTTTGTGCATTGGCTAGGTGATTGGTTTGTTTAAAATTTCACTTTCCAGCCACAGCCACATTTGACTTGTGGTTGGTGTTAGCGCCCACGTTTTCCCTGACAGTGCAAGTTCCCAAAGGTGAACAGAGACATATTCCTGTGGGGAAACCTCATTCACTCAGCCACTGCAGCTCCCGGTCCATTGGCTGACCTGAGCCCCCAGGGAGAGAAGAGCACCATCAGACACATTTTGATTGGACATGTCCCCTCAATTCAAACCCTGTTCGCCCTGTTCAGTTTTCACAATTCTTTTGGATTCCAGGCTAAATTCAATTAGAGACAAATCAGAGCTGAAAAACATCTAATAGTATTGATGCATTCCTATTTGTTGAACACAGCTGCACTCTGGTATTGTCTATGCTGTTCGGACTTAGTTCTTTTTGTGGTTCTGTTCAGTTTTGATTTGTTTCCTTTTGTTTGGTTTGGTGCGTGTGTGTGTCTGGAACAATGCTATATATGGGAATGAATGGCATGCTTGGATGGGCTTGGGTGACAGTTTTGGATTGTATTGGTTCCCCCGGTGTCTGCCCAAGTGGATGGGGGCGCACCTGTTTATGTCACTCATGCCATAGCCACACCCATGCATGTCCGTGTGAGGAATGGGCTGCCCTTTCACCTTTGTTGTTACGTTAGGCATTTTTTTGACATGATAGAATTCAGATCTATACTCTCTGTCCCATTATATATTACTTTTTTTTTCCCAGTTCCTCGTTTTTCTTTTTAGAAATTCTACCATTTGGATTTTCCAATTATTAAATAATAATTGTCATGATGAGGCAAAGCATGGTATCGCAACCAAACATCATGCTTCCCATTAGTTTATTTCATCTTTTTTGAAGTGAGGTCTTGGCAGAACAGTTCAGGATTCTTTGATATGTTTTACAAACCAATTTAAACAGCATTTTTTGCTTCTGATTGACATTAAAAAATAGCACTTTGCTAAGGTATAAAAGAAATGGGCCTTTTCTAAAGAAAGCTTATTCTTTGAATATGCCATCGATCTTTTTTCTTAGTGTGTGATTTTTTATTTTTTGTGCCACAAAAGCATTTTGCCTAAGGTCAGCGTTTAATTTTCTTGCCCTCAAGGCCAAAACATGTCTTGCCCAAGGTATATCTGACATTCATAGTGAATTACAGAGAGAGGATACATGTAGGGAGGAACATGGGAGGACAAATCAAGAGCCCAACAGTGGCTGTAGAAGGTCTCTATTCATGTAAGATTAAATCTGTAACTGTTATTTACTACGTACTGTATGTGTTAAAATCTAATTAACACCTTTGTTTTCATAATCTGGCTGTTAAAAGCCAGTATTATTAGATCCATTTTCACCATTTGGACATTGCCCTTAATATTAGCTTGGTTTACTTAACTAACATGCTTGCACCCTACAGACTGAATGTGAAAACACTATATACATTTTAGGGATAATTTCATTTGCTCAGGTCAGTAAGTTTCATTTCCCAGGTAAATTAACCTCTCAGTGTTTGTAGGTGATATATTTGTGCCCTTAGTTTGTTGGAAAAGTGAAACTTTCCTATGCAACGATCATATGAATCCCATTTGGATCGACACGGTGTATTTTGGAATGCTACCTATCCTTGCCCCCTCCCCTGATTCTCCCCCTTAGCCCCCCGCTCATCCCCTGCATACACCTCACATCCACCCAGCCCAAGACTTCTCAGGTTACATTTGCATTGCGGTGCAATGTTTAAGGCGGGGAGGCAGAGAGGTGTAGTTGATTCTTGATTTTAAGCCCCAGTGTGTGAGACCTCCAAACCCACTTTGAGCCATGATTTTTTTTTGTCTGATTTTTTTTGTCTTGATTTCATCTGGAATCACAGTCTCCTTATTCTATCCCCACTTATGCCCTTCTCCTCCTCCTCCTCCTCCTCCTCCTCCTCCTCCTTCCCTTTCTCCAACAACCCAAACCCCACCCCTTTGCGTACTGTACAGTATGTCTGCGTGCCCATCGGTCACTGTCTGTCTGCCCGTCTCCCTCCCTCTGTCTGTCTTCTTGTCTGATGTCTTGCTGCTTGAGTCTGTTTTGTTCTGCCTCGTGTCTCGTCTCTTGTCCCTGTCTTTTCTGTCTTGTCTATCTGTCTCTAAATCAGCTCTATCATTTTTTTTTTTTTTTTTTACTTCTACATCGGCACTACTTTGCTTCCCTCTCTCTTTTGGTCTTCTTTGCATCCCAACAAGCATTTTGATGTTGAAAGATGAAGAAAAAGTGGTTTGTATTGGCATTGTAGCCGTTTTAAATGTCCCTTTGGAGTTATAGACCTCTGTAATACCACAACTTCCGCATATATATTTCAATGATTTTTTTCTCTCCAAAAAGCACCTCATATTTACTTTGTTTACAACAAGAGCGAGTCCCCTGTCTCGATTCAAGTTAGGACTAAATTGTAAATAAGTTTGCCATTCAGCTGAATAGCAAAGTGGACAATTTTCCAACCCAGCTTGGTACAAAATAAACAAAAAGTCTCTCTGAAATGTATTAAGTCCAGAAGAACCTTTCTTTTTATAACATTGAACATGTCCAAGGTGGACGTTTTGTAATCAGACTTGTTTTTGTCAAATGCTTGCTGGGATGACTTTCATGGACACACAGTGTTTTTGCTAACTCATACTCTTTCACTCTCTAACTCTAGCATACTGTACACACGCACACTCATGCCTATATCAACATAGAATATACACATGCAAGTACACAGTACCTTATGCGCCGCCCCTGCGCCTCAGACTCATTATCAACCTCCTTTCACTCAACTCCTCTCCATGAGTTTTGAGCTCCCCCCTGTCTCTCTCTCACATTCTGCCTTTTTCATCAACCCCTCTCTCCCTTTCCCTCTATCTATCATTCTCTGTTCTCTGGATTTCTACTCCCTGTTAATCCAGTTCTGTTTCTTGACTCCAACACTCTGTGATATATTTCTAGCTACAACTCCTCCAGTTCTTTTTTCTATGTATTTCTAGGCACACACCTTGTTCCTCAATATTTATTTTGTGTTAACTGGGACTGCGATGTGACAATGTGCCACCATCACATTTTGTCACATTTGCTGGAGAAAAACAAAGTTTACACAGCATTGAAGCGGGTTATCCCCCCTTCACCCTCCTCCAAACCTCCCCCTCTCTTCTTCTTACTCTGTCACTTTTTGCTCCTCTGTTCCCTTTCTTTCTCTCCTCTCCTCAGATGCTTTATCCTCTACCTTGTATTTCTTCTTTCCTCTCCAATCGTCTTTTGTCTGGGCATGCTAGCGACCCTTCAGTTATATTCCTCTATGCATTTTATCTCAATTTTTATATCTGATTTTGTTATCATTTACTCCTTAATTTACCTCGGTCTATTTATGCATGCTGTCTGTGAAACTGATAGCTGCATCTATCAATGGAACCGTGTCAGATCTTAATAAGGCTTTGTCCAGTGGATCTACCCTAAACCACAAAAATCTGATTAAAGTTTCTCATCTTTAAGCTACCTAGGTAGAAGAGACAGGTGTCAAGTGCAAACTTATGCTAGAATGTGTTTAGCGACCTCGTCGAGATGGTCAGTAGCCCAGTAACCCAACACTTCCTGTGCTGTGGGAGGAGCCTATAATGGCGCACCTCCTGTTGGCTTGAGTGCCTGAGAGGACAGAAAGTGACAGGTTGCCATGTTGGCCTCATGTGATAGATTATCACATGGCCTTTACAACAGTCCTTCATACTTTGCGATCAGGTTATGTCGTAGTTGGACATGTCAGCAGTTCAGTTCCAAAGATGAGAAACTCGTAATAGATTTTTGTGTCTTTAATTGTGCTGTGATGGGTCAAATATTGGTCAATGGAACCTTGTTGCTATGAATCGTTGCTTTATTGTTAATCTACATTGTTGTTGAAGCAGTTCTGTTAGTTTAGTTCCTTCTCATTATTTGTATATTTTTTATGTTTTGAAAAGTCGTTTATATCGTGTTTAAGTTTATCTTTACCACATTGAACCTTTTGTGTTAAGTATTTTCTTGAGAAGGGTCTATTTTCATCAAGCCTCTCTTGTTACCTTTCTCTTTCTCTTCTTTTTTTTTTGTTGACACCCTTGCCCTCTTTTGTCATCCTCTCCTCTTCCTCATGCCTTCTCCCAGTCCGACGGGTGCCTCCTCGCTTCTCCATTCCACCAACAAGTCAGGAAATAATGCCTGGTGGCAGTGTGAACATAACTTGCGTGGCAGTGGGGTCACCCATGCCTTACGTCAAGTGGATGCTGAACTCAGAGGACTTGACACCAGAGGATGAGATGCCGGTAGGCAGGAACGTTCTTGAACTGAGCAGTGTCCGTGAGTCAGCCAACTACACCTGCGTGGCCATGAGCAGCCTTGGCATCATTGAAGCTGTGGCGCAAATCACCGTCAAATGTAAGAGATAACTGTGCTTGTAAGGAAGTATATTCATTTGGGAGATGGATTTACTTAGTTCTAATATTTAAAGCACAGCACAGTTATGATGTATAAAGCTTTACTGCTCATTGTTAAGTTCTAATTTCAGCTGCCTTCATAATCTTTCCTTCCTCTTTCATCACCATAGCTCTACCCAAGCCTCCAGGTACCCCTGTGGTTACTGAAACCACTGCAACCAGTGTGACCATCACATGGGACTCAGGCAACCCAGACCCAGTGACTTACTATATCATTCAGTACAGGGCCAAGTCCCCAGACAGCAAATATGAGACAGTGGATGACATCACAACCACACGTTACAGTATTGGTGGCCTCTACCCCAACACAGAGTATGAAATTCGTGTCTCGGCAGTCAACACTATTGGACAGGGTCCCCCCAGTGAACCAGTGGAAACTCGGACTGGTGAGCAAGCGCCTGCAAGTCCACCAAGAAACATCCAGGCCCAGATTATATCCCAGAATACCATGATGGTACGCTGGGAGGAGCCCGAGGAGCCCAATGGGCAGATCAAGGGCTATCGGGTGTATTACACAATGGACGACTCCCAGCCAATGAGTCTCTGGCAGATCCATAACGTCCAGGACAGCATCATCACCACTATCCAGAGCCTGGTTCCTCAAGAAACATACACAATCAAAGTCCTGGCATTCACTTCCGTAGGAGATGGACCCTTTTCGGAGCCCATCCATGTCAAAGTCCTGCAAGGAGGTAAGAATGTGCTGCTAATAAATGCCATGTCTAAACACTACAAAGCTGCCTATCATATCCAAAGTAAGAAATGGTCCCTGTTAAATGTTCAAATGTAGCCAAGTTTTTAGAGAAAGAAACAAGAAAGTTTTACATAAAATGTGTGAATGCTTCACCTGTTCTCAGGCATTCTGCTTAAGAAGTAGTCTTTGAAACCAATAGAGAGCATCTTCAGCTGTTTTTGTGCATCAGCAGCACATTCTCTTAAATATTTTATTAGGCTGTGCCTGCTGCCAAAAAGACAAGTTTTCTCCCCCGCTGTTCAAAGTTCACACACACATCTGCGGCCTCTGCAAATGATGACAAAAGCCTGTTTGATCATGAAAAGCTGAAGAACCAACATATGAGAACTCACCAGGATAAGTTTTAGAGCTTTGCAAAATCACTGCATCAATGCTAGAGCAAGGAGGTGCCCCCAACTGTTAGACGACCCATAAGAAGTGGCATATTTGTACCCGGCTTATCACTTGGGAAGGAACTTTTATAATTTAAATTAGTCTATAAACCTTGATTTAATTACAACTAATGTGTGGTCAATCATTACCCTATGTCATTTTACTAAATGTTAGTGTCAGTTTGTAGTTATTATTGAGTATTGGTCTGGGTATCATTGGTCAATCCGTAATTTATCTGTGATCCAATACAAATTTCCCATACTTCTTTATTTTGTTTCCAAACAAAAAACAAGAGAGCCATTTTACTGTCTGAATCAAAAAAAACATAGGCTTACAAAAGCTACATATAGTAAAGATCCTGGTGGATAGAGTCAGAAATCGGTGAGAGAGAATGAGGAATGACATGCGGGAAATGAGCCACAGGCTGGATTTGAACCTGGGCAGCCCGCTTGGAAGACTATAGCTTCCATACATGGGGCACGCGCACTAACCACTGCGCCACCAGCGCCTCACCAATGATATATTTGTCCAATGATACCCGGACCAGTATTAATTGAACATGAGGAAGACTTGATCGACACAATCTTAAGACTTTTTACTCCATTGGTTACTGGATGGCTCCGTACTTAAAAAAATGGCTTTCCTTTCCTAATATTTTGTTACATGTCATTCAACAATGCTCTCTGCTGTGCTCTCTTCAGTTCCGGGTCAGCCGTCCAAATTCCAGGTTGGTGCTGTGTCTGACACTAGCATTGAACTGACCTGGGAGGCCTATGAGAAAGAAGGGATTATAAATTATGAACTTCGATACATGGAAGGCAGTTTTGGCACCCAGGTAAGAATTTTGAATTTTAGTCTTCATTGTACTGTTAGATGGACGGCATGTCTAGACAATACAGCCTTCGATTTCTCTAAAGCCATTTTCAGTCAGACCTGTCAATAACTGTCTTCTCTGTACAGATGAAGAAAACATTTGGACCCACATCTTCATATGTTGTGGAAGGTCTCCGCCCAAACACAGAGTACCACTTCTCCCTGGCAGCCATCTCTAACAAAGGCATTGGAGCCTTCACCAATGACATATCACACAAGACCTTGCAAGCCAGTATGTAGCCTTCTATTATGTCCTCCCTCCTGTTTTCTTTGTGGGTTGGCTAACAAAGACATTTTTTCCCCAGAGAAGTTGAATTATTTTCTTCTCCACTTAAGTGAATTCTGATGCCTTTATGTGCTTTATTCCTACACTGAATGGTTGAAAACATATATGATGTCAACATTATCATCACCTTTGAACTGTGACTGTGTTTTTCTTAGACGTAATCAGGGTTTTGTATTGATGAACCACATAACAAAAAAGACGTGTCAATGAATCCTTCCTAAAACAAGTGTTTTCATATTTCTGCATTTCATCTTGATTTTGTTAACCTAAATGTGAAAATGTGACTGTTTTTTCTACCTTATATCAAGTGACACTTTGACCACAGTTTGTTTTATAGAGGGTTGGGGTTAGACTTATTCTATAAAGGGCTAAAGCCACTTTCTAAAACAAGTGTTTTACAACCTTTTCATTCTAGAACTACCTTATTTCCTGACTTGGCTTTGGTGCTAAACATGTACAAGTCTACCCAAACATATCTAGCATACATAGACTGACAATGTTGGAGTTTCTTTATTTCCCTTTCTCTTCTGTTCATATTTGTTTTTCCTTTGTCAACAGCAAGTGCACTTTCTTCCACGTGACAGAGACACAAAAAATGTTGGTTCTCCTCTTAGACTGACAAGGCTCTCATATGAACTGTTTTTAGTTTGGGGATGGGAAATGTGGGTTTAGTTCAATCATGAAGATGAAAAAAAAAAAGGCGATGACCAAAAGTACCCAGACTCCAACCCCCTTTAATTTCAGTTTATCAGTGTTGAACTGATTATTGTCTTTTACAAATGGTAGGAACACATCTGAATTATTTAAACCAGCCAGCTAAAAATAACAAGAGTGATATCATAGCTCATAGTAAGGCTAACTGTAGAAATAGCCAAAATAAGACCCAATGGTAGCTAAAGCTCTGAAATGACAGGGTTTAAAATCCCAGAAAGACATACACCAATGTTGTGTAATACACCATTCAAGTGGCAGCCATTTTCCTCTGATGTCACAGGCGCCCATTGGATCATATGTCAAGTTAAAACAACATATTTGATACCCTGATAGCTAACATTAGGCCTCAGCTAATGTGAGCATTCAACCACATCTAAGCTAACGCAAATATTATCTACAATGTGGCTTATCGTTGTATTGTTTAAAACTGTTCAAATGTAATGTTAGCAGTTAGGTACATCCTAGCTTATGGTGCTATTAGCTTGGAGGTGGCTGAGTACTATAATTAGCTGTGGTCTGATTTAAGCTAACGAGTTATTGAACGTGTGGTTTTTCCTTTAAATATTCCCCAATATCCCTCCAGATTTTCACTTTCCATTGTTTTTGAGTTTCTGATCAATCCGAAGGGGTTTAAATCTTGCAGTTTGTCAAAGTCCCTAATTGAAAACCTGTAACACAAAGGTGTAATTACATCAGTATAACAGCCTCCCAACCTAAATGATGTAAGAGGAAAAGATATGCTGTATCCATTTCGGATTGGCTATATCAGATAATTTTTACTGGAACATAGGAGAGCCTTTGCAGTCTGAGTAGACTGCTCTTAACACATTTTCTGTTTCTACCAGTGCAACTTGTTGGCTGCCCCCCCACATCTGGGCTGTGGGGGCTTTGGAACAACCACTTCACAGTTCTTTTATGTTACTGTTGGGCAGCAAAGCTACACACACAGTGCAGAGTCACTGAGGAGAGCGCCAGTTGCATGTGACATTCACTCCTGCCCATCGAGGGTGCTGTTGAAAATCTATCACTGCACTGTTGATCTTTGATCAGTCCAGGCATGACAATACTTTCTGTTCATCAAGCCCCATTTCTGTCTTGGCGTCTCTTGAGTGTCTGTGCACATCATCACCTGTCGATGTGTGTTTGTGAATTTCTTACCCTTGTTCTCTGCATTTGTTTTGGACCGGTAACTCGCAAGCTGATTGGATTTGAAACACTCCTCTATTCCTCTCACATCATACTACTCCAGATCTGTTTCTCTCTTTGCCACTCGTTTCCCTGTGCAATGGAAGAAAAACTCTCCTTGGAATGGCTTGACATCTCCTTGTTCACTTTGTGTCCTCTTCCCTTTCTGTTGAGTCTTTGAAAAAAAGTTTTGAGTTAGAGTTTTTATTTATTAATTTATTTTACATTCTGGGTTATCTGAATATTAGTTTGACATAACTCTGAGGCTTGCTGCTATTTTTTGTTCTTGTTGAACCTAAGCCACCAGAACAACAAGCTAAAACAGCACAGCAAGCACCTATAGACAACACTGACAAACCCTTGACAATCATACAAATGTGGTGGAATATATGTTAATTGAAGGCATTTCCCAAGTCTCTGCTTGAGAAAATAGACTCATCTTTTAACTACTGATCAAACAATTAGAGGTGATAGAAAAGATAACGCTTCCTCAATAATAATATCTACCTTCCAAAGGGAGGAATTTCAAATCATCAAGAGTCCCTGCTCAAGCAAGTTTGAGATGCAGCCATTGGTTTCTCTCAGCTGAGATCATAAAACTCACAGACAAAGTCAGACAAAGTCACACAACACAACATAATAACTAACTTGATCTTTTGGACGTTTTGAGGTAAGTGATTATGTGGTTTAGGGATTCAGTCTGCCAAAACCATTTGCAAAGTCCTATCGGATATTTAGTCAATTATTTTTTTACTGTCTATGATTGATTTTTGTTTCTTTTTCTAGTGGTTGTCTGAAACACAAACTGAAAATTGAACGATTCAGTCATGCATTTTAAATGATTAAGCCGACATATCTGTCATTTTGGCTCCTCATACAGAGAATAAGAGTATGTTATTGAATCCAAATCAGAAAGGAGCCCTTTGGCATTCAAATTGATGGCTTGCGTTGAGTATCTTCACAGGGCAGTTTATTGTACACAGTTAAAACTTTTACCATTTAGGAAAACACCAAAAAAAGCGCATTGGATTTACTTTGTTTAAGGAGTACAGTATAGACGACAAAAGTGGACAAAAATACAGTGGTAGAAAGTTAAAAGGGGAGCAAACTTTGAAAATGAAATACCCTGCAATAAACAAAACAAAAGTTTCCCCAGCCTTTTTGGCTATTAATCCAAATACACCACTTCCAAGTAAAACATTAATTTTTTATTGTTGATTTATGGGCATGTTCTACTCACAGCCCAACGCATTGTCTGGCAGACTGAAATCCTTTTCCATTTAGTAAAAAAAACAGACAGACAAAATTATTTCCCTGTGATCTTTGTTGTCCAATATCTGTGGTACAAGATGTTTGCAGATTGTTGAAGTTTGTGCTCAGTCCAAGCAGCATTACCAGAGGCTCTTGTCATGGAGACTACTTCTTGTCAAAAACTTGTGATAAGTCACTGCAACAAAATAATAATTCTCCCGTATAGTTCTCCTTATTTGATCCAATACGACTGACAGGAAACTGAACTCCTCAAATAAAGGATCATCATTTCATTGACTTTGGCAGTTGACTTTGTGAAATACATGAGTTTTGAATGGCAACAGTGGCCTTCATTCAGAAGCAAGGCCTCTTGGGGTAAGCTGCCATAGTCAGACCAAGTTCAGAGACAATTTTTGTGAGACCGTTCAGACGTGGCCAGAGGGGGGTCCTCAACCCAAGAGTGGGGTGAGCTACCAGTATTGCTCTAGCCCCAGTTGCAAAACATGCTAACAGGACCTAGGATAGACCCTGGGAGTGGGTGGAACTGCCGGGCTCCAGACTAGTAGATAAGAATCCCATTTCATAGCGTCAGAATTAATTTCATGCTTTGCTATGAGCTGTGAGGCAGACCCCTGGATTTTCAGGCTTTGTTACACATTTAGATTATACCTCCAACCTGCCAGTAGCCAGTCAAGTGCTTTCTCTCAAATTAAAGTGGCAGATTCTAAATCCTCTGTATCTAGCCAAACAAGCATTTTAGCTCCCCCCACTTACTGTAATTGCAGGAGCTTTTTAGATAAATTGGAATATTTGTGTGAGCCACAACACTGCCATTTGGCATCAGGGGGATTAATTCTATAATGATCTACAAATATGAACATCCTGTCATTTGAGGCTTCTGGGGGAAAAAAAATGCAATTCAAATACAAACATGTGCTCATACTCTGATAGCAAGAACATTGGCAAGCTGTGTCATTTCAAGAGTCGACCTCAGGCATTGAGTAACGACCTGTGAAGCTAAACAATTTGTATTCATGTATTTAATTTATTTCACTGGAAATGTTGCATTAATAGCAATACAATGTGAAGGTAGTCGTAATGATTAGGTATGCCACCAGAGCTTGACATTGCACACTTTACACCCTGAGCTCCCAGTCATATCACAACAGACTTAAAAGTCAAAAGAGAAGGGTATGAATGCCGACATGACTAATTATTTGTCAAATAGCATTTAGGAAACTCTTTCAGGAAGCTTCAAAAGGACCTCAAGTAAAGCATTAGCTGAGTTCTTTCTTTTGTGGTTGTATAGTTCTACTATCCATAATCCCACCACTGGCCTTCATGGGATATATGCACTTTATTAAAGCTGTGCCCCAGCTGGTCTTAAAGTGTTATCAGGCGTGAGGATGCCTGTGCACTGTGATAGCTTGGCCCCTGTCAGATTCGCAGCCCTTTCCGTGCCACAAAGATTGAGAACTGAGCAATCAGTCTTGACGTGGAGGGTTTGCAAATACAATATGAGCGGAGGAAAGAAGCTGAAAGGCTCAAAATCCAGTAAGACCGTAAGTAAATAAGCCCATTGGACACAGAGAAGGGTTTGAGGACTGTAGCTGAGGTCCTGTCCTATTTGTTGTGTGCTGGAACATTCGGTCTTCACTGAGAGGAGGCCTCTCTGAGAGTTAAAACCCCTGTTTTTTATTTTTGTTTTATAAGCCGTTCTACCAAAAGTGACACTGCAGTTAGAACACTATCATTAAACTTTTATGGATTCAGCAGTACAAGTTTTTTTTTCGTCTTGCTTATACTCTATTCTCGTGTCATGGCATTCTCAGAATGGCAGTAAGCGCTACCAAAATACATAGAAATGGGGCTATGAAATGGGATTTTTGAACTAATTGTTAACAAGAATGGGTGTTTGTTGGCAGAAAAAAAGGAAAGCAGAATATCTTAAGAGTGAGTTTTCCCCTAATGGCCGCCCACTCTCACAGTCTTGTGGACCCTCCAGCCCAAAGATACATGAGAATTTAACAGTCCTGGCTACAGCACAGAGCCAACCCTCTCCCTCCCAAATAATAATGGGTCCAAAACGTATTCACAATGGGCTGATATTGACAATGGTATATACTGATTCAAAAAAGGCATGGATGCCAACATTTCTGGCATGTTGTTTTGAGAGAGAGAGAGTTGGAGCTCACTGACTATAGAGTAAGCACGCTCTGTAGTCAGGTGCTGGTGGTAAGAAAGTCTCTAAAATGTTGTATTTGTGGGAGTCAGGTACGTATGATGCAAACTATGCCTGTGATGTGTTTTTTTAATTTTTTAAAAAAGTTAAATGTTCTTATTTGCGGTTTATGCTGAGTATCCTGTGTTTTCATGTTTTTTCATGAGTTATCATTTTTTAACCTTAACTGTTGTTGTAGTTCTTTCTTTCGAGTCACCTGGGTTACAGAGAAATTCATTTCCCAGTACCCTCCTTCTGTTCATTATTTATTTCTTAAGCCCTTGTTTTGGAACAAAAACATGCTGCTTGATTTCCATGGGTGTCCTTTGAGTTTCTGTCTTAAGTTGCTTTGTGTGGAATGCCTATTTTTTATAACTGTGTTTCATTGTGTTTTTTTTTATTTTTTATTATTGTGCTTTTTTTTTACCAGACATTAAAGTCTAAATGTAATAATGAAGGTGCTTTTTTCACACCAAGATGGGGGTAATACATTCTCATCAAAGAAAAAAAAAAACATTGTGGAGGAATCCCGTCCTGGAAAGCTATATCGTCATACATGTCCTTTTATCCCTATAATACCAAATTCTGGATGAGAAGTGAAAATGTTTTATCGCTCCTTGCACAGCACACTCTCTCTGGACCAGCACAAGCTATGTAAGAGCTTGGCACAGATTAGAAGCAAGAGGCATTGAATTTGATTTAGAAAGTTCCTAGATGTGTAGGTTTTAATATGATTTGGAAGAAAACTTCAGAAACAAAATTAGCCACCGTGTTGAAAAGCTTTTTTTTACAAGTCCTGAAAAAAAGGAGAGACTATTCTATCTCCCAGCTTGTACTTCTTATTATGCTTATATATAGTTTATTTGAGTTTATGCTAATTTGGTATAATAGTTTTAAAACAAAAAGTGGAGATGTTTTTCTTGTTTATAACTTGTCTAGTTTGTAATTGTTAAAAAAAAGCATCTGCTTTTCTCCAAAATAAATGGAAAATAGATGACTTAATCCCTGTTGAATTTGCAAAATGAAACTATTGCCTTTTGATAGATTATTGTATGAGGTGTAGAATATTGAGTTCAGACATTGAACAAGATGACATGAGCAAAACTATTTCCTATGTTTTATGTTGTAATACAAAACAGGGCAAACAAATGGCTTCTGCTCTAAGTAAGACCAGAGGTTATTATTGTTGCCAAAGGTTTAAATCAATATGTCTGCTGAAGATAATATTTAACATTATAAAGCTTTACCTCTTAATGCAAAAATACTTTTTCAAGAACCACACTGGCCTGCATGTATAGTTCAAACCCCCAGGTATTTCCAGAGGGAAGCCATCTTGATTCATTATTACAAAGCGTGTGCCATTGTTCATTTTGGCCTGTTATGTTGACATTTGCTTGACAATTTTATTTTTATTTAAACATATTTTGCCTCCGTCTTTGTGTCTTTGTTTTGCAATTTTTTGTTGGAATTGCTCTTATTGTTTTTTTTTATCCTTTTATCATTTTCTTTATCTCTCCCATCTTTTTATTTTTTTGTTTTTCACCCTTCCTCCCCTACCCCATCCTCCTCCTCCTCCTCGTCCTCGACCCCCTTCCCTCCTTCCTTCCTGTCCTTTCAACCTCACCAGAGCCCTCAGAACCCCCTCAAGAAATTAAGTGCAGCAGCCACAGCTCCACCGCCCTGCTGGTAAGTTGGCGCCCCCCGCCTTTGAAGAGTCAAAACGGTGACCTGGCGGGGTATAGGGTGCGCTACCAGGTGGTGGGCCTATCAGATGGCAGCAGTGATGATGGGGAGCCCATGGAGGAGCCCACTGTCCCCGCAAATGAAGAGCAGATGCTGCTGCAGAGATTGGAGAAATGGACCCAGTACAGCATCTCTGTGTCTGCCTTCACTGTGGTCGGGCCAGGTCCTGAGAGCGAGCCCCTGATCTGCCGCACTGATGAAGATGGTACATGAATATCAAATTATCACAGGCTAAATGTAATGTAGAAATTGAGGTATTGTCTGTTAGTTTGATTGTCTAAGTCTCATCCAGTCTAAGGGTCCTACTACTATCCTAAATTTATAGAAATATCATAATAGAAAAGATTTAATATTTTAACAAGATGTTGGTAAGTAACAGGGAAGCATACATCTGTGAGAACCTGAGTAAAATATGTTGACTAGATAACGCACTTTGGAAATCAAGTGTGATGCTATTAAAACATAACCAACCAAATGTCATTCATAGCAGCCACCACATCCCATACCCTGCTTCTATGTGTCGGCTCTTAATAGTATCCCAGTGCTCAGCAGAGAGCCATAAGAGTTTATGAGCGTCATACTCTGCAGCGCCATAATTATTCATGCATTTATGATGGCAACAGGAGGTTGGAAGTTAAATCAGCAGGTGTGTGAACATTAAGGTTGCAACTTAAACCCTTAACTTAAACATGGAGCGGAACACAAATAGATACAGTCCTTTGTCTCTTTACTAACTACTCCTGTATCGCAATGGAGCACTGCACTCGTACCTTAACTACTCCACTCCGTTGTTTTTGATAATTTTATAATATATACTCAACTACAGTTTCTAGATGCAGAAAATGTACACTCTGATAATACAGACAAATAACCACGTTAGATTTTGCAGATTGTGAACAAAACTCATACTTGTGCTTGGATCAGACAGAAAGGAAATATGCATGTTAAAGCAGGTGAACCATAATAGACAATATCATGATATCAAAAACCTGGATAGCAAAAACTAAATGACAAAAGACAGAAGCACTAAAAATAAAATGCACAAAATGACAAGTAAAGATGCGAGCATGCCACAGCACAGCTGAATCATTGACGGATGGCTGACATTGCCTTCTATCCTCCTTGATCCATTTCACATCCATTACCACAGCATTTTAAAAAGCATTTATCTGACACTGATATACGACAAGCACAAAAGTAGAGACAGGCTTAAATGTTTACATACTTGTTTTAAAAGACACCTTTCCCCTGCGGTGAGACCACAGCTCACTGACAATAGCTATAACAAATTTCAAGGTGTCATCACGGTAATAATGTATGACAGAGAAGTGCCAGGTAAAGAAATAAGAGCCAGGACTAAAAGGTAGGGGGAAGAATTGGTAATAAACAAGATTGGTGCATGATCCAAGGGAAGGTGGGGGGGGGGAAATGGGGTTGTGATTTAGAGGGGGAGATGGGACTTGAAGTGTTTGTGGACGAGCAAATGGAGGCAGTTTGAGTGGAGGAGTTCTATTAATGGCACATCCATCTCAAAAAGGGCCAGTCCATGGCACTCTGAAAGGCCTGGAAGCAAGGCCTTCCATAAAGGCCTGTCATTATGACTGAGAGCTCCCTACTGAAAGCAGACAGACACGGCAGAGACATAATGAAAAGCTGGAGGAGACTGGAGGAAGTGATACAAGGTTTTTGGTTAATATGTTGGTTTGGTTGTTATCACTATCTGAAGACAGACATAGCAGTGTTTCTGTTCTCTCTAATTCCTCCTACTCGTTAGTTTGTTTTTTGAGTATTTTTAGTGCGTGTATTGAAAGGTAGACTCCCTGCACACTGTCTCTAACTCGCAAGCAAACATTTATTAGCAACGTTTCCGTACTAGACCTTCATCAAAATGTTTCACCTTCAAACCTTTTGTCAAAATGGGCAGGACATCTTAACTAGGAAGTGGCTACAGGCCCCGCAACCAATCATCATTATGATGTCAGCTCTGAAACAACAAATAAACATCAGCTTCCTGATTGAGATCACGTCTCAAAACAGCTACCGAAAGCCTAAAGAGGCAGTTCTAAATAACATACATGTATTTTACAGGTTATTATGATAGCTTTATGTACCAAAGGTCTAAAGAACACAGAGCAATGTTAACTGATTACACTGGTTGAAGATGGAACATGTATTTTTCCACATTTCTACTTACATCTGAAATAGTGAATCAGACCTGATGGACAAGACTTTTCAGCAAAACATATAACAAAACGATTCTGATTAGAGTTTTTGTACTATCCACAGTTCCTGGGGCTCCTCCAAGGCGGGTGGAGGTTGAAGTCCTCAACTCCACAGCATTAAAGGTGATGTGGCGCTCCTTGACTCCAGGAAAGCAACACGGTCAGATCCGTGGCTACCAGGTTCACTATGTCCGTGTGGAAAATGGCGAGTCAAGGGGCCTGCCCCTAATCAAGGACGTCATGCTGGCCGATGCCCAGGTATGAACATCTAACTGTTTCCTTCTCACAATGTCTTCTTGTAGGATAAACATTTTAATTCACCATATTCAAATTGTGGCCATCATTATCTGACATTGCTCTCTGGATGAGAATCACAAATTCTCTGTTTAAAGGTTGTAACTTCTATCAACTTGTATAGTTATTACAATATATCTGAGAACTGGTTAGCTACCATCAGACAACAGCTAATTTAGCATTAGCCACTTCACAGCTAATGCCACTGTTAGCTCAAAAGTGACCAAAGGCCAGCATAACCTTTTGTTAAGTGTTGTGCAATTAGTTTGAATATGTGGGAACTCCAAACTCACTGTAAAGTGGCTGAATGCTTCTATTAGCTGTTTTCTTATGGGAGCCAAGCCCTATTCAGACTAGCGTTTCAAGCCACGATATTTACGCCCCTGTGATGTTTTGCCTTCAATTTAAATGTCCTGGAGGCGTAATGGGGGGATGGAGTGTTCCCCCCTCTGTAACGTCGGCCGAGGTAGTAACAGAGGCGTTACAGATGCGAGACAGTGTCAGAGGAGCCTGCCGGGGAGTGCAGCGCTGTCTGACTGGATGTCTGACTGGATGTCTGACTGGATGTCTGACAGGGCGTTATGTGGAGCTCCTGCTGTGCAGTGCTTCCACCTGCTTCTTCTTCAACGCAGTCTGAATTCACCAATCCAACACCATCACCGAATCAAAATGAATGTACAAAGATGTGATGGAGGCTGAGCTTAGTTAACACACTTTTAAGGGCTTAAGTCTGCTGACACCTTTCCTATCGTAGCATAGCTTCATCGCATTAAGCCGCCTCTTAATTATTTGTTAAGTTAGCTACTATCTGAATGCCAGCTGTTGTCTGAAAAGTCATTAAATGTTTTGGTTTTATTAAGTTAATTTTCTTAATGCCTTATCTATGGTATCTTAACACTATTGAAAGGCTTTGTTAGCCCTCAGCTCCTTCATGATTAACAGTAATATTAGCTAGTATGTGGCTGATTGCTAACATTAGCTGGTGTCTGATGGTAATTTATCAGCTATCAAATAACTTGGTTGAACTTGAAACATGCCCTGACGCTCCTCTGTACTTTTTATTTTATTTTTTTACTGTTAATGATCTTTTCATTTGTTTTATTAGAATCTGGAAGTGTTAAGTCAGATTTTCTACATTAATGCTACTCAGAGCATTTTAGCTTCTCACCCTGAGCGTAATGACAGATATAAAATGGCTGCCATTTGAAAAGGATCAATTCTACTAAATATATTTCCAGGTCTTTCTTTCGATGCATTTTTCAGACAAGATGAAAAGAGAGTCACCAATTAAATAGGATAAAAGTTACACCGATGGAGTGATTTGTTCTTTTGTGACATTTCAAAGAAACTCTGCCCCACTTTCGTGCTCACAAAAAAATACAAAAAAAAACACAAATTGTCTGCTTCTTTCCGGCTGTGTGGCTTTGCAAATATTGCTGCAGTATGGAAGCGATATGGGTGCTCTCCCCTCTTGGATTTCATTTCATATTGCTGTAATATTCTTTTCCCCTCAGCCCACAACAAGAACTCTAATCACAGCTTCACTCATCTTGTCCTCCCTGTTCTGCCTCTACGGCTTTTATTAAGAATTTCCAGACCCTGCTTTATGGCAACATCTGCCATGAAATGCCTGATCGTATGCTTGTATCAAATGGAAAAAAAAAAAAGACTCAAAGAAAATGCTTATTATAGTATTCTGTGCCTGGGGGGCAAAAGGAAAATTGGCATGAAAACATTTTACCAAAAATATCAGCCTCCACTGACAGCTGGAATTGTAATGGAGCTCTGTACACTGAAATGATTTTTTTTTCTTTACAAACCTTCTGTCAAAACATTTCTGAGAAATCCTTTCAGAGTGTGACTTATGTACACATGCAGTATCAACAATTGTAATGCAAATTATAGCCGTGACGCAACGGAGTAAACACCACAAAAAATGAATAGTTGAATTCAGTTTTGTATATTTTGAGAATGAATTACTCAATTTTATTTTCCTAATTGAATGAAGGTCCATTCAGCCCAAATGATGTCATGATGACATTTGGGGGATTTTGATGACCCATGAGACCAGGAGTAGAGTTAGCTTAAAGTCATTCAATTGTGAACACAAAGCCCTGCACAACCTCACAGCCAATAATGAATCCCCTGCAGAAACATATTTTTGGATTGTTCGTTAATTAAAAAAAGCCCCCAGCATTGAACCCGAAAGCTGCATATTAGTTAACACATTGGGCGTACCTCTGTTAACACAGAGTTAGCTTAGCGAAGCTGTCAAATGGTTAAACAACTCCAGGCCCATCAAGCACACCTGTCCAACTCTCAGCCTTGTTTCAGCTGCTCCTCATAACATAAGCTTCAAACAGCTTCTCTCTCTCCTTACCGCCAAAAAAAACAATGACCTATTTCTGATACCAACCCTCTGCTCTGAACCTCTAATGCCCCCGTCTCTCACAATCCTATTTCTTCCTTTTCTTTTCTCTCTCTTTCTTAAAAAAAAAAAAAAAATCACTCTTTCTCCTGCACTCTCCTCTTTGGCGGGGGGGGGGTTAGTGGGAAACGGACGATACAGCCGAATATGTGAGTACGAAGTTTCGCCTGAGTGCTATGTGTAGCTGCGGGGGTATAAACAGTGGGTATTTCATCAGCCTTGTTGAATTCACAGTTTACACAACCCCTCCAGACTTTATTCAATAAGTTTGGATAAAGTGGCTCAGAGGTTACACCTCGGCTCACTCTGGCCGACCAACCGCTACACTATCTCTATAAGCCACTAAGGAAAAGAGGACAAACTTCTATTGCCAGCTAGCTTCTACAAAATGGTGGCTGATGCAATATCCACTGCCCGCTGTGCCTGGAATGCTAATGCTACTCATGCCATGCTGTGTGTTGATGCAGTGTTTTTGTCTTGTGTTCTTTTGGTGTGTGTGTTGTTGTTTTCTTTATGATTTTTTGAACCGTGTTATTTAATTTCATGTGGTGCCTTAGAATTCCTGTGCTTCCTTAAGTAGACTCGCTTTTTTTTTTGTGTGTGTGTGTGTGTGTATATTCCTCTTCAAATCTCGGATGATCATTCACAACTGCAGATTTTCTTCAACGAATTGTACCCTTATTTTGAACCCAAATTTAAAGCCCCAGTCTATCTGCATTACGTGAATACCATCTCAAGTACCGACAGTACTTATAGCTCATTTACCTTTATTGACCTCTCCCATCCCTCTGCCAAGCAGCCTGTTAAAAACCTCATTCTGCATTCGTTCAAACCTGCTCTCTTGAAAGATTCATTAGAATTGATCGGAAGCCTCTCTTTGAAGAGGACTCAAGGAAACTTAATGGCTGAGGTAAAAACTGCCGGCGAATGGGCAGGATGCATTCAGCATGCATTTATCACAAAGTTAAGTTGTTGATTGGAATATGGCTAAAGGAATAAGAAGGGCTACTTTCCATTTGCATACTTAATGTCCCTGCTCCACCTTGGCAGCTCTTAGGATTTGCTTAATGGAATGTTCTCCCATTACAGAGGAAGAAAACCTTACATTTAATGCATGCCTCGTGAAAATTAATAAAGAGAACCAGGAAACACTTCACTAAGTTTAACATTCTGCATAAGGCCGTTTGAGCTGCATGCAGGGGGGTAAAATCATCAATAATTCAAGACATTTTTTGACATTTTCCTGTTCCTGTGTCTTCCCTATCTCCCATAGGAAATGGTAATTGGAGGACTTAAGCCAGACACCACTTACTCCATCACAGTGGCAGCGTACACCACCAAGGGGGATGGAGCCCGCAGCAAACCCAAACTGGTGGTGACCAAAGGGGCAGGTCAGTACAATGATAGATGTTTTATCTGCTGCTTTATTTGCTCATCCTGTGGCATATTCCTTTTTTAGTCAATGGTGAAATGACACATACCTCAGGTTGCTTGGCTATCATCTTTCTGTGATATCAGCAGTAAAGGGACTCTCATTTTGGGCCAGAGTTTGGTGCTTTAACTGAAACAAAATGATTCCCAAGATTCGGATAAAGCAACACAGAACAAATACAAAAAAATCTGATAAAGTGCAGTTGGGGTAGATTTAAGGTATGTCTTCTGTTAAGACTTCTGCTTCATAATAATGGGGATTTTTCAACTATTTCACCAAAAAAATGAAGAACAATTCAGTCAGTGGAGTTGATGTTTGTTTCGAGCAGTGCAGCATTTATCATTTGAATCATGCTCACAAGACTAGCCACAGATATTTTGAGATCAAGGAGTTGGTGCGAGGTTCTTGAAGATTTTTCAGACAGATTATGACAGCTTGAGAACCCCTGTTGGGCCGTTGGTCTGAGCATTAAAGATAAAATAAACGCTAATGCCTGCACACTACAAAGCCTTGTCTTTTTCAATTTTCTCCCTTGTTACCACTCCCAGGCTGGCCAATTCAGCCAGACCGCTTGAGCCTGTGTTGAAGTCAGCAGCTTAGTTACCGTGAGTGTGATCTAAACCTGTAAAGCTCGCCGCTTGAGAAAGTGAAGGCTTTCTTTGTGAGAATTCAGGGCGTCAAGGCTAGCTAGGAGCAGCCTTTTGTGTGAGAAAATGTGCCAGGCTTCAGATAGTCAATATGTACACAACTGCATTCATGCATTACTTATATATGAACACAAACCCCTACATACATACATACATACATACATACATACACACAGTGAATTGCACATCAAACACACAGGGTATATGCAGACCTATACTGGGGCATTGCCTGGACCTCTGTGCAGGCAGGAGGTAATACAATAACAAGCTTAGTGATACACACAAACAACTCAATCTTGCAACCCAACACACAAACACAGGAACATTTCCCAGGTCCTGACAGGTGTGTGTGTTACATGTGTCAGGGAGTGTGATGCTGCCAAAGGGGGTTGAGTGAGTGCTGTCACTCTCCATCCTCCTGTCAGGCCGAGCTGACTGATGTGCCAGTCTGGCGCACTCTGTCTGTCCCTCAGAGGGAAAGCCTCTCCTCTCTTTTTATTGTTGAAGTGTAAAGAAACGGTTAAGGCCAGGGGGCCGAGATAAATAGAAAAAGGGGAATGGGTGAGAATTGGGGAGACATGGCTCTGCGGAGTGAAGAGGCTGTCTTTCTTGTTCAGTGGGATGTTGGGATGGCCCAATGGATGGAAGTGTTTCCAGTAGTTATCGGATTTCTTTCAAATGGGGGAGTTTCCTGAGATCTGTATCAGGCAAAAAAAAAAAAAAAAAGAAAAGAGATGTTGCTCCTGTGGACATTAAAAGTTAGGGGGCTTTAAAAATGACTACTTTTCAGAAACAAGCCCCCAAACAAGACTTACATGTCTAATTACATCAGTCTCATTCAAATCATATATAGCATTCAAATAAAACAAAAAACAGCAACTGGAACTATTTATATATAAATAAAGCTTTCCAGTTTGACAGAATCTCTAAGGTACAATGGTAACATAATTATAAAATAACAGAATTCACGTTAGTCCCTATTTCCAAGAACCCTTCCTACAGCTTACTCATTCTAATTTGCTTCTGGATTATAATTATTATTATAATATAATGAATTCATTAAAAAAAACTAAATGTAAACATGACTTGACTTCTTTCTTATTCACCCTACATATTAATGTTTGAACGTACTCTGCAGAACCACTAGAACACTGTAAATGTGTGAACTAGTCAACAAAATCAATGCTTTTATTTGCATACAGACACACATTAAGCTCTAAAAATCTTCTTTTTTTTTTTTTGCAAACAGCAGGTTTTTCAGAGTTAGCGTTTGCCTTCAGAAACGATGACGTCACATTTCTGTTCATTTAAGAAGAAAGAAAAGCCTGTAAGATAAATCAATGTAGAACGTCACAACAAGAAGAGATTTTTTTTTTTCCGCTACTACAAAATCGATTCAGAACAATCGTGGAGATTTTTTTCATCAACGTCCTGCATTCCAAACATGCCTCTTTGGTGTTTACGAAAGTGTGCAAAAAGAATGTATCTCAGGACTCTGTTGGATCTGAAAACAGGGTGTGAAACTTTTTTTATGATTCACAGAAAAACATCATCCTTTCTGTGGCTGGAACTGTCTTTGTTTGCTGAATGAAAGCCAGGTTTGAAAAGTGCCTTTTCATGATTCATACTTTCCCAACTCTTGCTTTGAGGAGAAATGTAACCATGGCCAATGTGAGAGATAAGTTGTTGTTTTTTTCTTGTTGAGGAAGCCAAAAGAGTCTTTATTGACAAAAGATTGAAATGTTTGCGTCTGGAAGCGTTGTTCTGCCATCCCATCTGCAGTTTTTCACTGCCACAATCAATGACATGCTTTGTCTTCTTTTCTTGACTGGCCCTTTAGTGTGAGGATGTTTAAAATAATAAATAAATAAAAAAAGCTTAAACTGTCAAAAAACTCCAAACTGAATGAAACAGCATGTTTCTCAGATATAATTCTCTGTAGGTAGCCGACTGTTACTTGAGACCTTCTGAGCCCACAGCACAAGGAAAAGTGTAAGATTTGAGGCATGCCAAGTCAGCGAGAGATACTCAGGAGGAGAGCTGATGTGTTTGTAGAAAGGGACAAAGGATATATATATATATATATATATATATATATATATATATATATATATATATACACACTGTATAAGCGCTGTTTGCATTTTCCTTGGACAATTTATTATCTGGTCATGACGCAATGATGGACTGATTATTTTTGGAAGTTTCCCTTGAGCTGTTAGTCATTATGGGAAGTGATTTGCGTTATGCATTAATTGTGTTGCAAGTCAGAGTTGATATAGATGCAAATGAACTCAGTCACATTGTTGTTACACAGGAACAGAACACATTAGTAGGGTTTCCTGTACTTGAAATATCTTGTCAGCTAACAGGCTCCCATCCCCCAACCTGAAAGCACTTTATTATGAATGTTTCATCCTGTTAGAGGATGCTGAGGGATGCCGGTGTGTATTAAAAGGTGTGGAAACGTCAGATACATTCAGCCCGGTTTCCCTCATCGTTTGTTTAGTAACTTCCTGATTTTGATGCTGGTCTTGTAAGAAAACATCAATGTAGTTACTCCTTCTCTTTGTATTTTCTTTCTCTCTCTCTCTCTCTTTCTCGCTTTCTTTGAAATGTTTGCACTCTAAATGGGCCATGTAACAATTTTCGCAGATTTGAGTCCATGCACTGTAATTTCCTACCCTTCCAAATACTCCCATCCATGGACCCCTTTCATATACTGTACACAAATCAAGGAGAGTTATGGATTGAAAAAGACTTCTCAAACCCCTTTGCCATTAGATAATCCAAATAATTAGCAGGCCATTGCTAAGAGTTGATTTCCTTTTAGGACATAATTTAAATGTAAATGTATGTGAGCAAAGTCAATTACAAACATGCACAAGAAGTGATATTTTTTGTATGTATATATGGTGGTATGTGTGCACATGTCTGGTGTGCACAAGAGAGGGAGGAAATGAGACGGAAACCTGATCACCCCTTTCTCAATCACGCTGAGTGAGTGTCAACAGCAGGCTGTTAATACTGTGGCCTGATGGGAAACGTGCTGGAGGCCCACAAGGAGGGATTGAGCCAGGGTCGAACTTGAAAGGGTTGCAGAAAGAAAGAGGGATGGAGGGGGCTGGAGTAGGGGTGATAGATGGGGGAGTGGTGTGGGGTGCGGGGGGTAGTAAATGAAAAGGGGGATTGGGCTGGGTGCAAGGGGAGCACTGGGTGAAAGAATAAGGTAGAGTATCAGGGAGGAGAGAGATGAACACAGAGGAGAGGGACAATCATGGTGGCGAAGAACCCCAGAATCACTCATGTAGAAACACACACACATTTCTGCCTCCTCACATACTTCTTGGGCCATCTTTGCAGCAGATTGCTCCTTGTCCCCTGTCACCTTCATCATCCCTCATTCACTCATTATTCACCCTCTCACCATGCCCTTACCCTCCCTCTCTCATCGCTCTGTGCACGATGAATAAACACCCATCTGTTGGGTCAGTACCCATGATCCTTCTCCCTCCGGTGCAGTTGACCACTGTTTTAATAGTACAAATAATGATTTTGGGGCCACAAATGTTGTGATGGATACAGTTGATACACTGATGAGAGTTGCAGCGAAACACAACAAACTCAGTGTGGAAAACACAGACACACACAGAGTCATCACGGGATCATTATCTCCGATTCTATTTCCTTTATTAGCGGCAAGCATGAAGGCAGAGTCGGCTTTAAATGACACCAAGCTGAGCTATAGTATCCAGCCGAGGAGTATTAGGAGCATTTGTCTCACCCAACTCCAGGCGCCCCCGCCTTTCCATTACCGGGAAAGGCTCAGCCGACTAGCCACCATCCACCCACCAAACCCCCATCTTCCGCTAGCAGCAGCCCTCAGAAAGAAGACCATTAGCAAGCGGAAATGAATAATACGAGTAAAAGGATAAGACTGTAGAGTGGAATGCTTTGTGTGTGTGTGTGTGTGTGTGTGTGTGTGTGTGTGTCTGTGTCTGTGTCTGTTTTTACTACACATACACGCACATTAAAGATTTTCCTCTCGGTATAGGACTTTTAACCGTATGTAGGCACATGTACACAGACACACACACGCACAATGATACTATTCCACTGAGAGGGAGCACTTTACCTCTGACTAATGCTAGCTTCTCCAAATTACTTTAAGTCCATACTGGGCAGCAAGCCAAACAGCTCTGTGTGCAGGTGGAATGATGATATAGAAGCTGGAGCTGGCTGCATACCAGGAGGTACCTTGCCATCAAACACATGAACACATACATGCACAATCCTCATAATTCATCACATACAAAGATACAAACAATCTGATTTACATACGCCACAGACTATAAGGCTCATATGGATGCTTGAAATATAGTCATGTAGTGTATTAAACACAAGCTTGTGATCTATAAAAAGGCACACGCATCATAACTGTGGCTTCTTAAGATACGGTTTAAATGTTTTCTGCACTTTTAAACACAGTTTATAATTTGTATTCAGCTTACTCAGCATTTCTTTTATTTATGCTGAGAAAAGCTCTCACTGAAAGGACCAACGAATCTGCCGCCGACCCATTTTGCAGACCCAGTTGGCAAGCTTTTTGAATTAGATGTACATACAATCTCATTTAGGGGAATGGAATCTCATTTCTAATGACAAATAAATTCATGTTTTGCTCCCCAAAATTCTAACATTGCTTCTTGTTGACAGTTACTGGTATCTGCTCTGTCATTGCCTTGTGTATCCGAGAAAGAAGGGACATACATGAGTGAGCTGAGATAAGATCTATTTGCAGAACAACTCGGCTCAAGTCTGAATCAGACACACTCATCTCTCTGAAAGCTTTGACAGCAACCTGAGGACTGAAGGCTTCCCCTAACTACTGCTGCTTCGATCAAACTGATGGGGCCTTGGAAGGAGAGTTAAGACGAGATGCGTGTCATCCACAAGAGCGGCAAAACTGGGCCACTCTGAAGAATGGTGTCTAGACCCCAAGTGTAGATCATCCATTTTACAACAAGGGATGACTCTTGCAGCTGAAAGAGGCACTGTTCTCTGCTTAAAGTTTTAGTGATGCTTTGCAGTACAGAAATGCTTTTGGTTGGAGCTTACATGTATCATGAAATGATAATGGGTACACTCATCACCGCAACTTTTTTGCACCACAACCGGACTCACTTTGTATGGCTGTTATCTCATGGATGGCCCGAAATTAAAATTCTATTCTTGGTCTACACTCTGTAATTTGTTTATATCTACTATTTGTAACGTCCTTCCCATTTCTATTGGGTTAACTGCTTGGGCTCTAGAGTTGCTCCTTAGAGTGTTCTGCAGAACTTCTCATCAGATTAACTTCTCACTGAAACTTCCGTCCCTGGCGTCATCAGCAGTACACACAAATCAAGTGTGAGGTTGAGTGGATCAGCCCTTCTCGAGATATACCAAGGACAGATGGACTTATTCGCTGAAAGCTCTTGAGTCTCATCTGCAGGCAGCCCCTGATAACTTTTTAATGATGACATACATTATAAATATCATGCAGGTCTCCTTAATTGTTTCTCAAGTAAAGTTTTTGCTGTATTTGTGGCATTTGTTAAATCGTGATTAACATCAGCATGTTTTGTTTTGGAACCTTTCATTTTAAAAACTACATTTCCATACAAGAGTAAAGCACAGGAATTAAGTTCTGCTTTGTTTCTTTGTCCCCACAGTGCCTGGTCCTCCCTATATGTCAGTGGCTCAGGACTCAGACACATCAGCTATGGTTCGCTGGGACCCTCCTGACCTGACCAATGGCATGGACCTGATGGGTTTCCGCCTCCAGTTTGGCCGAAAAGATGTGTCTCCTTTGGCCACACTGGAATTTGCTCCCCAAGAACGACAGTACTCTGTGGTCAACATTCACCGGGGTGCCATCTATCTCTTTAAAATCTCAGCCAAGAGCAGGGGGGGCTTTGGGGAAGAGGCTTCTGTAGAACTCAATGTGCCTGAGAAAACACCAGGGGGATATCCTCAAATTGATGAGCGCTCCAACGTGACATGTTGCTCAGTGCAGCTGTCCTGGTCTCCCCCTGTGCTGGCAGAGAGGAACGGGGTTATTACGGCGTACACGTTGGCTTATAAGGAAACCGGTTCTGGAGGAGCACCAAGTGAGCTCCGATTGCCCCCGAGCCAGTCCAACTATGTGCTCAACAGCCTCAAACCCAACTCAGCGTATGATGTGAAAATACGAGCGCACACCAGTATAGGTCCAGGGCCCTACAGCCCGCCTATCCAGTATCGGACCGTGGCCTTTGATCCAACAGGTAGGGCTTGCCTGTTTCTTTCCGAACCCGGTTGGCAGGGGGTTGGAATTTGGCTAACTATAGTTGGCTGCAACTATACTAAAATGAAAACTGCCCCACCCCCTCCTTCAACCACCTCCACTCGTCAAGAAAGAAAAACATGATATTTAAATTGTTTGACCTGGGACACTCACTTCACTAACCCAAACAAGGTAAAACCCAAGTCAGCAAGTTATAGTCAGTCATTTTGAGAAAGAGGAGAGCAGCATAGAATTTCAAGGTAAGTGCTGTTTGGTCAGACACTCCGGTCAGTCATCCTTGCAACCCTTTACCGAGCACACTCACACAGCTATATGTCATCTCACATCCCAAGGTAGGACCTCAGTCAAACTCAGTCACTCTAAGAGTATTTTTGGATTATTCTAAGATGATAGACAGAAGATTTTGTTTCTTTATTTATTTTAGTTTTTTGGGTTTGTTTTGAGATATACCACCCTTTCGAACCCCCATTCCTTCCCTAATTCCCTCACCCCCCCGTCCTTATGGGACATCTTGTGGCATGGCATCCCCCAGATGCACTGCTAAGGACTGTTGGCATGCTTTGTTTTGGGTCTGTCTCTATGCCCACCTGGCAGTGCGTTGGCAGTGCCAACCTAGACTCAGTTAGGCACTGAGACCACATGGATCAGTTGCTAATTTTGATCCATCCAAAGTGGTCATGGGTTCAGAGGTGATGAGTTAGGTTGGCACTACCAACGATGGCTAGCCAGTGGGCGCACTTTGTGCTCCATTGGTTTTGTCGTCCATGAGTCTTTTGTGCTGTGTGTCTTAACCAATAGCGTTACCCTTCTCACAGCCAATCACAGCTCACCGATACACTCACTCTCCAACCAAGAGGAATTTTGCAGGGGAACAACTTCTTTATTTAAAACCAAAGGTTCTTTTTTTTGTTTCTCATTCCTAGGTCTTTCTACATGCCTGGTGTATTAACTGTACTTTTCTCTGTTATTTTTTTCCTTCCATTTTTCCTCTTAACAGATGTTCCAAAGAATTTTACTGTCAAGTGGGCAACTAAGACCACAGTGGTCCTAGCGTGGAAGTTTTCTGAGAGCAGGTCTCCATACAAATGCACGGTGAGTTCATTTTGAGGGATGAAATAATTTCAATTGTTCATCTTAATTTGAAAAACATACAGATAATGTCAATTTGAATTCCCGGGCTAATTCCCGTGTTACACTCTGAAATAAAAAGGGCTGGGCTTTACAGTAACCAAGAAGCAATATTAAGACATATTGCATATTTTAGTGCCTGATTATAATCTGAAACCCTGTACTTAAGTTTGCCCTTTTACTTGACCAGTCTTGTGTTATGAACACTTGTCTATATTTTACCAAACAAATCAATACAAATCCTCTATCTCTCATGCCAATATTCACAAAACTTCCTGATTATTTTGATCAAACTTTAGATTGAGTACAACCGGCAAAAGATGGATGTGGACGCCAGACAGATGAGGGTGCTCATTACCGGGCTAAGGCACAACAACACCTATGAGTTTAGGGTGACCTGCCAAGAAAGCATGGATGGTGGGCCGAGACATCGTGTCTTTGCCAAGACAGCACCCCTTATCTTGGTCAAGAAACCCAAGTTAGACATTTATGCTGAGCCTGACAACATGCTCACCATGTCCTTTCCACCGGTCGATAACAAGGATGTCAAGTGAGTGAAGTTTTTCTGAAGGATTGGTTCCGCAAGCTCTCTCTCTGGTTATCATTTAAGGCAGAGGCACTAAGGTTTAATTCCTGAAATGCTTGAGATATGAAGGGAAATGGATGGAGCTTTCAATATTTCTTTAATGTGTTAAAATTAGAATTGTTCTGATACTATATTTTGTCCTTCCCCAACTGATGCTGATAGTACCTGAACAACTTAAGTTATATGAGGGTTTAATTAACATTATAAATTAGCCCCATTGCGCAAGCACTACAGTACTACCATTTTCTGTCATCTTTGGAATGTTTGCATCTAAAATACCATATAGTATCAATCACTACATTTTTGTCTGTTTGCTTGTTTGTTTTACATGTTTTCAGGAATTTCTATGTGGTTGTGGTTCCACTGAAGAGAACCGCAGGAACTGTCAAGAACCTTAATAATCCTGATGAGACGGATATGGAAGAGGTATGGTATTTTCAAAGCAGAGAGTAAGGGTTTATCCTGGTACACCAAATAGTTTTGGGCATATATGACTGCATGTTTTTCCAAAGGAAGAGGCTGATTCCATATCAGTATCTTTTTTAGATTTTCCTCTTTGTTCTCTCTTGTCAAACTTTGTTTTCAGAAAGGGATTCCAGGAACACATGTTTGTTTCATTTACATGCAACACAGACAAAAGTGTTTCTCTGCTATGCTAATTTATCCCCCAAAAGCCAGCAGTAGAAAGAATTACACAGTCTTCTCCCACTCTTCCCAAAGCTCAGGGTCACCTTGCCTGCCAGATCAACAGCAACCCCTCCAATTGGATTTGTAATTACACACATTCACCCTGCCTACTGCTCAACTCTGTCTACAATTTGGAGTTTGCAAGAAAGTCATTAGCTAGAAAGTCCGAGGGTTACATTGACAGTATGTTAACTTTGGTCTCAGTCAGTTCACCAATAGGGACCTTGTTCTTGTACAGAGCAGTAGAGAAAATCTCCACATTACATATTTGCTGTAAAAAAAAAAACCACTCCTGGTTGACTCGTTTAATGGTTGTATCAGTAGGAATGTGACGCCCCCATTGTTGTGATGACCATTCTTGTAGTTTTAAGCATTGAAGAGTTTGACTTACTTATTCAAGACATTTTTATATTTATCTCTTTTATCATCTAAAGTTTTTAAGTTGTTTAAACGTTGTTTTATTGTAAAAGATCTGTCAATTAACTTGGAGCTAATGGTGTAGAAACTGGTAAAAACCAAAGAGGACCAGAAAAAAAAGTTAACTTATACCATTTTGCATCAATCAGCTGTTGCGTGGGGTGACCCCAAAGCGCCGTTCACGTCGTCAGTTGGCTCAGCTGGACCAGAGGAAGCCCTACATCACAGCCTGCTTCAGGCAGCTGCCCTCCAGCTTCACAGTGGGATCTGATCATCGCCACAGCAGCTGTGAGAACAAGCCTCTTGAACCTGGCCAGGAGTACGTCTTCTTCCTGCTGGCTGAACTCAATACCACTGCCGGGGTGAGTTGCGTGTTCAGTTCAGTTCAGTTGACTCAGTTTAATTCATTTTACTTTCACAGATCCACAAAACTAAAAAAAAAAAAAAGGATCTTTTGTTGATACCATGAATATGTCCAACTAAATTTAGCACTGATACTCTTGAATATTAAGGCAAAAAGTCTCATTATATCTTTGGACTCTGCCTTGTACGCCACTTCCGTGGCATTCTTTATAGTTCATGTACTGCCTCTTGAGACCTGCCGCCTGCTGACAGGTTTAGCCTCCTGCTTTAAGGTGCATGTGTGAACTTAACATGTGCGTATCTTAACATCAACCGAATTTGTCCCTGTACAGAAAATGTTTGCTACCAGTCCTTATACCGACACAGTGATGACTCCGGAGCTAGTGGTGGACCCCCTGCCAGTAGAGACTGGGGACGGACTCATATGGGTGGTGGGCCCAGTCCTAGCTGTGGTCTTCATCATCTGCATCGTCATTGCCATTCTCCTGTATAAAAAGTGAGTTGGTATAAACACTTCTTCATCTTTTTTTTGGGAGAGTGAAGTTGCACCAGTATTTCGACTAAACTCTGTAAAAGAAATACCTTTTGTTCAACATCAAACAATAGAAAAAGAGCCTCGGGGTAAAGGTTTGGATATAGCGCATTGCTAATTTGAGCTCTAATCTTTATTCTGGAATGAACAATAAAAGCTGATCTTTCCAGCCTTATTACCAACCTCATCCTGAGGATTGAACAATTCAGATTTGCATTTTTAGTGTCGTACTCCAGCCACTGGTCTGTGAAAATAGAATAACTATGATCCCATTTCTTTCCTGAATCTGGGTAGATTCACTGCAAATTTTAGGATTTTTTTCTTACAACCCAACATACAGTGTATATTTTCTTGATATTTGATGTTGAACTAGTTGTTTGCTGTGTTACTGGAGATTTGGGCTTTTGCAACATAATTGCATGTTAGGGAGCATGTTTTAAGTGGGGTGTATTTTGTATTCATGGTAGTATGCTGTTCAAAAAAACCCAACACTACTTTTGCATGTTAATGAAATATGAAGCAGCTTTTGTTGTGAAGAAGATGGTTTTGGGAAGTGAGGGGGTTTGAGAAATGAGAGAGGAAGAGATTCTTTGAGATGGTGCTCAGTTAATGTCCTAAGTACAATGCAATCTACTGATGAAAGAGTCGTCCATGATATGTATTTCAATAGGTATCTATTCCAGATAAAACCTTTTTTTTTTCCGGAACAAACACAACTTTGTTATTCCAAAGTTGCCCAAGTGACACAAGTTGTTTCAACCAGCATTAGTGTAAGACTTACGAAGTTATAGCTTTTTGTGAAGGAAGTGTTAATATGTGTACATTTGGGCATCAGAGCCTGCTTTTATGTAAAATGAACCTTACCGTAGGCAGCTCTAGAACTATAAAAGTCTAAAGAAATAGAATATTCCTCAGTGTCCTGGGGCTTTGAAGCATACAGTATGTATTCAGTCAATAACGCTTCCTTGTTTTATTGTAAGTTGTAGCTTTTAGTTCTAGTGGCACCATGGCCCAACTGAACCGTGATGTAAGAGGGCGCCCTACATACCAGGGTAAATCCCTGAATTATTGTTAAGGCAGCCAGGCCTGGTGTAAGCAACACAAGTATAGATTGCCACTGTCAGATGATCCCTGACTGTCTGACCTTGCTTTACCTCCTTCTTGGTGGTTAGGGAGAGTAACATCTCTCCTTGGATCTCTCTCTTTTTTCTCTCTTTTCATTCTCTTCCCCTTGCTCTCCCATCTCCTGCTCCATCTCTCCCTGGTGAATAGTGTTTTCCAGGTCTGCCCTTGGCCCTGACATTCCCTTACGCCGCTCTTTATCCATACCCTCATGCACACACATCAGCACACACACACACACACACACACACACACACACATCCATACAGATGCACGAATGTATGCTCTTACTAGCACAACTTATTGAATACTTGCTTGTTCTCACACATTGATACATGTGCACACATGCACACGCCTCCTCTTAACGCTGATGAGCTTTATCTCGCGTTTTTTGCGAGCCCAGCAGTGACCCCTGCAAATTTTAAACTGCTCTCTATTGATTTATCTCTCTTCTTGCCTTCCCCCTCTCCCTCTCTCCTTGTGTGTTGTTTTCACCATCTTTATATATTTATTTGACTCCAATTGCTTTCTCTGGAAAACAGCAAACCTGACAGGTAAGGTTTAGCTGTATTTTATTGCATTTTACTGGCGGAGACAAAGTAGCCTGCCTCAGCAAAACAGATGCCTTTAATTAGTGAGGTTCAAGGAGAATTTTGCGTACTTGATACGCTTTCTCAGCTCCTCATGTCTTGCTTACTAAAAGTTATTCCATTGTTCGTGTGTGTGTGTGTGTGTGTGTCTCAACTCTTGTTTGTCTTTATTTTCAGCCGCAAAAGAAAAGAATCAGAGCCACGCACCAAATGTTTGCTTAACAACGCAGACATCACACCCCACCATCCTACAGACCCTGTGGAGATGAGACGCATCAACTTCCAAACTCCAGGTACAGAAAGGATACACAGCACATTCAGATACCAATAAAGTGTTGATGTAAATTTAAAAAAACATATATTAGGGTAGTTTGAGCTGCATATTCAAAGTTTGTGTGTGTCCAGATAGGACTGACAATAAAAATAAGATTTCCTTTTCACTGAGATTTAGTAGATATTTTGAACACTTAATGCAGTGTTACATCCAAATGTAACTGAGTGAAAAAAGAAGGAGCTCTGTATTTTAAAAGACTTTTTTTTTTTTTTCACACTTTTTTGTCAGAGTTGTAGAAGAAGAACTGGATTATAAGAAGCTAAACACACCTTCATAATAACTTTATTACTCTGGCTGATTTAAAATGATTTCAGAAGTTTTAATGCTTTCAAAGTAAAAGTTTGGCAGAGATTTCAAAACCTCTCTTTGGAACCAACTAAAATTGGAAAATAAGTTGTGAAAGTTTGGCCAAAAAATTATGAGCAAGAACTCTAATCCCAAAGAAAATACTGTTATTGGCGGCCATGTTGGCCATACTGTATATGTTATCACTTTGGACCTTTATTCCTCGAATTGAGTTAATCCTTCACAGTGATAACCTTTTACTTATGTTTAAAAAAAAAAAAAAACACATGAAAGTGTTTTTATATACACGTGATTTACATGCGTCTTTGTAGATTATAACATTGGCACACACATGCACACAGCCGACACAGATATTAACTCTTCACAAGTGATGCAATGTAGAGTTAGACTTATGCTGCAGCATGAAATATGTCCATGAAGTTCTCCCACGTCATTCTGTTCCACATTATGTGCCTCCATAACAACATGTTAGCCATATTTATGTGTTTGCCATTTCCCGCATTTTTGAATAACAACGGGTTAGAAAATCATGTCTGTTGATGGATTTGATGTTTTGATGCTGGAAACAAATCCTGTTTTTAAATTCTCTTCTGATTTACCTGTTTCTTCTTTTGTCTTACTTTCTGCCTGGTGTTCATCCGAGCTTAAGCCTGGTGTTAACAACAGAGCACATTCGATCCCCCCCCCCCCCACTCATTCTCTAAGGCCTCCTCATCTTCCTCCTGCCTCCTTTTCTGATCAATTATCTATCGGCCTGTCTTTCTGTTTTCTAGCCTGCATTTGAGGCTACAGTTTTTTCTTATTTGTCTTCATCAATGTTTCCTAGTTTGCTTATTTGTGATTGTTGTATTTGGTTATCTAACTTTCCACTTCCTGATAAGAAGCCATGTTGGTAAAAAGGAAAGAAAGATTACTTAACAGGGATGTTCAAGTACTATATAAGCGTGTGTGAAAACCTGTAATCCTGCGCTTTGAGTGGACAGAATGTTCAGACCAATCTAACTGCCGTCTAAGTTACCTCTTTCTAAACATAATGGATGAGCTTGTGTTTCCACAAGATGGATTTATTCGATTCTCTCGTCGAGGACTCTGTTTGACACAAGACTGAGACCTGCATCTTGAGGAACTCAAACTGTATTTTTACAGACATCTTTCTCACCTACCCCAAACAAACAGCAGAAAAGGAGTAAATCCTCCAGAGAGAGAAAACACATCCACCTTCTTGCACCGAGTTCCCTATTTCTTCTCTTTTTGTTCCCTCCTGCCTCTCCGTCTCTGTGCCCGTTTGTCTCTCAGCCATCCATCTGTCATCCACAGCCAGTCTGTGCTTCATCAAAAGGCTCAAATTTCAAATGGAGCGTTTCTCTTCCCCTTCGTCGGGAGCCCAGTTATGCAGGCTGAGTTTGTATCTTGGAGAGAAAAAAAACTGGCTTCTTTACATCAGAGAAAGGCGATATGAGGATGAAAGGAGCAGCACAAACCCACTTATACACGGAAATGTGGAAGTTCAATTTTCTGTCCTCAGCTTTATCTTGCTTGATATTCAGAGCCCTATCAGTGCTTCTGTAATGACAAGGTTATAATGGCAATTCCTGTTATTTGTCTCTGGCTTCCTGCATTTTCCACTGGCCCCCTTTACTGCCCTCCCCCATTCCTTAAATAATGGACACTATTATTACAAATCTCTTGCTCTTTTTTTTTTTTAACATAACATTCACCAATACAGGCCGAGACCTCTCTTTATATATGACAAGCGTTCTTGTCCGACAGCTCTGCCGTTGTTCCGCAGGATTGGACGATGTCGTTATCTCTGCACCCGGGGAATTTAATTTGAATGGACATTTTAGCCCAATTAAGTGGGCCGGTGAGCATTTGTGAACATCCCCATCAGCTAATAGCGACCATTGTTCAAATGAGCATACTCCCAGTGCACTTAGCCAAGGCCTCTCCAACCCAACAGAGCATATGCAGCATCGGCAATGTGTGCTCACTGACCCCTGGTGCTGGGGAACAAAAAAAATATGCTTTTGATTAGGCTTCCTATAAGCTAATGCATTTGAGAGAGTGTGTACATTTGGTCGGCGTGTGTCTTCATGTGTGTGTATGTGCGCTGTAAAGCCTGTTGGTAATGTGACAGCCTCACAGTGACTTCCCATAACTCCTTAGGGTGCAGAGTGGCTCGTTTTGTCATTATCTTCATTGGTGCCTGGGGTTTAATTGGCAAATGGGGCCAAAGTAATGAAGCAGCACGACTCAGTGGATATCTACTGTCTATCTCCAACCAAACCCCCCCCCCGTCACCCCACCCTTTAACTACTCACTCTTTCTCCGTCTTTTTTCCTCTCTGTTTTTCAGTGTATCTAAATCATGCGGTAACAAAGATGTAAAAATGTAACATTAATCTTACCTCAAAGCCCTATTTTCACGCCAATCTTCGTCATCCGACACTGTGCAAAGTAATATAAATTCAAATCATTACTGCTCAGGAAAAAATACAAAATAAATCCTTACTCCTTCAAATTAAAAGACAGGTGAACTGAGTTTCGCTCTGCATTTACATTTAGCACATCTCTGAAATATTCCCATTTATGCCGTCTCCATCTGCGTTTCTCTTTATCCCCCCACCCCCTCCTCCACCGCAGTGTCGCGTATGGCTCTTCATGCCCGTATAATTCTGTCAGGAGAAGTGACTTCCACATTTCAGCATTTAAAAATCAAAAGATTTTCTCCCAGACAGCATTGCACACTTGCTACACCCACAGACACCAGCCAATCACTCGCATGCATCAGCACACGACTTGTTTCTCCAGATTACAGCAGCGACTGCAACAGCCGTGCCCTCCTCCTCACAACCAGTCCTGTTGGAACACACACACACACACACACACACACACACACACACACACACACACACACACACACACACACACACACACACACACACACACACACACACGCACACATACGCACACTTACACATAAACGTAATCAGACATGCTTGCACCTCCCTCCTGCTGTCATGAATGGCATTCAGAGACAGAGGATCAGAGCACCCCCTGCTCGGTTTAATTAGTCATTGTCACAAATCAATTAGGGAGAGGTTCAATGTCTTCTTTTCTTTGAAATCATTTGCTGCCACCAGCCTCACGACCTCTCCCTGAGATTGAAGTGCAAATTAAACCAAGCAAAACTCAGATTAGCCAATTTAACTTCGAATGATTGAGCAATGTTTTTAAATTGATATACATCCTCAGAATGTAATTTTTAAGGGAGAAACAAATAATGCAACTTCTTTTGACTCCCAACTGAGATTGATGACCTACCCGCCCCTTTTTACTTCCTCATACAAGAAAAGTTTTATTGTTTCTGGACAAGACATTTTTTTTGTAAAAGAACAGCAAGTTTCTGTGAAAAAAACGTATTTTCCTTCCATCCTTCTCTTCTTCTACATGCTCTTGATAAAATTATTTATTTTCTGTGGATTTGCCATCTTGGGTCCGTGTTATCCTTTCTCATGACTGAGTGACCCCGTCATCTGATTTCAGCTTTCAGCCCTCGGAAAAATGCACTTTGCCTTCACTTGATGGGCAGGTTGGCAGCATCCCATCACACTGCATCTTTTAGCCACATGTCCAGCTAACGTCGTCACAGATGGCGTCTTTCTGCATGAACAGCTGAGGCGAACCTGAGTCTTTTTGTATATAGCTTTGCTGACTGGAGCCTCAGAGGACTTCTCCTCTGGAAAATAAACGATTTTCAACAATCACCGAAGTCCCCAGAGCTCTGATTCCCAACAGGTCTGTCTCCACAGATGTCAGACAAGAATCTGGACACTTTTCCACACCTTTCACTCCCGATGCCTCAGCCCGCGATGAGGACAAAGGGAACTTTTCATTGTTAGTTTTCTGGAAATAGGAGCTGTTTGTTTTTCTTTCTCTGTCTCATTTGCTGTCAATTGGCCCTTCGAACTGAGGTTGATGAAGGTTAAGACATCTTTTTTTTTTTTTACAAAAAAAATTTGTCATGTCTATGAGGCAGTCTGGCCTCTAATCTGGGATTCAGGCCTCCCGAGCAGTGCCTGAGATGGTGAACTGTTTGGTAAAAATATTTACCTTTCCCTTTCTTTTAATTTACTGACCTTTAACCATTTAGCACATTTTTATTTCCCCCTTGCACATGGCCTTTTGTGTTGCATTCCAGCCTTTTGAAACAATGTCCCCTTATGTTTGCTGTTCTTTACAGATTCTGGTCTAAGCAGTCCTCAGAGTGAAGCAGATTTTGACTATGAAAGTTAGTCTCTATGCTTTTAGCACTTGCGTTCCAGCTTTTCTACTTTTATTTTGTTCAAGCACCGCTTGCCACCATTTACAAATACATAATTTGCATTTGTTTGTTGTTGGTTTTTTACATTATGCAGCAAAAAACTGTCAGCACTAATGTATTTGATGTTAGTGTTCAATTGGTCCACTGGGCTGTTTTTCCCTTTATTCTTTAATTGGATGTCAGTCACTATATTCACTTGGGCTGTTGGCTGTTCATTAATCCACCATGCATAACTAACCTGTACAATCACTTCTGTAGAGATGGTCGAGAGGTGTTCTACTTTTACAGGACTACGATCTCTGTTATCCCTTATCTCAATCTCAACTCCTTGTTGTTGTTCCCCCTTCTCCTTCCTCCTCCTCCTTTACCACCACTGCTCCATTTCCATTTTGAAGTAACAGGGTCTTTTCTGCGCTCCGAGATAACGAGCAGAATTAATTAAAGCGGTGGCAAACAATGGCTCGATATTTGATCACCCCCTTTCGCTGCTCACTGCAAAAAAAAGGATCATCAGAGAGAGAAAAAACACTCTTTCTGGTTTTATCCTTTCCCCCTTTATTCCTCTTTTATATTGTTTGCTTACCCACATGCAGACTTCTTCCTTTTTATATGGAAATATGCAACATCATAAACAGGCTTTCGGAGAGAGACTGCTTTGGCTTATCAAAAAGAATCATTATATTTCTCAGGCGAATCGACGGCGGATCGTGAGATTGGAAATGTGTAATTAGACGCTGGTTTGTTTTTCTGTGTTCATTGATCATGCTGTTGATTGCGCTGACAAAAAAATTGGAAGTCAGTATGTGGATGGGGAAAAAGCTGTGGGTTGTGATGAAAAGAAGGATGTGAGCCTTTGAAAGGATGAAGGGAATAACAACAATTTGCCCTTGAGTGACTCGCTCAAGTACGGGTCACGGGAAAGCCTCGTTTTGAAACTAAATCTTTCTTGGATAAACGTAGCGATGCGCCGCGCAGAGCATAAATGACAAAATGAGTAAAAGGACAAATCAGGCGTAAGCGACTCATTTGTATTGAGGACAAAACAAACTGGTGCTGCTGGAAAAGTACACTGACAGGGAGGAATAGATGCACAAACAGATTGGGTTAGGCTGTGATTGGTATTTTTTGAAGGGCGAAGTAAGATAAAGCAAAATGATATTAAAGTATTCCATTTTATTTTTTTCATACAAGTTCTCGAAACCATGCTACCAAAGATCGAGGGAATAAACAAACAGGGTTATATATATTCCTTCAGCCAATCCTGCTGGCAGTGCATCATGCTTCATTTGGATTTTTATATGTAAACACTTTGGCCTGATATATCGCTCAGTAATGAAGTAGGCACTTATATATGCAGACAGTAATGTGGGCAGTAAACATAAACTGAACTGAATTGATAGAGTTTGAGTACTTCAATAATTCACGCATACTCACAAATACACATAGCCATAAAACTCACGAGCACATACGCACAGACGCAGCGCAAAATATTCTTTGATCTCCACTCTTGGAGAAGCGAGGGCACCTCATTTGCATTCACGTTTACTTATTTATCTCGCTCATTGCTTCTGATACCTTCTCACTCTGAATTTGAGGCGAGTAAACTGAAACTTCATAAAGCTAGTCACAATGCTTTATATATAACACCCTAAGTGATGAATGGACAATCTCCATCTCAAGTGGTGCCATCACAATCTCCATACTTTTTGTCCGCTCAATGAGAATCTCCAGTATGAATCAATAAGCAAGTAGTTTTATCAAAATACATTGATATCGTTCAAGTCTTTCTATAACCTTGTAAGATATGAATATAAGCTGTTGAATAGATACCCAGCAGAGCCTTTTAAATAGTCAAAGACATCTATTGATTTAGTAAAAATGTAATTTAAATATCTCCTGTCGACTGATGATACACTTTCTCTTTTCCTATTTCCAACACACATCACAGCATCCAGTGCTTTCTCCATTTGTCTCACATGTGCTTTATAATCTTTGTTAATCTTAATGTAATTGACACTGCTGAATAGTTCTCTCAGTGTAAAATAAATTAGCATTACTAATGAAGACTGTCAGCTCAAAGAGTTGAACTTCCTCTCTTAAGCGACACAAAAGCAAGCCAAAACGTCAGTGACCCCCTTGACATTGGCGACTATTAGGCATTGTGAGAAGAGGAAGACTTAAGGATGGTTAATGGGATTATGCCAATTTTCCATGGCAAATTAAGCCTGGGTAACTTGTTTTGTGAAGAGATTTGTCGTTTGGTCGACTTTTTGACCCCGTCACTCGGCAGGAAAAAGAAACCTCGTGCCTCAAACAAGAAAGCGTTGGGGTATGGCCAGTCCACATGCAGTGACAGAGCCACAATCTATGCCTGCTCCATATTGCATTACATGGCCTAAGCATTATGCTCCTAAATGGATTAGTGACTGGAGTGCACAGCAGGGCTGATAATATTGTGGCAGCAGCCAGAAAATATTCAGTGGATATTGTAGACGGCCACAAAAAAAAAAAAATATTCCCACCCAAGTGAGAAGCTGGTCCTTTTTGGGAATGTGTTAAGATTAAAGGCAGAAGGATGAGGGAGAATGTATTTGAAATGCAACGGAGAATCCAACTTGTTTGGTGATTTCTTAGATTAAGAAGCTGGGGTTTACTGTATGGAGAAAACCAGCAAATGAAGTCTCAAAAACAGCAGCTTGCTTGCTTTGCACCGACTTGCTGGAATGGAGCAGCTCACCGTGTCACTCAGCATCACTCACACTCCTTAACCTCCTTATACCACATCCCACCTCCCTTCCCATGAGCCCCCCAGGTCAGGGCTCCGTTCAAGAATAAGCAGTCAAAGGTGTCACAACAAAGCACAGCAAAGATTTAGATAACAAGAACTGTGGGTTGGATTTTTTGTTTTAAAACTGGGATCCCATCATTCCTTCATTGGTGCTGCAGATAAAAGTTTCAATGTTAAGAAATATGAATAATGTAGCATCCACGTCCTGGTAATTGAATACATCAAAGTTGACTTGAATTTCATTGGATGTGCTTAAATTAAAACCAACTTAAAAGACGCATTTACATCGCAAGGTTGTTTTCTCTTCAACTAGGGATCCAGTTTGTGTTCCCTCTCTCTTTTGTTGAAAGCAGCCATCCTGAAATCAAACATGACTTTTGATGTACAAGAGATTTTTCTGCTAATCTTAGCATTTCATTGATTCCAGAATATAAAGCACTGCTCTGTATCATGTTTGTGATTTCACCATCAAACATTACATTTTACATCTTGTGCCGTTTTAACTAATTTCCCAAGCTATTAAAATTTGATGCCTCTGAATGTTTTGACATAGTTGGTCTAGCTTTTTCTCCCCTTTTGTACGCATCAATAATTAGTCTTATTGGTGCACAATGATTTGTGGCCATTATGGAAATAATGTACAATTCGGTCTGTGGGTGTTTGCTACCAACTTCTTAAAAGAAAATGTAATAGTCCATGATTGACGGACCATTTTTCTTAGCTCTGACCTGGCCAATCAGATTCCTGTAACATCCTCAGTCAATACATTTGTACTGTGTGTGTCATTCACCATGTTCTGCACAAGCTTCCTCACCACTAAAACCCAACCTCCATTGTTTGTATGCAACAAATTGTCCCCCAGAATGTGTGCCTTTACCTTTAACTTGTGTCCAGTTTACTGTGCTAATGAGCTTTCTCTTTCTTTCTTCCCATGTGGAATTTCTCTTCTCATTTTTGGCGCTCAGGTATGATGAATCATCCTCCCATCCCTATCTCAGAGCTGGCGGAACACACAGAACTTCTCAAGGCCAACGACAACCTGAAACTCTCCCAAGAATATGAGGTGAGTGGACCGAAAATTCAAAGGTCAGAGTTTCCACTATGCATTGATTTCTGTCTTGTTGTGTTTACATTGGGAGTGAATACAAGCATCCCTTCTTTCCACCAGGGACATGACTGTTTCTCTTCTTTAAGCCTTTTTTGCCCCTGCATGTTGACTCTTAATGCATCCAGTCCTACAACAGGAAACATTTAGTTTCCCCCCCCAACGCTGTAAACCTAAGAGAAACACTGAACTGTATGTGTCACTAGGCTTCAGATTATTTCATCTCCTTAAAAAGGAGTATTTTTTTAGCCTTTACCTTAGCTGACAAGCATAACCTACGGACGCTTTAGCTGTCTTTAACCTTAACTTTAGAAAATTTAATCAACATTATGGCTCAAGTTGGACTATAAAAGTGTTGAAAAATTCATGACACACTCCAATAGACAAAGAGTTAAGAGGTTTTTCCAAAATGGAGATATACTTGTTGATAGCCAGAGCCCAGAGCGCTTTTAATGGCTTTTTAGGGAAAAGCAAACTCACAGTCAGGCTCTAACACAGTGTGTGTGTGTGTGTGTGTGTGTGTGTGTGTGTGTGTGTGTGTGTGTGTGTGTGTGTGTGTGTGTGTGTGTGTGTGTGTGTGTGTGTGTGTGTGTGTGTGTGTGTGTGTGTGTGTGTGTGTGTGTGAGAAAGAGAGAGTGTATGTGTGTGTGAGAAAGAGAGAGAGTGTATGTGTGTGTGAGAAAGAGAGAGAGTGTGTGTGTGTGAGAAAGAGAGAGAGAGTGTGTGTGTGTGTGAGGTGTGTGTAAGAAAGAGAGAGAGAGTGTGTGTGTGTATGTGTGAGAAAGAGAGAGTGTGTGTGTGTGTGTGTGAGAAAGAGAGGGAGTGTGTGTGTGTGAGGTGTGTGTAAGAAAGAGAGAGAGTGTGTGTGTGTGTGTGTGTGTGTGTAAGAAAGAGAGAGTGTGTGTGTGTGTGTGTGTTAGGTGTGTGTAAGAAAGAGAGAGTGTGTGTGTGTGTGTGTGTGTGTTAGGTGTGTGTAAGAAAGAGAGAGTGTGTGTGTGTGTGTGTAAGAAAGAGAGAGAGAGTGTGTGTGTGTGTGTGTGTGTGTGTGTGTGTGTGTGTGTAGAGTAGAAGCTGAGCTGTCTGAGCTCTGAGACCGTGGCGGTTATAAATGACACTAGAGTTGATTAGAAATCAGGAGTGCTGAATCAGCTCTCGTTTGCATACAAGCAATATCCCCTCCTCGCCATCCCTAAATCACCGTGCCTGTCGCCTCTCCGCACGCCAGCCCAACGCAGGAAGCAGGTACGCCAGCAAAGATTGCTGTCATCATGCCTGCCGGGGAATGTTGGTGGATAATGACTTCTCATAGCCATCCAGTATTTCTTTGGTATTTATTATTCATAAATCCACATCCGGGCTGTGTACCAAACGGACAAGCTCGTTCCATTCAGGGGAAAGAGAGACGCGTTGCCAAAGTTGACGCCGTGCTACAACTACAACTTCTAATTACTTGGCTTTGAGAGAGAGCATTAAACCGCCCGCTCATCTCTTTTCCGGCGCCGTCTTTTTTTTTTTTTCGCTCTCTGTCTCTGTCTGTACCCCTGCCCCCTTCACACAGCCACCCCCAGGAAAAATAAATGACCAAATTAAATAGAGAAGTGTAATTTTAATTTTGTTATTTTCTTGATGAATGGCTGCTCGTCCAGGCGCCCTGGCTTGCCAAGCGCAGCTCCACGGGGCTTTGACTGATTGGTTTTTAGCCAGTCGGGATGTGAGGGAGAAGGGGGGGCAAAAATAGAGAAAAGCAGTAAAGGAGTGGAGAGGGGAGAGGGATGAGGTAGGGGAGGTTTGGTTAATGATGAGGATTCAGCGTGGGGAAGAGAGAGCGAGCCATCTCTGCTGGAGAGCACAGATGAAGAGGAGATTATCTGACGTACACACGGCAATGAAAAGGCAGCCGCAGTTTCAGCAGACAATACTGAAGCATTAGTTTGTTATCTATCTACTGTCAGGCAGTTAGTCGACATGTTCTGCAAAGACTGCCATCCTGACAAAAGATGTCATTCTTCTTCAAACATATCATCATGGATCAAAAAAGGGGAAGAGGAGAAATCCTTGTATGAGTAATAATATTTAATCAGCTTTTAAATCATTTCTAGACGCCGTTATTCCTCCAAATTAAGAACTGGACATTTGCAGTGCACACTTCCAAAATGTAATTTATGAAACAATTTGCACTGCACAGATGTGCTCTTTAATTCTTAAATTGGGAGATTTTTCAGGGAATTGACCCCAGTTTTTATCCTCACACACACACACACACACACACACACACACATACACACAGAGTGAGCCTCAAGGAAATCTAAAAAGAAAGAGAAAAATAGCAGGAGGGCGACCGCTGGAGAGGGAGCATAAACATCAGAGAGGAGACGGGAGATGGAGGAAGAGAAATAGACAGGGAGAAAAACCTGCAAAAAAAGTGAAAGACTTTGAAGACGGAGATCAGGAAAACAGGGACAAAAAAAGATGGCGAGAGATGAGAGCAAAGAAAGAAAGGAAAGCGATAGAAAACAGAGGGAAGCTCAATAATTGGCGTCATCATTGCGTGGAAACCACTAGATCAGCTAACCAGTTGGACTTCATTCAGCTCGAGTTTCTCACCCGCAATGCAGGAAGCCCCAACTGTAAATATCCACAGAGCCTCCATCCACGCTCCAACTGAGTTCCAAACGGCCATAAGCAAGCAAAGAACTGTAATGGAATATTTGATTAACAAGGGAACAGAATATGTATCAGTAATTGTTGTATTTAAAATAGGCGGATGGATTTGCCACTTCTCCCTCTGTACCATTCCCCTCTGGGGGGGGGGGGAACCGTCGCCTTCGTCAATGTTGTTATTTGTCATTATGCGCACACTACATTAGGGATCTTGATAAAGTTCTCTGTGCAGCCGCAGTGAGCTGATTTTACATGATAGCATGTTGTTCTTTCTTTGGGGAAATCAATCCCCCCCCCTCCCCCCCTCTATGATAACATTCAGGTGATATTGTTTTTGCTCTTCTCATTTCTACTTTGTTTGTGTGTACATCTTCTCCATGTTTCTCCTGCCCCCCCGCCCCTTCCACCACCAGTCCATCGATCCCGGCCAGCAGTTCACCTGGGAACACTCCAACCTGGAGGTGAACAAGCCCAAAAATCGCTACGCCAACGTCATCGCCTACGACCACTCTCGCGTCATCCTGGCTCCCATCGACGGTAAGGCTCTCACACTTCTGCACCTTCACCACTTCAGTGATGAGCTCAGCTCTTTGCACATCATTTGGGAAATGCTCGTAATTACAGAGTCAATTTAAGGAATTAGGAATTTGTGGTGGAGAGACAGACACGAGACCACGAGACAGTAAAGATTAAACTACAACACTGCAGAACACAATTCATTACTACAATTAGGATACATGTAATATACTGTTTTTCTGCACTTTAAAACAGAATGGCATTAATAACTGGATTACAGTGGATCTTGGATCTGGGTAAATGATTGATGGTCATAAAAAATGGTTTTTGTGGGAATGTTGTGGGAACTTTGACAGCTTCTTTGATTCACAAACTCTCCTTTTTAGGAGTAAATTGAAAGAAATAGGAAGATAATAATGAAGTTCTTCAAGAAGAAAAAAGGCAGTTCTAGGCAGTTAAAATTAAACTCTTCTTACATAAATAATCAGATCGCTCATATGCTTGTACAATATTTTTGCCAAAAATCATCAACTTTATGCATAGAAGAACTTTACATTGTTACATTGACTATAAAAATGGACATCATGTCTCCACCTCTTCCCAATTGTACAAAGTGAAGCTAAAACACCCCCGTGACGGGTGTTTGAGCAGTAGAGACAGTTGTTGGAGTATTGGTATAGTCGTCTTGAGCCTCTCCGAAAGAGGAAATCAGGAAAATATGTTCAGCAGACTTCGCTGAGTAAATATTGTCTTGAGTCTGTGCAGTAGCATGAAGCAAAATAGAATAAAATATGAGCGAAAAGGAGTACAATTATTTATACTATTTGCAGTTCAGCTTCAGTTCAGTAGCAGGCAGAGAATTCTATCATGAAACTACATTTTGTTGGAGAATAAAATAAGGATTTTCTTTAGCACAACTTGGTCTCAAACACCTCAACAGTTTATAGAATTATGTTACTTATTTTTGTGGGTCACATGAGGACTTGTTTCAGTTGTCTTCAGAGCCAGTACAAAGAGTGACCCAGAATCTTAACCAGTGTTTTCACCATCCAAATTGTCTCATGAGATCTGCCCTGTTCTCATGACTTCCCCTCTAACTGCCCACAGACACACTGCTGATAAAAAAAAACTCTTCCTCTGACTCCTAAATCTCTAGGGACATTGTCAGAGGTAGTCACCCTTCACCGCTGACATTGTTCTGGCATTGCATCACCAGAAAGAGCTGCAGACTGCTCGCAGTAGTGCCAAACACGCTTCTCCACAGTACTCCTCTCCTTTTGTGTGAGCTAAATGCTGCGACTAGATTTCCACATTTCAGAATTGCCGGGCCAATTTGAGGGCGCGACAACATGCGTAACAAAATTATCCCTCGGAAAAAAAAAAAAAGGCCTCGTCCATAAATGCATAAATTAATCAAGTCTAAAATTTCTATTTTACACTGCAGTGGTTTTGCCATTAGTTGCAGCAGTAGAACAATTCATGCACGCCGCCATTCTCTGTTCACTTAGCTATGACTAAAGCCGAGGCACCCCTTTTGGATTGTGCGACGTGGTATCCGTTTTAATGACGTTTGCCTTTCTTTACTCTCAGGATTTTAAAATGTGGTTAAATGCACAGTCTTAAACAACACACATTTTTTTTGCCCTTTTTTTTTTTTTTTGGTAGAACTTGAGATTCCAGAGCCTGTTGGTAGTCTGCAAAGATCTTAGTTGCATCACCACGTCACTGATTCCCTGAGATCAGAGCATGCTTTTTCCCCACACATGATGACACTACAGGGTTGTTTGATACACAACTTTGTGCACTTGGTATCATAAGAAATCCTGATGTAGCCTTGAAGTGAGCTAAATATCTCCACTTTGAAGTGTTCTTTGACTTCTGGAGACACATTAGAGTCTGCAGCGGAATACTTTGGGAGTTACATCTAGCGAGTGGAAGCAGGGTTTTTTCTGACAGAGCTTTAAAGTGCTATACACAACTTCTTTACATTTAAAGGTTGACTGTACGCATTTGTCTGGCCAGCAAATGTGGTGGGGATTTCCGGCAGCTAGATTTAGTAGGAGACTGGTGTGCATCAGAGCATGGTGGAAGTCTGAGAGGGATGTTAAGCTGGATCTACCCTCCATGCTGTACGGGCTGAGTGACTGATGTTTCCCATCCATGTGGTGGTAAATCAGATGTAGGCTGCTACAACATATCGCCGGAAACTTCATGCAGAACCACAAACGTAGAAACAGAAAATGTTGGAAAAGCAGAACAGGAACAGTGTGACAGTGAGCAAGTTGCTGCTTTTAAAACCACTGAGTTGTAACCAAAACAGAGGTTTCTTTCTGCTCTACAGTAGCTGAGGTGGAGAAGAGCTGTGTGACTTTTTAAACTTCATATTTGGTCTCAGAATATTGCCTTAAATGTAAGCACTGGATCTATTTCTCAAGAATAATACCTAGAACATTTTATGTTGCGAAAGCTGACCTCGAGACACTGACACTTGTCTCTGGACAGTTCCAAAATGTTCAGCCAATTTGCACTTGTTTCAACAATAAGAGGTGTGAAAACTCATTATGTAAGTAGGCTTATTAACTTGATTTTCAAGTCTAGAGTCTTCTTTCTGTGGGACACAGGATCAGTGTGTGAGAGAACTGCAGATTTAAGAGGCAGATGGCACAGAACTAAAGGGTGAAAATAGTGACTTAAGTAACATGGTGAATATAAAGGGGGGGAAGCAAAATCTGCAAGGTGTCATCTTCTAAAAAACATTTTCTTTGTTTTTGTAGGTATCACAGGTAGCGACTACATCAACGCCAACTACATCGATGGCTACAGGAAGCAGAACGCCTACATCGCCACCCAGGGTCCATTACCAGAGACCTTCGGGGACTTCTGGAGGATGGTGTGGGAACAGAGAGCTGCCACTGTGGTTATGATGACCAGGCTGGAAGAGAAATCACGGGTAAGTCCACTTAACCAATTTTTGGACTGTTGCTCGGCATTTGGCAGCTCAAAATCAAAGCACTTTGCTTTTCACCACCACGTAGAAGAATGGGCTAATTGAGATAGATTTCCCGTTTGCACAACCTTAGCTCCATTGGCAGGTTATGTAATTTAATTTTCTTGAGATGGATTGCTTTCAAGTAAAGTGTAGAAATTTGAACGAGATGGTGAGAACAGCAGGGGAGGATGAAAACATAAAGACTGTTCCTGTGCACATTTGATAAGTTAGGCTGCACATCCACTGGGAGTATCTCTACAAACTCTGTTTTCTCACCTTATTTGCAGTGGAAACGACAATCTGTTGCATGTTCCCTACAGCTCTTAGAGCTTAGCAAGTTTTTGAGGAATCAGAGCGTACAGTGCAAAAAGCTAAAATTAAGTTTTTATAGCAACAGAGCGCCACAGAATTTATGCAGTACCTGTGACTTGTCCTCCCACAACCATCTGTTGATAGTGGAAGTCGGAGGAAGCGGTGCACAAAGAGCACAGTAGCTTAGTAACAGACGGGGAGGAAGGAGATGTCAGGGTGTGATCACACTAGTCAACTTTTGTTTTTTCCTTATTATTATTTTTTTTAACATTTATGTCCATGGGAAGTTGCCGCAGCATTTGCAGGAAATCTTTTGTTCTTAGAATCTCAGATTTGCGTCCTTGTGACGCAAACCAACTTTTTTGTACTTTGAAACTTTTGGTGGTTGTGCCTATGGGGATCAAAACTAGCTCTAGCAAAGATCAGAAAAGTTGTTTTATGGTAAAAAGGAAACAGCAGCAACATTACATACTGAAACTACCAGATTAAAAATTGAATATGTATTCGAAAATGTGAAAGCTGTTAGTGTGATTATGATAAATCAGTTAAAAAGCAAATTGGCCCATTTCAAAAAGTCTTTTAAGTGTTTAACAAAATGACAGCTAGTCTTAATTATGAGCTGAAAATTCAAGTGAGGTCCACAAAAAAAAAAAAAACAAGGAAAAGCAAGTCAGTATTCTTTCCTATCAAGGATTGGACTGTCTAGATGTCAAAAAGCCAACTGTGATGTTTCATCTTGTCAACCCCAACCTGTGTCAACATCAGGCTCACTCACCCCAGGTGTCTCCGCTCATTTCCCCTCCCTCTATCCAGTTTCAGCTGTTTACCTTTCCTCCATACCGACATGCGCGTTCCGCTCCTGTCAAACGTGATCAAGATTAGCGGGCAGGGGAACTTGAGTGTCAGCTTTGAGCAGGAAATGGGAGAGAAAGCTAGAGAGCGCCGCGTCTCTCTCTCTCACTGGCTGTCACATCTCATCTGATGTCCAGCGGCGCGTCACAGCCCATATTGAGTGAATCTTTATTAAGTGGGCTGACAGAGGAGAGCTGTGGGGAAGCAGGTGTTGTGGGGGTTCTTTTTAAGATATCAGGTGGAATCACTGGACGGAAAACAGCTCAAATAAACTCTGAGTCAAAATAACATATCCATCCAGATCTGTTTTTTTTAAGAAAGTGGTACTTTACTCATATGAAACTTTAGTTTCCAAAGAGGTGTTACATTTCTGGCTTGTTGGTTGACAGATACTGTTTCAAGAATTGATTGTGAAGTGATTATCACCCCTACATTTCAAATACAGTCCTGCAGTATTAATACTGCTAGCACTTGTTTTATAAGAGTAAGGCAAATATGTCGACAGGATTTGTAGAGGGTTTGTGAGGCTGTGGATGGAGTTTCTGTGGCAATCTGGTTTCATCTGTTTAGTCTGCATGGTGTTGTTTCCTAGATTTATAAAGGATACCCTAGTGTTTTAATCAACAGGAGGACTTGCTTTATGAGTGGTTTGTGTTCTCCATTTACTTTCATGATCTTGTTTATTACTGAACACGTCTATAAATCAGATGTTTCTGTCTGTTCGTCTCTCTCCCATCCAGATCAAGTGTGACCAGTACTGGCCCAGTCGTGGCACAGAAACCTACGGGATGACCCAAGTGACCCTGTTGGACACCATAGAACTGGCCACTTTCTGTGTGCGGACTTTCTCCTTGCATAAGGTAGGATGATTAATCTCACACACAGGTACGATCAAACACACGGGCGTTAATACTGTCTCTGCTTTGCAAATGAAATTCAGCCATTACATTTAGTTGTGGGATAACATTGGCATGCCTCATTCAGACAGAAAGTTTGCATATGCAACAAAAATGACAACAAAGAACAAGTTGTTTTTTTTTCCCCCCGTTCCATGGGATGGTAAATGCACCCTCGTCGTGCGCATTGTCGCCTGAGTCCGCCTCTTTTACCTTGTTCAGATCTCTCTCTTCAATAGATCATTTGTTTATGCACATCTGCCAAATTGTAGCACTTAGGTAAAGTGAGCAGAAGAGAAACTCAATATACATAATTGGCAGACTGCTCTCTTGCTCTTGTGCAAAGACACACACAAACACACACACACACACACACAACCCTACACATTAAAATGCTGAGACACACAGGCACTCTTATTCTTGCCATGAAGGATTTGCACATGTAAGCTCACATGCACACATGCGAGGAAGGTCGACCAGAAAAACTCAAATACATGTATTCACATAGATGAATTTGAGTCACACAGATACACACCTGCAGACATGAATAACACACATTCAAGTGCATTCAGACAGAGCCACACACACACACATATATATATATATATATATATATATAAGGAAGAATAGAAAAAGAAACACCAGCACATCCGCATGCAAACACACCATCTCTGACAGTCTCACATGTTACATGGGAAAGACCTGTGAAAAGTATGTGACATATTATAGTTTTTTTTTTTTTATCCTAACTAGATAGCACCAAGCTTATGTCACACCTGACTTTAGAGCAGGAGTGTTAACAGAAGAGGAATGAGTGCCAGGGCAAACCAGGGATGGAAAAAAAAGATAGAAATCAGCAGTAACAGTGATTTGAAGCTTCCTGGTCCAAATTCAGGTTCATTTACATTCTGTAGCTCTCAGGCTCCAAACCTTCCCAAATGATTCTTTTTTTTTTTTTTTTTCTATCTCTCCCTTCCCTCCTCCATTTAACGGCAGCCGTAGCTTTGATTTCTCACTGAGCTGTTTTCACTTTATATCTCTAAGAAATAATATTTTCTTGGATTTCTGTGAAGCAGCAGGGGCTAGCAAGTAGACACACAAATACACACACACACACACACACACACACACACACACACAGTGCATCTAAAAAGTAGACACCTTGCTACCTATCCATATGCATGTATGTCCTGCAGTGATGGAACATTGTGTCTACTGATAAATCCTAACATAACAAGTTAGAAATTTGAAGAAGTCCAGCAGCTAATCGCCAATCACATCCATGCAGCCTACTTCATCTCAGCACAAGAAAGTCCAAAAGAAAAAAAAAGGAACATAAGATTTAGGTCAGTTTGCTTTTAATTACCACACTCATTTATTCATTTATTCAACAAGGGAAAAAAATCCTTCTGTCAGGGAAGCAGAAGCACTGCATTGATATGCAAACAGTACCTCCATTAGAGGATCTTCTGAGCGGAGAGGAGGACGGAAAGATGCGAGGGATATATTCCTCTCTCTCACTTCATACCCTTCACAAAAGTCTTCCTCTGGATCCCAGCTTGTATCTCTGATGCGTCAAGAGTTGAGTTTGAGGCGGGGGCTGACAGACGGCGGTGTAATGTGGGTGTTTGCTGCATGTGTATCTGTGGATGATCTGAGCAGCAGTGACGTGCAAGAATGAGGACATATAATACCTGTACTTGTTCAATGTAGAAATGCTCGTTCTATAATGAGTCCATCTGAGCAGCTCTGTATGTGTGAAAGTGTTCCCCAAAGGAAAATTACATTCTCTCAGGCAATGCTGCATGAAAAAAAATCTATTTTTAGTTGAAATCATTTGTCCCCTTTTAAGATAGCTTTACAAAGCTGCTGGCTCTTTTTTTTTTTTTTTATCTTCAGAGAGCACAGCAGAAGAGGGGAGCTCCTTTTCAAATGAAATGATTATCAAAGTGTTGCTAAAAAAGAACATTTTTATTTGAATTCCAACACTTGTTTATAGGCATGTGGATTGGTTGTACAAACTAGTGTGGTGGAGATAATTCAAAAATTAAAACACCAGCCTGTCTTCACCTGAGAATTTGTGTCACACAAAGAAATCTTCATTTTGGGGCTTGGTATCTGTACTCTATTAGCCCATCATTTGGAAATGACCTAGATGTTTTGAGCATATTTTGTAAGAGCAGAGGAGTTGACGGCAAGTTTTTGTGTCTTTTATACTGATTTGAAACTCTTAGATAACGACTTAAACTGTGCACCATCTCTACACCAAAATCATGCACCCCCCACTTTTTGGTTTATTTTTTCATATGAAGCAAATCAACCCAGTTAGTCAGTCAATTGCAATAACAGAGACTCCATTCCCTTCCTCAACCTGCCTCTTTGTTCTTTCAGAATGGTTCTAGTGAAAAGCGGGAGGTGCGTCAGTTCCAGTTCACAGCGTGGCCTGACCATGGCGTACCAGAGTACCCCACCCCCTTCCTGGCCTTCCTCCGTAGGGTGAAGACCTGCAACCCGCCTGACGCTGGACCCATTATCGCCCACTGCAGGTCAGTAGCAGCATTTTGGTTTTGCAGAGTTTGTTGAAGTAGTCAGCTTTTGCTCTGAGACACTAAAAGTTTTATGTAACAGGAATGTCGGTGGGAAAGTTTGATGTGTCCCTGTGGTCAGCTCGACGCTACTCCGGTTTGATCTTTGAGTTAAAATAAAGCCTAACTCTAAACATGGAGGAGATCCTCCATGTATCCTTGTTTTATTTTGGTCCCTACGCCTAGTGTGTGTTACTGTTTGTGTGTATGCCCACGAGCAAAAGAGCTTGTGTTTCTACCACTATACATTACAAACTGCACATTATACCAACGCATGCTCCCTTTCTTACAAGACCTCCATCTTTTTCTCTCTCCATCAGTCACATCATCTTTCTCTTAAGGCATCCCTTTTTTTTCTGAGCTTTTATTCTCTCCACCTCGGTCTCTTTTCTCCCTCTCTGCTGAAAAGCCTCGCAGTAATCCCTTACCATCTTTCTTTCTTGCTTCTCCCTTTTTGCTCTTTAGCCCTTCCTCCCTTTACAAGCAGTATTTCTCAAACGACTTATTCAAATTGAAACCTTCCCTTTTTGTCAAGATAAGAAGACTTCAGTGAGTCCAAAGCCCTGCACAATAAACTGAGATTTGACAGCTTGCTTCAACCAATCTCCATCATTGTCCTCTTGTTGTTCTATCTGTCAATTTTAGTAGTTTCTGTTTCCCTTCTGAAGCGATCACTATATCTCTTCTGTTCCTCTCCTACTCAATTATTTAGAGTGCAATGCCACTGCAAATATGCAAGCCTTATTGGACATACATAATCACCTCATGTTAAGTGTTTCAGGGGTAAAAACGATAAATCATTACAATTCTAAGCAACAGCAGCCTAAGAGGATAAAACTCTAGAAATATTAGCAATAGAGAAAGGAATTTCTATGAGAAAAACCTCTTACACAGTTTTCTTCTCTTTTTTTCTATCTCGTGCCCTCCTCCTTCAGCGCGGGTGTGGGTCGGACAGGTTGCTTCATCGTCATTGATGCCATGCTGGAGCGGATCAAGCACGAGAAGACGGTGGACATTTATGGCCATGTGACACTGATGCGCTCACAGCGGAACTACATGGTGCAGACGGAGGACCAGTACAGCTTCATTCACGATGCACTGCTGGAGGCGGTTGCCTGCGGCAACACTGAAGTTGCTGCCCGGAGCCTCTATTCCTACATCCAGAAGCTTGCACAGGTGGAGAGTGGCGAGCATGTCACTGGCATGGAGTTAGAGTTCAAGGTAAATACGCAGACGATTTGCTTTGTAGACTGGTGGCCACCTTTTATGTACCGATATATTACTATTAACTGAAATGACTGGGTTTTACACTCATAGCGTTCTGAACCATGACTGTGAGAGACAACGCTTTTCTGATGAACTCATTCTTGTGACTTTAAAACTGCAAATGAAGCTTATAAACTCACCTTGCAGATTCAGCTGTCCCAAAGCCAAGACAGATGTTGACATTTTAGATCAGTGTTTGTAGACTTACTCATTACTAAATACTGCAGAAATAAATGCAAAGTTTTGTGAGTTCTGTCACCTCGTTTTAAGCAGCAGTAAGCCTTTTGAGAGAGGCTCACTGCCAACTCTATTTTCCAGGAAGTTATTTTGGGTGCAAATCCAGTTTCTTTGACTTAAATGTTTTTGCACTTAATCATTACTTGCAGGGTCCTTAATTGTTGGTTGTAATAATGAATTGATTCTTAATCATGTGTTTCTTTTCATTTCATACTTCAACAAAACATATAGTGGTTCTTGACTAACAACTGTGTTTCTGGCGAGATATAGTGAAACTAAATAAGGGGTGTGGGACGAACATACAAGAAAATGTATGATTAGAGGGAACAAGGAGAACAACTTTTCAGTTTTGACTTTGATGGAAATTCAATAACTCTGACAAAGTGGGTTAGGAGTACAACAAGAGGCAGGTTGGATATCTGATTCAGCTTTTTCTCATACTGATATAATCAATCACTCAATAAATCAATCCATCTTCATTTGTATAGCGCCAATTTATAACAAATGTTATCTCAAGACACTTTATAGAAAGATCAGCCCGAGACTCTTTGTTATATCATATTACAAAGACCCAACATTAATCCACCAAGAGCACAACCCGAAAAAACATTTAGCCAAGTACCAGTGGAAAGGAACAACTGTGAAAAACAGAAGTAAGACTGTGTACGACATAGTAAGCTTACTGAATCAACATTTAGAGATAAATACACTTTCCTTAAAGATTCAATACCTTTAAGCCTTAGGTAGGTAGAATATGGATTAAAGCAGCCAATAGTAGGGGCCAATATTTGTCAGTTTTTACTGCATCAGCTGTCCAAGGGGGAGAATCTGAAAGCAAACCTGCTTTATTGTCTTTAGCTTCACTTCACAGCTTATTTGTTCAGATACAAGTTATTTAAACCATTATTGGATGTGCTGCAAAGCTGAGAAAAATGGAAATATTGAAGCCTTTTACCATTTGGCAACACGTTTGGTTTGGAATTACATGCTTAAGGAATTATATGCTTAAGAAAAGGAATTGGGTTTAATCTAGCGGGCATAAAACAAATGATTTTAGCAGAAAGCAGCATGGACTTGGGTCAAGGTTGGAAAGAATTTTCTTGGAGAAATTCATTACAAAGCAGTCGGTGAGGATAGACAGCAATGCACAGTGTTTACATAGCTCTCCATTAAAGGTATTAACAGTCATCCACTTACAAACTCCTCTCAGCTCTGCAGCTGGAGCCACTGTCTGCTGACCTTGAATTGCACACACGCTCACTCTCCAATCACCTATCATCTTCCCATCACCATTTAACAACATGGCCTCCCTGCCAGGAAACAATAATAGTGCTGGTTTGTTTCGACCCTTTTTTTTTTTTTTTTTACTCACCGGCGCACATCGGTGATGAAATCTCCATCGCCATCTGTAACAGGGATAATGCTGAGCTGGCGTCAGGAGTCAAACAGGGATTAATAACGTCCGCGCTACATTCCGAATAAAGAAGAGGAGTGTGTGAAGAGGGAGCTAAGTAATTAATACTTGATGATGACAAATGGAAGTGGATGGCAGGGCAAGTGGAGGGAGGAACGTTTGGCTAATGAACAAAGGGACGACTGTATGCTAACGTGGCGCTAAGGAAGTGATTCGATAGAATGCTGCACGATCCGGATGGCTGGGAGGGGGCTGTCGTTCTCAGGTGGCAAGTGGGGAGACTCTTGAAATTCCAGAAGCTCAACAGGAAGAGTGAACAGAGATGAGAGACTTGCTTTAAAGTTGTCAGAGATTGCTGGAACGTGTGCATGAATAACAAGCGTGTTCAGGTAAAGATAAATGCGTGTTTCTGTCCACATATCCTGTTTGCAAGTGGAAAACAGCAACATAAAGCATATGAATCACAATATGAAGAAAACAAAGCAGCCATTGGACTACTGGGAATCTGAAATACACTCAGCAAGGAATAATTTGGTATTCAGCAGCAGAGTTTTAATTGGGATCAAGGACTGTATGACAGCCTCTGGTTTCCAATGTGAATCCAATTTGGAAGTTCTTTAAACTTGTCTCTTAGTGAAGGCCAGTAGTGGGAGATTCCAATGTTTGCCACAAGAGGGCAAATTGTATCAAACCAGTTTTGGTAACGACCCAACTTCTCTGAAGATTCATTACCCAAAGAAACATTTCCCAAGTAATTCATGGTCTCAGGTATTAAGTCTTCTTCAACACAGCATGATTAGATTTTCAAAATAATGGTCCCATTTAGGGGGCGAATTCTAGTATAAACCAGTGTATGATTTCAGATGTGGCTTCTTTAGATCAACAAGTTGCTACCTGGCAGCTTTTTAACCTGTCCAGAGATTTACCACCGCATCTTTACCCAGTCGTCCAAATAAGGTCTACTCTAGTTCCATACAACCAGGGTGTTGATGGCAAAACAGCCTTAAAATGTGACTTGACAAACCAGTGGGTGTTGTCACAGTGGCTACATCTCTGCTTTTAACTAGTTTTAATTGGGATCCAATTTAAAAGAAAAACAAGGAAACAAGAATGGCTCCTCGGTTTTAAAAAGTAAATTAGGCTAACAGCTTTAAAAAGCTTCTCGAGGCAGTGTATCACACTGTAGTCACAACACAAGCAAAATAAACATTGTTTACAAAGGCAGCTGTTTGATTGTATATGTAAAAGGTATCAAACATGTATTGTTCAACTGTATCAATCATTAGGTCGTTGCTAGGGCATGTAAGGATTAGGATGATTCCGTAAGCCCCTTGTTTTGACATATTAAACTAAATGTGATTACCTGTGGTGAGACATGGTGAATGTACATCATCTCTTAGCTTCCAATTGAGAAGATATCATGGACTATAAATGGGAAAGGAGCTGGCAACCATGACCAGAGGAACCCTAGGTGCTTCTCTGCCCTGCTGGATGACAGGTTGCCAGGTTTGGCTTGGTTCCCTACATCCTCTGCGGTGTTTGATGGTGAAGCTTAGGGGCCTATTTAGCACTGCCAGGCCACCTCAAGCCTTTCCAGGTGCTTTTGTGAAACACAGATCAAAGGGAGGACGGTAGCAAGGGATGATGGGAATGGAGGAGAAGGAAAAAGAGGAGAAGGATTGGATGAACTCCAAGTAGCCGGTGACACAGAGATACTAGAGCTAAAGAAGAATAGGAGGGAAAGAGAGGACAATGAGACAGCACAATAATAGGGGGAGAAGCAGTAAGTTAGAGATTTACAGAAGAGAAATGCCTTCACTTTGTGTATATATCAATATCTAGTGAAAAGGCTTGTCTTGTACTTCTCTCTCTCCTCCCTCTTGCGATGCTGCTGGTGTCTCCCTCTCATATGTCTGTAAGGGGGGCCTGAACAATCGGAATAGGGTGTTTTCCATTTGCAGGCAAACACTAACAAGCAACCACACAAACCCACACATGCATACATTCTTGTTGAGACTTTGAAGCCAAGAGGAAGCGATATGATAAGACTTGCTGACCCTCAAACTCCCCTCACTGTCCCTATGATGGCGACCATGATGATGCAGCAGTACAGCACTTTATTTGGATCATTATACAGTCAGTGTGTGTTAACATCCCCATGTGAGTGTATGTTTTATGCACACATACCAGACTGCTGCTATCAAAGGCACTGGTGACCCACTTTCAGTATGAGTTTTCTGTTTTGTTCAGACTCAATTTAGGGTCTTGTTAGTCTGGGTGCATGGCTTATTTTGCACTGTTGCTTTTGACCCTGAAGGACCCTACATGTTGCAGAATGGGGTTACATTTTAAATACTTTATGATCAATATTTTCTTGTTAAATAATGGCCCATTAGAAGCTGTATGAGGATACGATTTGGTTGCCTGCATTGCTTTCTTTATCTGTCTCTTGCCTCTCCTCCTATTCCCCCCATGTACCTTCTTTTATCCCCCTTTTTTTTTTGCTGTTCATTTTTCCCTTGGTCATGCCTTCTCTCTCCTGTTTGTAACAACCATGGCTTGCCAATTCATCCCTCACCACTGTCCCTATCCGCTCCTCTTTCATCTTTTTCCTCCCCCATACCTTTCATTCCACACTTCCCGTGAAACATTTTTTTTCTTCTGTCAGAATTTTTCCCCTCACTCTCATTCATTCTCACGCGTTCCTTCCCTTTGGATTGTGTTAACTATCGCTCCATCTTTCTCCGGCAGCGATTGGCCAACTCCAAAGCCCACACGTCGCGCTTCATCAGTGCCAACCTTCCCTGCAACAAGTTCAAGAACCGGCTGGTCAACATCATGCCCTACGAGACCACGCGTGTCTGCCTTCAGCCAATCAGAGGCCTGGAAGGATCTGACTACATCAACTCCAGCTTCATTGATGGATACAGGTAAGAGGAGGGGAAAGATGGTGGGGAAATGTATGCATCATTGGTTTTTCTCTTGCCAAGAAACATTTTAAAATATGCAAAACCAAAATATTTTTTTAGTTTAAGATTTGTATATGTTGTCACCAGATTACAAAAAAAGTATCTGTTTTACTGAATATAGGCAACAGAAGGCCTACATCGCAACACAGGGCCCTCTGGCTGAGACTACAGAAGACTTCTGGAGGATGCTCTGGGAGAACAACTCCACTATTGTAGTCATGTTGACCAAGCTGAGAGAGATGGGACGGGTAAGACACACACACACACATATGGACACAATGATTGATTGATATCATATAATCATTAACCTTTAGATATGGAAGTTTTAAAAATTCAAAGTGAAAATATCATATCGTGAAAGAATTCATTGTTAAACTAAGGCTTTCTCTATTCTTTGTTTCAATCAGGAAAAGTGTCACCAGTACTGGCCGGCAGAGCGCTCAGCGCGGTACCAGTACTTTGTGGTTGATCCAATGGCAGAGTACAACATGCCCCAGTACATCCTCAGAGAGTTCAAAGTCACAGATGCCAGGGTAAGTCAGACCTCCGAGTGTTGGGTTTGGATTGAACATGGATTCAGAAAGCAACTAAATATAGACAAGTAACAAATAGAGATGAATGCAATCATCAACAGTCATTAACAAACGCATAAATAGGACATTTGGTTGTGAAAAAAATGCAGTGACAAATAAAAAAGATAGATGAAAACAGTAATTGGAGGGTAACATTTGCTGTGGCTTGTTGTTTGGATATTATTCATATATGAACAGAGCCTGGGTCTGTTAAAAGGGCCCAATGCTGTTTGGGTTGTAGTAGCCACTATTAGCCATGGGCTTAGTTTGGTAAATTACTGTATCAGCAGGGCAAAAGTATTTGGAAGAAGGCGCAATGGGACGAGTTTCCACACTGAGCATGTATCCTTATCATTAGAGCACAAGTATCTCATGTTTATTTCAGAATCAAATGACCATCACACCATCCCAGCTTCAAAGTAAGATTGTCTTAGATTAGTTTTAACAAGAAACAACGGAAGTGAATATTAAGTGTTCAATATTGCTCTCTTTTACACTTTACATTTTAGACTGACTGTTCCATGCTATCAGATCACACCAAAAATGAAATAGTAATACCTGATGAAAAGAAAAGGCAGTTCCAACATAAGCTGTTTTTTCTGCAGTGCACAGGCAACCCAGCTGTCATTGGAGATAAACCAGGTTGAGGAGAAGCAAGTCACATAAACACAGAAACATCAAAAGAAGATTTTTCCCCCTCAAAATAGCTTTGATATTGTAATATTCCTCTGTAGTTCGATGTGAAACACGATATCACAATGACTTAATGTGAAATGTAACTTCATTCAAATATTAATGAGGGCTCACAAACCAAAGTGACTTTTCTTGCCCTGAAGTGTTTAGAGGCTTCTCTGCACCGCTGTAGTTATCTTTTCTTTTCTTTTTTTTTTTACCTCAGGATTTATTTTTTGGTCCAATTAAGTTGGACAGTTTGAAGCAGCAGCAGAACCTAGGAGAGAGAGAAAAAAACTTCTTCTTCTCTTTGAAAAACAGGCTGACATATCCAAAGATTTCCCAGGCGGTGTGGCAGCTAGTTAGCAGTTGTCCTGTTGGTATAAAAAAAAACTTACACACTATATCTCTGCACATACACACACTATACACAGTGTGGAAATCAGACATAAAATGCTGTTTAAGCTGGTATACCATTGCCCCACCAGCACAAAAACACACACACACACACACACACACACACACATACTATTCCTCTTTATATCGAACTGTGCAGTTTGCAAAATGTCACTCTTAACAGGCTCAAACACACACACACACACACACACACATACACACCAATGTTTACAGAGGCTCACTCTGTGCCTTATACTTATCTTCATACTGATTTGCTATTCTCAGCACAGATACAAACATCCATGCCTACACACCCTCACATATTTATATATTTTAATTGTTCAACACAGAAATACATCCATTTAAAACACAAAGTATTTGCAGAGTACGTTCACACCCTATGAGCACTTTAACATACATGCATGTTCCCTGTACATTAGCCAGTGTTAATTTGTTTTTCAGAAGAACATGATGGCGCAGATACAGATGGTGTATGGATGTGTGAAGGAGGGGTGTGAGGTTGTGAAGGGTGTGTGTGTGTGTGTGTGTGTGTGTGTGTGTGTGTGTGTGTGTGTGTGTGTGTGTGTGTGTAGCTGTGTAAGAAGAGTTATAGGTTTAACTCTATTTAACTGATAGTGTATGAATGTGAGAGTGTACAGCATGTAAATCGGTTTAACTCCACATACCATACATCATGTAGATGCACATGCATGTTAATGTGTTTATGTATGACTAAAATGTGTGAGTGTTCGTGTGTATGTCACATGCCTCTGCGCAGTAATAGCATCGACTCCACGCCTCAACACTCACATCTAGCGAGCCAGTCACGTATTTAATCACACAATTTGACACGCCGCGTGGGCCCTCAGGTTGTGTGCCAAATTTCCCTACCCTTTTTTCTCCTTTCTTTCTTTCTTTCTTCATTTGCCTTGCTTGGTTTATTGTGTTGTTGTCTTTGCCCCTCTTTCACTTTTAATCCACCTGCTGAGGCAAAAAGTGTTTGAGAGAAAAAACAAAGGCGCGAAAAGAAAGTAAACGTTCAATCCATCATGAACCTGGGGGGGGAGACATGATCACATACAAGGAGGATATTTGGTACGTGGGATTTATTAGAATACAAATCAGCGTATTTGTTGAGTACAATGAATGAACAAGAACACATCTAGAAGCATTGGCGCAGAAACATATCAACTACTAGCGTAGCAGCACAGAGCTTGCTGGCACACAGGACAACAGGACTTCACATTCAGAGCTCTAGAATTCAATAGACAGATTATGTATATCCCTCTCCACATACAATAGCTGGATATGTTGTACATTCAGAATTTAGCCACCACCTACATTTAGCATGTAAGCAGAAGAGAGGGATGGTTAGCTTGTCGCGAGAATTTGAATGAATGAAGCAGAAGGCAGAGCAGCCACCATGAAACAGTACATGATGAAGATAGAGGACAAAGGTTTGTGTCATTTTTGACGCACAGCAACCGGCTAAGAAATCCTTTGAAAATTCATTGTCAGGACGTTTAATAAGTGTTGAAAACGTCCCTATGGTTACTGTCGAATTAAATGACAATGTCAAGTGTTCTGCATTATTTGTTGATACATAATCCTAACATACTTTATTAATCCCCAATCATTCAGTGGGTAAGTGTTTGCAGGACTGGATAATACCTTGTAATGTACCTTCTTTTTTGTACCTCCATTTCCTTTAAAGGTCACATATTATGCATAATACACTTTGCCGTGTTTTTCTAACACTAATATGAGTCCCTAGCCTGTCTACAAATCCCCCAGTTATTAGAAAAGTCCATCCTCTCTGTCTTTTACCTGCTCCACTTTAAAAAAAAAAAAAAAAATGTGTGCTCAGACAGGCTGTTTGGACATTTTTTCTTCATGACATCACAAAGGGCAGTAATCCTTCCCCTAGTGTGGTGACATTCCCACAGCTAGGTGTCTGTTCTGCCCTCTGAGTCGGTCTTCTCACCGTAAACAATAGGGCATGGAGCAAGAAAGCTCAAGGGGCGTGGTCGAACACAGTTCACCTGCATTTAAAGCTACAGACACAGAAACAGCCTGTTCTGAGCAGGGCTGAAATAGAGGGGTTTAAAGGCATGAAAAAAAAAAAAAGGATCGGAGTAGATTTGTGGCAAGAAACTTCACAGATATGTTTTGGAAAGCGCTGAGACTTATTTGAAATTGTTGAAAAGGAGAATAATATGTGACCTTGAAGTATTTTCTTCAGGAGAAAAAGTTAACTACTCCAGTTTCATCAATAGGCCTTTATCAGAAGGATTTCTTTTCACTATGAAAAAATATATATTTCCTGTTTAGGACCTCTCCTGCAACAGTTACAGTTTGTAGCCAATTGTATAATAGTGATTGTTGACTTCCTGTATATTTCTAAAGGTTTGGTTTCAAAAAGATTTGTAGAGATGAAAGCATGTTTTTCTCCACGTATTTAATTGCATAATGCATCGATTTTTGTGACACAAATACACTATTACCTTCATCCTAATTTAAGAGTGTGTAATGCTACATTAGCAGGATAACAAAAGGACATAAAGGTCCCAGTTAACTCCCTAACTGTGTATCGATCCCAGTGTACCTTTTGCTGTGTGACCAAACAGGAAGAGAATGTGTGAGAAAGACTGATTATGTGCCAACTGCAGTCTGCGGTATAGTTGAGACAGACACAGCAGTAGAAATGAACACTGGGATGTTTTTTAACAGCTGGTGGTATCACGCAGGCAGCCATGATGAATACCTTCATCATACCTTGAGTGAGTGAGTGCATGCTGATACTTTGAGGAGAAATTCATTTTGTCCAAGACAAATTGAAAAACTTTCTTTATAAAGGACTCAAGTGTCAACGATGCATTATTAAAGTTGATGAAAAGTTCTTACAAAATAAAGCAGATCCGTACAATTATGTATATAGATGTTTTTGTTTGCATTGAAAGCGAGTGCTCTAAAACTAGAATATAAGAATCAATACGAGATTAAATTGTTAAGATTGACATTTTGTCTAGCGGTCCCGTCACAGTGTTTGTTTTCAATTTTCGTGGTGGAATGCCACCTTCTGCTCCTCCTCCGTTTTTGCTTCTTACCTCCATCGCTCAGCTCATCCATCAGGTCGCCGCATCGATTGCATCGCAGGATTATCCTATTCAACATGGTGTCTGGGAGAAGACGCTTGTCATGGCAGATACACTATTGATTAGCTTTAACTAGGACTTATTCATGTCGCACAAACACACACACACACACACACACACTGCAAATACACACACAAAACGAAAAAAAGTAACAACTGGTGGAGGACACACTGTCCCTGCTTGGTGAGATGTGGGTGTCATTGCTGTATTTCTGTTATGGAGAAAAACCCACATTTCATTTCAAAAGACAATTAGTAAGAGGAAGACTTACCGACTTTTTATTAGAGTCGCTTCATTTGATGTTCTTAAAAGAATCCAACGAGAGTGGTTTGGGTTGGTTGGGTGGAAGGGATTGAAACAACAATCCCTTAAAGTAATAATGTATAACTCTTTGTGTCAAATTCCCACTAAATAATCGTCTTTAAAAAAAAAAACCTCCTAACCAGTTTTGAGCTTTGTTTTAAATCCACTTCTCACTCTTTACATATGTCTTCTTCCCTCTCCTCTCTATGCCTTCCTTTGCTTCTTCGTATTATCTACAATCTTCTATTCTCACCTTTTTTTTCCCCCTATATTTGCAGGATGGCCAATCCAGGACAGTAAGGCAGTTCCAGTTTACTGATTGGCCAGAGCAAGGCGTGCCCAAATCTGGGGAGGGATTCATTGACTTCATTGGCCAGGTGCATAAAACGAAGGAGCAGTTTGGACAGGATGGACCGATCTCTGTCCACTGCAGGTAAGCAGTTGGCCTGATATGCTACACCACATTTCTACATCAAACATCAAAGAGGCATGTAATGTCTTTCAAAAATACTTTAATGTCATAAAGGTTTTCTTGAAAAGAGGGGCGCAACTTTTTTGTTTTTCCAGGCGCTGCAGGATGTTTGTCTTAAAACTACTCTCCAAAGAATCACCTTCCCTCTTGGAAGAGATAGAACGCTTTAAGCATCAGACAAGATTAAGTCACTTCTTAAGGAGGTTATTGTTTTGCAGCTGCACCTCCTGCGGTGCAGCTCTAACATCATCATCAGATAGAATCCCTCCTCTCCATTTTGCCACCGCAGTACACTACTCCTGCACCTCCACAGGCCCATCTCCTCCATAATTGATAAGGCTGAGATATAGCTTGGCATTTGCAAAGAGGAGGCACATGAAATGATACGGCCATTCTTTTTGGTTTTTATGATCGCTCTGTGATGCATTTTTCATCACCTCGGCTGTAGCTTCCAAGGTAACCTTCATCATTAACTTGGCATGCCGGGCTCAGGTAGACACTGAGATTTGGTTGTGGTTTCCAGCAAATCCTCATCAGACCTTGAGCAGGATGCAGCTAAATTAGGTGTTAGCATTTTTTTTAAATTTTATTTACTGGACAATTGACATTTTAGATAAGCCTGTATGTGTTTGCTCTGCATTACTAGTAATACAAAAAGAGCTTGTGTAGAAGTGCTTTTTACATTTTTCATTCTGTGATTGACATCCAGAAAAAGCTTCAGGGCTACAACTGTTCCTTTGAATGTGACTGTGTTAACAAACAAAGGTGTTAACATCGCTGAATAATTTCCTTCCTCTGTCATAAAAATGGTTTACTTTTTGAAAAACAGAGCCGGTGCCACTTTTTCTCCACATTTCTGCCACAGAAGGCGCCATGACATCATCAAACATAACATTCTCTCGCCTGTATTGCAAAGCAATGATGTCACCAACTCGGAAATGGCCCCCAGGGAGTTGTAAGAAGTGTCAGGGAAGCTTCTATAAGATTGAGTTATTCCCCTTATTCTATGAGGCTGTTATTGGAGGGGGGGGGGGGAGAGAGACTTAACGGAAAAGGATCGGTTATTATACAAGGAAATGCAAGGCTGCTGGAGCTCTGGATGAAAAAGCAAACAGTGTATTGAACTGGCCCGCAAAAGCCATGTAATCAGCTGCACAGTTAACACATGCTTGAAACAACTCAGTGATTAGTGGCACATAATGGAAGTTCTGTAGTCAAAAGGTTATTAAACATAAGATGTGTTTGCATTTAATTAAGTACTTAACCAAAAGTCTAAAAGATTGTTTTAAACGTTTGCTGAGAGTAGGTGTCGCTTTGTCTGCAAAAAAAAAATGTACAGAATTTCAAGTTTCTCTTAAGCAATGAATTAAAAGAATAAATGGAACTTTGTCTGTCGCTACTGTAGCCACCTCCTGCTCCTCTCTATCATCCCCCTCCCTCCCTCCCTCCTTCAGGCTTTTCATCTCCCGAGTAGAGAGCTTATGCCTTCCTTTTCTCTTACTCTTTCGTCTTCTGTCACCGGCCTTCCCCGTCTGTCATCTCTGTCTGTATTTCTTAATCCCCCTCTCTCTCTCTCTCTCTTTCTCTCTCTCTCTCTATCCCTCTCGTTCCCTCTCCATCCATCCAACCATCCATTCTTCCGGCCCTCCTTTCTTTTCACTCCACCCTCTTTTCTTCTCTCTCCTCCTCAGCCACTATCTAATAGACCCACATGCTTTTTGTCATTAATTGCCTGATTACTTCCTGTGAATGGGGACACCAAATCCTCTCAGTCTGCGGCGGCTCGGCGAGCCTTCAGATTTGGAGAGTCGATCTTCCTTGCGAGAGAAAGACAGAGAGAGAGAGAGAGAGAGAGAGAGGGAAATAAATGGGGGGAGGGAGAGAAGAAGAGAGCAATAGAGAGAGAGAGGAACTCTGAGTGAGTTTAAGAGTCCATGTGACAAGCTGTGACCGACTCCCTAGAAGAGGCTTTGGGTGGGCGGAGATACACTGCGGCCTGGGGTTTGGTGGTGGGTGGTAGATGTCGGGGGTGTGTGTGTGTGTGTGTGTGTGTGTGTGTGTGTTTCGGATTGGCTGTTCTTTCTGTGTGATTAGTTTCAATAATGTTGTTATTGATAATTATTTTGCTTATCATTAAATGATACAACTCATATTTTGTCCTATGTTAATCCTCGTCCCCCAAACAGCACAGGCACCAACCAAAAAGTGTGTGCCAGCAGCCAGCAGCCATCACTTTCACTCTTCAGTCAACAAAATAGCATCGGAGGCTGGAAAAGCCCGAATAAATCTGTTGTCATATCAATTATTGTTCCATTGGTGAAGTGGAAGTCATTTCACAGCAAAGCAGCTTAGAGAGGCAGCTCTCAAGTATTTCAGGATCTGAGTTAAGACTCAGGCTGTATTTCTGGAGAGCAGCAGCAGCGGCAAGCTGACTTTTGCAGCACATGGGAGGGGCTTAATGAGACAAACTGTTTGGCTGTTTGTGTGCGTGATTTGGAAGGCGTGTGTATGTATGTGTCCTTGAGGGCTCATTTTGTGCTAGACAAGAATGTGGGTGCACATCAAAGCAGATTCGCAGTTTTCTGACATGCAAATTGTGTCCTTGGCATCATCACTGTTGCGTTATACTACCACCGGATCTCTCGATAAGAAAGTTTCCAATGGCTGAAGTTTGATTTCACTCAAGTGCAAAATTGCCCGCAGAAGTTACCAACATGTTCTTGTTTTAAATATAGAAGGCAGATCTGCAGTTATTCGAGGTTGACTGTCACTTTCCACGTCTTGGTTAAAAGAAGACACACATTTCCCCCAGCCCAAACAAAGACTCACTGCACAATCACAATGTGTGTCTACATAAAGTCAACGTTCTTATTGCTTAACTTTGTTGCTCTGTGCTTTCAGTGCCGGTGTGGGCAGGACCGGAGTCTTCATCACCCTCAGCATCGTCCTGGAGCGAATGCGCTATGAAGGCGTGGTTGATATCTTCCAGACAGTGAAGATGCTGCGAACGCAGAGGCCAGCCATGGTGCAGACTGAGGTCAGGAGGTCACACACAAACACACACACACACAAACACACAGTTTATAAAGATGCTCTTTGGTGAGGAACACAGAAATTCAAATGGGGAAAAAACAATCCATTCTCCTGGGTGGGGGGGGGTGTAAAAACATTTATTAATTGGCTATTTAGTCATGAAAATGCTACAAACATTTAGACAAATCATGCTGACTAATAAACTAAATAGCTGAGTAACGACCAGCAGGTGGCAGCACAAACAGCCTTCTTCAGGCGGTTGACAAAAGGTTTGCAGTTTACAGGCAAACTTAGTTAAATCATAGTTTTTTGTCTTGACATACAGGTATCTAATCAGTAATGTTGTTGTGTTTGGACCGAGTACTGATATTTAATTTGTTTTGTATGTGTGTGTGTGTCTCTTTCCTACAGGATGAATACCAATTCTGCTATCACGCAGCTCTGGAGTATTTAGGAAGCTTTGATCACTATGCAACGTAAAAAGCCATCTCTTCCCTCCTCCCCCCACCCCCCCCCAGAATCCCATCGCCCCCCCCCCTCAACAGTCTCCTGAGCCATAGAAACTTTGAAATTTGAATCGTCGGCAGCAGATGATGATATCCCCATTGCTAATTCAGACGCACCAACCAGGATCCTATTGTAGATTTTTTTTTGGAAGAAGAAGACGCCCGACTTACAAGTATTAGTAGAACTCTAATTCGACTAAGAGACCCTTCAGGGGGAAAAAAAAATTGCCCCTGATCAGGAAAAGAAAATCCTCATCAGGAGAGGAACATTGTGACACTGTGGCTCAAGCTGTGGGGTGGGAAACGATCAAAGTGTCAGACTGCTTACCTTACCTCAAGTGTTTCAATGTGGAGGACATTGTAAACATTCGTGGACATTTCTCTTCTCAAAAATATCTTTGTGATACAATGGTAACAAGCAACAGAAAAATGAAGGAGAAGGCAACAGCAAAAATCAACGAGAGGCAGATGGATGTAGCCAAGATGGCAAGACTTTCTTGCTTTTTTGATATGCCTTGGTGTAAAAGGGGGTTCAAGTATTTCTATAGACACATTTTGTGTGAGTGGTATCCAGAGAAATTACCAAATTGTGGTTGCCTGTGTGAACTCAAAAGGGTTTCCCCAAAACTCTGGTAAGACAAAAAAAAAAAAAAATCAAAACATTGGAAATGTAACTGGCACGAGAACAATCCCATCTGGCATCAATTAAACCTGGAGTTCTTTTTACACTAATGATATGCATAACTTGTGTGCAAAAGCACTCAATTATAAAGGAATACATCACATAATTGCCTGTACTCGAGCGCTGAGAGCTTAGAGGCATCTCTGTCAGTGACGGAAGTGAAGAAAGCAGCAACACATATCTTACGATGGGTTAGTTTCATGAATTGTGTACTCGTGTAAAATCCGTATCTGGAGCCAGGTTACCATGTTGTGATGTTGAAAAAGTACCACAGTGTATTTAAAAAGTGCCCCAGGAGTCAAAAGACAAATTGGAGGGAAAACCTCGCAAGCAGCTACTGTAGAGCTTGGTCTTCTTCAGGTGGAGAAATGGCAGCCGTGTCCCGTCATTTTATACGATCACTCCTCTCTCTGGAACTTTTCCATCATGGGGCTTTTGGCTTTCACATCCACCATTTTTGGAAAAAAAAAAAAAAAAGAGGTGGTCAAGAAGCTTTGGAACAAACGAAGCAACCAAACAAGGATCGCCGCTCAGCTTTGGGGCTTTCTTTGTCTACAGTGACCAATGCTCGTCATCATTGTTTTGAACTTTTTTGTCTTATGAGGGATTATCTTCTTTTTTTTTTTTTCTGTCGAAACCAAACATGCTGCTTATCTCGTGTATGCTGTACGTGTGTGACATTTGAGGAAGAGGAAACTGATGGACAAAAGATGCCAGCTCTGCTAACCGCTCGCGCCAAGGCGGGCATGACTGAAAGTGCATCCACATGACAACATCGTCCATTAGTCTTTTCCAGCTCTCCTCTTTTTTTCGTTTTTCCAGCCTCCTTTATAATCATGAACTTCATCGTATGAGACACTCAAGAGTGGCAGAGGCCTGTTGCAATGACAAAGCTGTACGTTCGTGGGGTTGATCAAATTGGCCTTTTCGTTCCACTGTTGGTGTGGTTGCTTGTTTTTTTTTTTTTTGGGGTTATTTTTTGTCCTCCGTTTTATAGATGATGTGTCTGTGGATGCCAGAGCAGGCGACCATGTTGGATCTTGATGCCACGATGTGATTATCAAATCTCGGTACTTGCACATCCACCTCAAGAAACTTGAAACAAATACTTCAACAACATCTGCAGGTTGAATTTGAGGCACTGACTTACACGTGTCTAATTGAAAAAAAATCATTTGGAGATCAGCTTGCTATGGTCGAGACGAAGGTACAGATTCTGTGAAGGTTTCCCATGAGCGTGCACAAAAAAAGAAAAACGAGAGCGATGGACAGAACTGTGTGTAATCTCTCTTATTTCCAAAAAAGCCTTATTGTTACTGTAACATTATGAAAAACATTAATGTTGTATTATGACGACTTATTTTACATGACATAGTTGACTTTTTATTGTCCTTTTGTTTTAGTTTTTTAACAGAGATGTTGATGTTGTATCACCTTCTTTCTTTTTTTTTCTTTTTTTTTTTAAAGTTAGCCGGAAAAGAGAAATGCTTATTTGTTCATATTACGTTGAAAGACATTCTATTTTTTCACTGTAGAATTGTTAAGTATAACATGTGTGTGTGTACGTGTGCAGGTATGTATGTAGGTATATATGTACTGCACACTCACACATGCATTATATATTTAAATGCAGAATATAAAGATATATCCAAACACTTAGTATTAATTCAAATTTTCGCCTCATCATAATTTTCTTTTTATACCAGCCAGTGCTCATGTTTAAAAATGTGACTTTTCTTTCTTTTTTCTTTTTTGTAATCTAAGAAACCTCGTGTGTTTCTTCGAAAAAGCTGAGGTGACATCAGCTGGGAAAACACTGATTAAATCCTCTGTCTCAACTCACTTAAAACTTCTGCCCCCGGGTAGATCATGTGCCGATGAAAGAGATGCCATTTTTAATCATGTTGAGATTTTGTCATCTTTTATTTGTAGCCATTAGTGTTATTTTTCTTTTTGAGCAACTGTTGAATGATGTACTGGTCTCTGAAATAACCAATCAAATATTTGATAAATTCACTTTTTTTTTTTTACTATCTATGTCAGCCCATTTTGATGTTCTGTACCATGTATGATCGTGTACAGACTACAACCTACACAGGTTTAAAGATAATCATTTAATTTTGCTCCTTTTTTAAAAAACTTGTATTATTTTCAGACATGATGAGGTCATCCATTTTGTTAGATATTCACTATGAACTAGAGTATACCTGTAAATAAACAAATATATAGATTATATGTATTTGTATCATTTGACCCTCGAGATCTCATACTTTAAGTGGGAACAGAAATAACAAAGATGGACGTTCTGCTCATATCCGACTTCCTGGTGTGTAAAGCTTGTTTTCTCTCCTTCTGACATGTTCTTTCTCCAGCCCGCTCCCTGCTCTTTAATTACCACTCGCTTTTTTTCTGCCTTTAATTTCCCCTGCTAGCAGTTAAACTGGGAAACAAGCCAGTTTCTGTTCTCACACCTATAGCCTCAAAGAGGGAATGAAATCAGCAACAGGGATCTACTGGTATAATTTAACTGAAGATGGAGAGTTAGTCTTTTCTGCCAACTAACCATTTAAATTGGTAATTAACCATTAATTAAAAGTCTGTTTACATTCTCATTTCCAATGCACTAGCATAAACACGGGTCAAAAGATGGAGTTTTCTCTTTTGTTATCTTGAAAACTTGAGGGTTTTTAAACAGATTCAGTTTGAATTATTGGATTTCAAATTCTCAATTTCCAACCAAAATGAAAATTACAAAGGTACAAAATCTTAATACCAAGACGTTGTTCATAAATATGTCATTGGCTAAAGGAGAAATGCAGCTAAGCCAAATGCCATCCATGGTTCAGTTGAAACAACATTTATTTTGAGCATTGTATGGAACCATACTTTGTGTTTTTTGTTCAGCCATGTTTCGTTGTGGGACGCAGAAAGACATCAGGGCTCAATGAAACAGAGCAGCGCGATGCAACCAAGGGAAGACCAAGACAACCAAAAACTTGCTGCAAACTCACATTTCCAGCACGTCATCTTCAAACAGTGGGAACCTTGAGCTGTTTCATAATGAACTAAAAGACTGAACTGAAGTCTTTGGACACTCAAAAAAAAAAAAAAAAAAAAGACTGGCAAAATGGCCCCATGCCAAAACTGAAACCGTGGAAGTCTTTTGGAAGCTTGTGCAATGTGTTACACTTTTGACTTCATGTAAAGATTGTAGACTTTTGAAAAAACGCCACCAAATTTGTTGGGATATGTTACAGAAAAATTGGGGATGTGATGGGGGACTAACAAAAAAAACAACACTAACAGAAAATGACATCAAGAAGAATAGAACATGTACAGTACGTACAGACAAAAAGGAAAAAGAACCCAATCTCAGCAAAATAGTGTTTCCTTTATATGAAGGCCAAGAGCTATCACTTTCAAACTGTTACTTCTAACTGAAACAATAATTGGTTTAAAGCCACTGTGTATGTAGATATGTTGACTTTGTATTAAAGAAATGTTGTCTGAAAAACATTTGTAGTGAGTTTTATTGGTGATATGTTATATATTTTATGTGACAGCGAGATTCTTCAAGATCTCAATCCCTGAGGTAGACTGCATAGGCTGTTGGGGTAGCCTTCATAATGTGAACCATGTCTATTACACTTAAAATTACACTATAATTTATGAAAATAAGCATCATGCTGGTTTACTTGAAACTAGCAACATAGACCAAAGATATATCTACGAAATGTTAACTGAGGTAATAAATCAAGGTTGAAGTATGGCTCTTTTGTCATAGACGTCCACAAAACCACATTTCATCGGGTGGTGTTGCCCCCTACTGACTGTCAGAAAGAATGCAGGCACTATAGATGGAGAGGGTACGTCCATATCTTTTATACAGCTTATAAAACTTATCTGTGTTTGATATGCAAATAAATGGTTAGTATTCATTACCTTTAATACTTTGCAGTCATTGTTAGATCATTTATTACGCCGCTAACTGCTGTGTAAAATCTGTGCTACAAGTGCTCGCAGGACAAGTGGTGAAGCACACAGATGGCGCACTCGGTTTGTTGATAGATGGCTTGATTAGCTTCCTGCTCTATTTGTCCACCAGCCTCTCCACAAACATATCCCCAAAGTGTCCTTAAGCCCCTCTTCAAGCTTTATAAATGCCACCCAGACAGGCTGATATTGGTGCAGTGGTAAACCTTCACCTGGTGGTATTTGCTCTCACATCTGTCCTCAAGTGAGGCTCTTCGGTTATCTGATATCCTCAAAGTAGAACAACTGCAAAGGAAAAGATTATCCTGGTACAACACCCAACTGCCAATTGCTAGCTTAAGATGACAG